CCTTTAAGCTTGTAACAATAAATTACTGTGAAAATTATACTAAAAATTTCTGTAAGTCTTTAGTGTTGTGATACTCTGTTGTAGACACATTTCCTGTAGAATAAGCTTAAATAAAACACTTTTAACTGTTTAAAATACGAAATATATTAGTGCACAAATTTATAAATTAATTTAACTGCGACCCGACGTGTCGCGATGCTTTACAGTCGCGGTTAAAATAACATTTAAATAAGTAAACTAATCTCGCGTTTTAGACCGTTAAAAGTGTTTTATTACTAGTTAGTACAGACAGTACTCAAGAGAAAATGTGTCTACAACAGAGTAAAACAATACTCAAAGAAATTAAAAGTGAAATATGAACATTAAAAACTATTTTTATAACATATTTGTTCGTAAAGTGGTTGTAATTACACCAATTTCAATATCGTTATCTCAATTTCAATATTTCAATATCTCATTACGTACTTGTGCAATAATGTAATGTAAAAGGCCCGTGTTTTTTTAAATAAAGTTTTAAGATACTCCGTCTAAAAATGAACGATACTTTTAAAAATCTTACCAAAGAGGTTTTATGTCAAGAAAGTGGTCAATATTTTATGAATAAAATTAACTTTGGGAAATAAAATATAACAAATAAACATTTAATTCTTTAATTTTAATTAATTTTGAAAATAAATAACAACCATTTATCTATAACAAAAACACAAAAATATTAATTTTCTTTATTAGTAATACCGGCTGTTTTTGTACCTTTGCATAATAAAAAACGTTGATGCGCGCGCATCGCTTATTTGTGGACAAGTAAAAAATTTTATAACTGACTTAACAATTAATTAAAGATTTATTTGTTTAACTAAGTTAGAGTTTTATTAATTTCCTCGTAAATATGTTATAAAACGTCGTATGACATACGTGCGCTTTGAAAATTACAGCCTCTGCTTTCTTATAGAAATATCGCCTCGGCTGTAATTTTCAACTTACCGCACTTATATCATAATGTACTATTATTTGACTGTAAAATAGGGTAACATTTTTTGTAATGCTATCGTAGTATAAAAAATTAAGTGCTAGACCAATATTAGCTCTTGAAACTGTACCCAGCTCGAGACAGCTAGAATGACGCGCACTTACTATCACCTGCAGTCTTCATTTGAACTCTACCTACGAGTTTTTCGTATTTTTAATCATTTGAAGAGAAATTCTATAGTTTTGGGCATAATATTAAAGACATTCCATAGCAATGGGTTCAAAACATAATGCTGTCGTTACGATAGATATATCAATAACCTAGTTATCTAGAGACTCAGACTGATTGTCTGTAATTTTTTTTTCATGTAAATAAAACACTTTGAACGGTTTTAAACACAAAATATATGCTGCAAAGCAACCGAAACATTGTACAACAACCGTACTTTAAATAAGTTTACTAATAAAGTTGACGCTTTGAAACCGTTAAAATGAATAAATACTACATTCACATGTTTACTACTCCCGTAGACTATACAGGCATTTAGTATGTAAATATAGTCGACCGGTAAAACAGACATAGAAATGTGCCCTATGCCCCTTAAGGGTCAAGGGCGTTTCGTTATTTATTTTAATGTACATTAAAAATGTACTTAAACATACTTAAAACTAAACAAGCCAAAGCAGGATTAAACAATTAGAAAAAAATTACTATGGTAAAGAAATACCTACCGACTGAAGTTTACGCAAGTAGTTCACATTTGAATAAAACACTTTAACGGTTTAAAACGCGATCTATATTAGTTAACATTATTTGCAAATGATTTTAACTACGGCCCGGTGTGTGACCTTCTCGTGACCACGGCTGCTGCAAAGCATCCGAATCGTAATGCCGTTGTCAAAATAATTTTCAAATAAGTTTAACTAATATTTAATTATGGTAAAGAACACAAAATATGGTTTAAAATACTTCATCTAAATAGACGACATCTTATGATATAACACATATATATAGTTAATCTTTCAAAACGGTTTTGTGCCAAAACAGTTTTAACTAGAGCACCTGTTAGCACGACCAAACTATTATTCCAGTTTAAACGTCTAAAACAATACTCCGAGCTAAATCCAGGTAGAATAATTTAAATTCTGTAAGGTGCTCAGTACTCCGTATAATCGCATAATCCCAGCTGATGTAATCGGCCCCTGTCTGAGCTACGACCCGACATTCCTTACCTGAGCCCTTCGTGACCTCTGACTCTCAAGCAATTCATTTCAATTAAAAATGTTTGCGACATGCGCCTCAGCTTTCAAAGGTACTCCGCAATTGTGGCCTATTATCCCTTAACGTTTTATCTTCCGACGGAACTAACCCTTTCGTACTTTTGTATATACAGAAGTTAACTCTTTAGACTTGAAGATTTATCTAATCGCTAACTGTAACCGCGACTTCGTCTGGGTAGAATTTCAAATATTATTTTTGCAACCCTCTTCCTCATTTAAATAAAACACTTTAACGGTTTAAAACGCGATATATTAGTTAAACTTATTTAAAATGATTTTTAACTTCGGCCCGACGTTTCCTTGTGACCACTGCTGCAAAGCATCCGAAACGTCGGGCTGAAGTTAAAAATCGTTTTCAAATAAGTTTAACTAATATATCACGTTTTAAACCGTTAAAGTGTTTTATTTAAATGTGTACTACTCGCGTAAACTATAGACAGTGCCTCTTCCTCATTTTTATAAATTTTAACTGTTACCTACGACGTCGTCCGCGTCCCGTCATTCTATCTTTTAAGGTTAACTTGCATACAACATATATACGTCTAATATACTGTCGTGGACATATTTTTTATCAATTAAAGAGGAAACATTGTTTCATACATATGTTTTAAGTATCTTGAGCCGTTCGAGGCGCACGCGGCTCTTCGCTGCCAATGATCGTAATGTTTTATACCTTATAAGCCTTCCTTGATTAATGCTCTAACCAACACAAAAAAAAATCTATTCGAACCATATCCTGTCCTGAGATTAGCGCGGTAAGGCATTAGGAGTTTAGGTAGAAGGCTATAAAACGTTGCGCAGCGACTAATAGGAACGAAGAAACAGCGGGATATGTGAAGAAAACAGGGTAAATTATTCATCTCAATGGGTTTTCGTTGCGCACGTTGTGAAAACGATTCAAGATACCCAAAAAATATGTGTTAAAGAAATATGTCTATCTTAAGAGATACTTAACTCGCAAGAACGACGGGACGCGGACGATCGTAGGTAGTTTATAAAAGTGTAGAGGAGGTTCCCTTTGCGTCGGGCCAAGAATCTTCCGCAAAATCCTCCTATCGGCCACCAGTAACTTTTCCCCTTCCTTAAGCGTCAACGTCCATGTCTCCCAACCGTACAGTAGAATAGGACGGATGACGGTCTTGTAGATTCGGATTTTGGTTTTCCGGGTAAGTAATTTGGACGTTAACACCTTATGGAGGGCCGCGCCACAACGGAGGGCGTTTTGGATCCGGATATTTATTTCCTCTTCCCTTGAGTTCGTGTCTGTTATTGTGCAGCCAAGGTACTTGAATTTACTGGTGCCCCTGAATGAGATACCGTGCACATGTAGGTCCTCAAGTGTCTTTCTTCTGTTCTTATAGCGTTTTATATGGAGGTATTCCGTTTTCTCTCGGTTTACTCTCAGACCAATTCCAGCTGCTTCGGAGATCAAGGTTCTCGTCAGACATTGCACCTCGTTCTTTGTTTGGCTATATAGTAAACTATATATGTTTTTTAAGAAATAAATTAAATATTACTATTAAATATCTTCCTGAATAAACGTTTACGATAGTTCCAATGACGGACAGAGATTTATTAACAACATTTATTTAGTCACAAATTGAAGCTCATAAATCTTCATGTCACAACAAAGCCTACAGACTCCTGTCTAAATTCAACCCATCCCTAGCCCATAAATTTACTAAGGGTTCACCATAGATTTGCGAAAAAACAAAGGAGTATAGTTGTGTCCCCCGTGACCACAGCTGATGTAAAGCCTACGAAACGTCGGGCCGTAGTTTAAATAATTTTCAAATAAGTTTTTGAAACAGTCAAAGTGTTTTATTTAAATGTGTACTCGCGTAAACTCGAGACGGTATTCTATTAAGATTAGAGTTAAATTCGTGAAACAAGACACGATCTCAACTAAGATCACAACAAGAGAAGCACTCGGCCCTAATGACTTTCCAATATAGTTTTGTTAGCCGTAAAAGGCTTTTAAAGTGAGTTCAATAAAACCTCCATTAGCTGATTCATGTCGTTAACTGGGTAATTAACGGCGCTGCTTTATGTAACGCGTACTCGTAACATTATCCATTTTCTTTTAACTGGTCATGTCGGAGTAGTGCATAATTAAATTGTTTATTACTTAACGGTATATTGCCCGCCTCTGAGGCGCAGTGATTAAAGGTAGGTGTGACCGGGTTAAAATCCATGAGAAACACCGTAGTTACAATCTATATACTAATATATAAAGCTGAAGAGTGTGTTTGTTTGAACGCCCTAATCTCAGGAACTACTAGTTCAAATTGAAAATTTATTTTCGTGTTACTTAGAGCATATTATAAATAGGAAGGATATATCATCGCACTGTACACAAGCAGCGGGAAATGTAAAAAAAACGGGGGCCAATTCTCATCTCTGTGGGTTTCCGTCTAAAAAATGTCCGCAATGTTATATGTCTATCTCTATCTTTTAAGACTTACTTGCAAGAATGACTGGACCCGAAAGAAGGGTCGCGAGCCGGCTGCTTAAATTAATAAATATGTAAAGGTTTGCAAAAACAAATTTGGATGCCCAAAAAACACTATTCTACGCGGACGAAGTCGCTGACACAGCTAGTATATAATATAGATGTTATTCTTATTACGATCCACTATGCCTAACTAATCTACTAAATTCCGAGCCTTATAATAAGGAAGCTGAAACCAAGTTCACTCAAGTCATTCGAATTTGAATGAGTTGACTGAAATATTCAGAACCACATTGTAAAATCAGGGCTGCCACAGACTATCCGCTATCCTGTTTGAATAATCCGATGCTATGAGGGAGGTTGAAGGATTGGGGCAAGAAAATGCTTTTACCTTCGCTTCTAGTAGGGCTGTTGGATACAACCAATGATAAATATGCAGACATTTTCCCCCATACACAATATACATAAATTTGTCGTTGCGAGTTCTTCTCTTTCCTTCGTCATCCTTAGTTTGTTCTTATTTTTTTTATTTATTTGTTATTTTTTTTATTATAATAAGGACTATTTGTATTTGTGTTTGAACTGGTAGTCAATGTTCATTTTATAACCACTACCTACGGGAATAAATGTAAATAAAACACTTTTAACGGTTTAAAACGTGAAATACACTAACTTAACTTTAATTTTTATAACTACCAACTGTAACTTTATCTTCAATCTCCTTGGCTACGACTGTCGCAAAGAATCAGAAACGTCGGGCAGTATTTATCTATATATCTTAACGAATATATTTCTCGTTTTAAACCGTTACATGAGTTTTATGTAAATGTGTAGTACTCGCGAAAACTACAGACAATACGTACTTTTTTATTGAATTGATACAGTTCCTCGTCAAATATAAAAAAATATATAATTTTTTAACTTCATTATTTTTCACGTAGTATCATTATAATATCTTAATGGATGTCATTCTTTTTGCCATTTGTCTGCTCTGAACTTATTACTTACACTTAATGAAAGACATGAAATAGGAAAACACATCCCTAAATTCACGTATGCCGAAATTTTCGCTTCGCTGCGCAAATCCGAGAAATATCGGACAAGGATTTTGAATATGAGACGGTAGTTTTGGAAAACTATATTTAGCGTTCACAGTGCAAAATTTAGTTTAGTTATCACTGTCATTTATTATATTTTTCTATTTAAATTATATACTCGTCATTTCGGTGTGCTGTTCTTAATATATTTATTACATTTGCTAAACATTAACACTCTTATTACAAAACAAGTTTTAAACCCTGGTTTATTTGAAATCCTTATTACAAAACGAAGTTTAATGTTTGTACTGGACTAACTATGATTCTAACTTTGATTTATTTAGACAATGGTTTAAGAGTTAAACCAAGACTCCGCAGTTCTGGTTTAAGTTTTTTTGTAATAAGGCTGTAATTGTTTATGGTATGGTTTAACGTGCATGGCAGACGTGGTTAGCGCGACAAGCATCCGCCCGACTACTATATACTTTTACCGCCGACGGGTGGTGGTAAAAGGATGGTAAGGTTAGGTGTTGGTCTATTTCTAAGTAGTAAATATAAATTTACTACTTAGAAATAGACCAACGACGACTTTTACTCATTTATTGTTATTTTGTTTTCCTTTTCTTTATACAAAGGTTGCCTGGAAGAAATCGCCATAGGCGATAAGGCCGCCTTTGCACTAACTCTTTTATGTAAATAATTATTTTAGTTTTACTATATCTGTATTTTATTTGTTTGTGCAATAAAGTGTTATTATTATTATTATTTAAATTACTTTACGGCTGTGAAAAATAGAACTCGTGTACTCACACACAGTTTTTTCAAGAGCAGAAAGGAATGCTGTCTAAAACTATAAATCACGTGTCGCCATAGTTTTATTAATTCGAGACATACAGAATTATATAAATTTCAAATTTGTTTCACATAGACAAAATGGATGACTCAGTTGGATCTCGAACATAAAAACTTTAAAAACACGTTACCATGCTAACAAAGATAATAAGACCTAGGTTAGCAATAGTATTAAAATTTGAAAAATATAGTGATTCCAATCATATTCTATCTAAAGAGGTTTTATTTAAAAAAATCGGCTTGTAATCTATACCAAAAACCTATTCTATCTTCCTCAGGTAGGTCGCGCATCCGTATTCTTTTTCCAATATTCAAAGCTTTCAAAGTGCTTGTTGAATGCTTTTTTGTTAAAGATATCCAATGTAAGTTATGGAGAATTTTATCCTTGTTCTGCGGCGTTGGATTCCTGTAAGTTAAAAAGTAATCAATGTTCTCCAACATGTGAAAGTTTTGACTAGGATATTTGTTTTATATCAAACCCCGTCCAACTGAAATATTACATAGTATAATTAGTTATAATATATTTATAACCTATTACAATAACGACGATCGGCACTAATTAATTACGGGTAGATAACACCTACCTCCTTTCAAATAAACCTTTTTCCTGATTCCTTGAACTTGGTACCTTAGTAGTAGTAGTACCAACAGACCTATAAGGCGGTCAATATGTCGACAATCCATCTTATTAAGATGTCATAAGGCTAATACTGCCATGCAAAAATAAATAAATTGATGTTTCATCAAACTTACCCGAGTCTAATGAAATTCGACAATAATCTTACAAATTTCTTAATGAAGTCCCTTTCACTGGAGTCCAAGCGAGTATAGACGTGATTTAAAGATTTACATTTGAATAAGTAACATATTTCATCGTCCAAAGTCGCTCCGGACCAATTTAAATTCGGCACGAAATTTCTCCAGCCAATATTCAGGGACCCCTTAAACGCAAACCTATATAAATACACGGGACAGCTCGAGATATTGCTTTGTAGAACTGCTTGTCTCACGACCGGGAATATCTCTATATCAGTGAGATATTTAGCGTATCGTCTTAAACTTCGTTCACCTATGGTGCCGTTTAGGAAATAAAACTGCATTATATGCTTCTTTATCTCTTTATATTTCTTCGAATTATATTCTTCTGCCTTTCCCTCAAATGGTAGAAGATATTGAAAGTTACTATCAATGCTTCTAAGGACTTGTCTGTTTGTCGCTAAACCTTTTAGTTTGTATAAAGACTGCAAACTCGTATAACCAATCAATACTGGAACGTTATTCACTGCTTTTCTCTGATACATCTCTATAGGTGTCCGTTTCATAAATGGATTCTTTGAAGCCATCTCGAGAGAACATCCAAATGGATTAATCAATCTTTGATTATCTCTCACTTCGGAGCTATCGAAAAGTCCTCGAGAAGCCGATAGCAATTTATCCACGGTCACATTTATGAGCAATTCACAAAGATCTTTTCCGTTGAATTTCTTGAAACCTCCCAATTTATTGTATAACTTATTAAGAATCAAATCATTTTTGTCATTGTAATCGGCCGGTGATAATGCATTTCCGCTCAACAGAATAACACCAGAGACTAAATTAGTAGCAACTGGTGCCAATAACATAGAGGCCACAGGGGTACCAGCTTCCCCAGCTCCAGCTACAGTTATTCTTTCGGGATCTCCATTGAAGAATCTAATATTAACTTTGAGCCACTTTATCGCAGTTATTATATCCTTCGCTCCCATATTACCTTCTGCAATGTCATCTTTAGTGTTCAAAAAGCCGAAAATTCCCTTCCTAAACGATACTGTTACCACTACGATTTCTTCGTCTATAAAAAAGTCAGGGCCGTGCCAGAAAGAGTAATCGTGCAGCCATATAAGTACTGGTTTCCTGTTTGAAGTTAGTGGCGTAAAAATGGATAGATAAAGACAGTCTTCTTCAAAGTATGGAGATCGCCTAGTTTCCTTATTGTAATATACATATGGCGTTTTTTGACTCAACCAATCCACCAAGAGAATCGGTGGCTGTAAAAATTGTAAAATAATTAATAAATATATTTTGTGGTGTACACTTTAATAGCTTCAAATTAAACACTTTTAACGGTTTAAAACGCGAGATATATTGTACGCAATGCATTAAAATATTATATGAAAATATATCTTAGTCAAGTGTTATTTACTCTTACTTAAACTTTCTTAAGAGGAGAATAAATTTATTATTATTTACGTCTTCCCCAGATAAAACATCACGCGTCTCAAAAGGGGTTCACAGTAATTGCTTTGTTGATTCCTGTCGACTAGAGTGGAAGAAAAACATCCTTAAGATAAGAAAAAATATACGAAAGGAATTGTTTACGACTCACGCAAAAATCACTTTACTAAAAAAATACTATTGAAACAATATGTCTAGTCAAGATTGATCAATAAAAGGTTACAATGAAAGTTTCAAAGCAAATATGGTTATTAAATTGTAAGGCAAACGTAAGTGTTAGTCAAAAGAACCGCCTTGATTATAAGCATAATAATGTTTGGTACGCATGAGGATGGAAATTTAGTTCGAAAGTAACAGTTACGTATAGACAGTAAAAAATAAAAAAAAATAACTAGACCAGGAATGTCTGATGTATTAATTGAGGTGTGGAGTATATAGCGACCAGTGACAAGAAGCAAAAGAGTAATTATAAAGATACAGATACAAAATATACGAATATATATCGAGAAAACACATTAAACATTTCTCTTTTAATTCGTAGTTTATATAGACTTATCAAATAAACTGTTCGAAATGAGAATTATAATAGTTATTTGATTTTAACTACGATTAAACGCATAACGATTTATAGAACCACTTCCTAACGGTTTTAAAGTGTTTTAATTATAAGTTTACAACCTGCGTAAGCTGCAGATACAATTTCATATTTACTTGTTATATATCAATACATATTGTACCTTAAACCTCAATTCCTTCAGTGGTGGCTCAGCATATGGAATATTATAAAATCCCACATAAGGCTTCTTGTCAAACAGTGTATGGCAATGTTTTCCGACAATGAAACTGTTGTTTAATTTAACGAGCACACTTTTCGTGTCGCATATTGGAATACACATAGCTAAACCTAATATTAGAGCAATAATCATAGTGTAATGAAACAGTTATTCCATCTATTATGATTCAATTAATGGCGTGAAATGTTTTACAAGAGAACCGTTGGGGTAAAACAATGTTAAAGCGTGAAAAGATGGAAGATAAGTCCATAATCTTTACTACAATAGAAATAGTTTGTACCTACATAAAATATATATATTTTATGATACAGACATGAATTCCATGGTGTTCGTATTCGAAGGTGACATAACATACAAGATGCGGTATCGACCTGTTTTATATTTCGATATTTCTTATTATTCTTATAATCGAAATGGGTCCTCGTGCACGCACTAATTTGTTAGCCGAGGCGACATTAACGCGTGCACTTCGGACTCGCAATGCCACAGATCGGGTTATACATTTATTTCACTGCTCCCTGGGTTAATTCACAATAGTAGCTTCATATAATATAATAATATGTAATTATTAGTAGTTTAATGTATTTGTATTTTTTTCTCTATCGTACGAGGTGTAACCTGTAAAGGTAAATTTTTGTTATTGAATAAATAATAACTGAGAGTGGGTACCAAAGTCATGTATGAGAATAAATGAAAATTAGTGTGAGTATAAAATAATAAAAAAAGCTCTGGTTGTCTGTATGTACACATAGTTAAATATTCTTTCGCTTAAACTTAAATTTAGGCGATGTTGGGTGTGTGTGAATTAAATGAGTAGCTTGACAGTTTATGGTAGTCCCTCCGCGATCTAGCCTAGTCAAAAACATCAGTAACTTAACTAAACACTTGAAAGTTCATTAACAATAATTAAGAACATATTTTTCGGTTTAAATCGTTGAAAATGTTTTATTTATTCTTTAAAAATACTTTATGTGTAAGAGATATGGCTATTAATATATTAAAAAAAACATTACCCAATTATATGTGAACACATTTAACAATCACATTTTTGTAAAGACATCGATAAGCTATCGATATTGCTGACTTAATTATTCGGTAGTTATTAACAAGATATGACATAAAACATGTTACGAATATTCCTTCTCTGTTTAAATACTTTACTTGTGTTTGGTGAAAGCCCTGTTGTTGAAACTACCCATGGTTTGATTTCAGGAAAAGTGTTAACAACTTTATACGAAGACAAGGAATATTATGGGTTTATGGGAATACCGTTTGCAGTACCACCATTGGATCATTTAAGGTTTCTGGTATGTTACATAGGTATATATTAGATAAAATGCAATTTATTTGTTATGTCTATTGTTTGGGTACACCACAACCAGTATCGTTAGTGTAAAACATAATTGTCAACGTGTTGTTGTCAAAATAAATTTAAGCAATTTAAATGTGGTTTATATTTCTGGAACACGTATTTTTAAATCAGTAAGCACACGATGATTTTTTTTATTTTAAATTAAAAAATTGACAACTTAACATGGCAATTGAATACATTTCCTACACCAAAAATTATTAAAAACATAATAATTATTATTTACAGCCCCCTAGAGAAATTGAACCCTGGAACGAAACGCTCATTGCTACAAAAGAAAAACCAGCGTGTGTGCAATTCAACAATGATATCAAAAAGAAACAACCGCTCGGCGTATACGGCTCCGAAGATTGTCTCTACCTTGACATTTTCACCCCAAACATCGATCGTAGTAAACGAGCCGTGATAGTCCACCTATTCAGCGACCGTCTCCATAATTCATACAACAAAAGCAAAGATTTCATACCCGACTTTTTCATTGAAGAAGACGTAGTGGTCGTTACGCCTAGTCACAGATTAGGCGTACTTGGTTTTTTATCCTTTGAGGATGAGGTTTTACCGGGCAACGCTGGGTTGTTGGATCTTTACACCGCTCTTAAGTGGATATCAAAGAATATAGATCGTTTTGGCGGCGACCCCGAAAGGGTCACGCTAATGGGATCTCAAGGAGGCGCCGCCGCCGTCGATCTACTTATACACTCTAAGGCGAAGGAATTATTCAATTCGGCCATTTTGCAGAGCGGCACGTCCTTAACGTCGATGTTTTTGCAGGAAAAAGTTCGGGAGAGAGCGCTCAGACTCGGCGAATTGCTTGAAATACCTTCAAGTAAAAGTGAGAAACTGTTAAAAGAACTGCAAGACATACCTCCGTCGGAGTTATTCACGAATGAACTTCGAGCTATGCCTGATGATTTTAATAAAGACAGTCAGAGAAGCTTACTCCCATTTGGTCCGATCGTTGAAAAGAATCCTGATGGGTTTCTTTCAAAATACCCTGAAGATGTCGAAGAGAAAATAAATATACCTATAATGGTTGGCTTTAACTCGAGAGAAGGTTTGGAGCTGTCGCTCCATTATCTCCTACAACCAAATTTCTTAGGTGCTCTCAACAAAGATTTTCCAGTCATTCTGCCTAAACGGTTAAAATTTAACTTTGATCCAGTCCATGACACTTATACAGAAGCAGCACAAGAAATTAAGAAGTTTTACTTTAAAAAAGACAAGTTTTCGTCAAGAAGCGCGCCAGAATTTATAACGTACATTGGAGATATTATCAACGGTTATGCAATTAACACAATGGTGCAAAAGTATGCAAAGAAAAACACTGTTTACTATTATCACTTCGATTATTACAGTAATTTAAATAGGAATAAAAACAATATATTAAAGTTATCCCAAATAAACGAGGGTACTTGGGGAGCAGCGATGGGCGATGAGCTGTGCTATCTATTCAAATGTCCTGAATTTAAAAAGGAATATTTAAAGTATAAAGATCTTGAGTCGGAGGAATGGAAAATGCAAAAGACGTTGGTACAAATATGGACAAATTTCGCCAAACATGGGTACGTTATTTAGACTGAACAACGTTTTTTTTATATAGAGGAAGACAGACGAGTATGTGTTTCAATTGATAGTAGGTAAAATAACCCAGCCATAAACGTCTAACGCTGTCAACTTTGGCTTTGGATATTCGGAAATCCACAGATTGAAACTGAAACGCGAATAAACTTGACTACTTTTCATCTGCGAACGGTGATTCGTGACGCGGACTTAATTCTGTTGCTACTTTCAACTCTGAACCAGCGGAATGTGCATTGAAACAAAAGCGAACTACGGCCAAATTTTGATTTTTATCTACCTCGTAAACCGTAAAGTCAGTTAGTACACAGATTTTAATAGTAACATTTAGTATTATTAAAATTTGGTGACTTAATTTAAATGAATAATTTAATTAATTTTAATTAGTAATTAATTGAATTAATTACTTAATTTTTTAATAAGAAAAATTACTACCGCATCACGAATTGATAGTTTGATATCTACTCTATTAGGCCAACATTTAGTTCAAGTCATGCGAGATACAAAGCGGGCGGAATTAACAAATCTTTTGGCACTAATTTTTTACAACTTAATTCTCTCGTCTCGTCTCCTCGTTAGTACAGCAATTAAATGTGATCTGAATATCAGCACATCTCTTCATAAATATCTATCGTATTGATGATTTATGAAGAACGATTTCGCATTATGTGTAATTTAAAATGGTATAATTAAATGTATCACTTTTCCACAGAAATCCCACTCCCGCCAATAATAACCCATTGGAAATCGAGTGGCCCAAATATGATCTTGAGATTAAACAATATTTGAATTTCGGTAAAAATATCGAAATCAAGAAGAACATTTTGAAGGAGCGCTTTGAATTCTGGGACAATTTCATAAGGAAATGGGAGAGGCGAACGGTTAACGGTGTTGTTAGTTTAAAAAATAAAAACGACGAATTATGATGGTATTGCAATCTTTTATTACTAACATATAAACCTAAACTTTTTTTTTAATCATAGAGGAGGACCAAGGATGGTGATCACTTGATGGTAGGTAACCCCGCCTATAGCATCTAAACAAGATGTGTTGTTGACCAATTTTGGTTTTGGATATTCGGAAATCCACAGACTGAAACCGAAACGTGATTAAACTTTATCTGTGGACGGTGGTACATGACCCGGTCGGAATTTCGATATTCCTTCCACTTTTTTTAATATAATTTTGTCCATAGTGTTTAAAAAGCTAAGGACGACTTGGACTCTCCTTCCTCGGTCAGAAGATGGACCCGGTGGGGTTCGAACCCACGACCCGTTTTTTAGCCGTGCATTGCTGCCATTACACCAACGAGCTGGTCATTTTTTTTAAAGATTAACAATAATTCCTTTGTACTAGATATTTAAGGATTTTATCTTTGACGTAGTAGATTTATCTCAGTAATTTATAACCGTGGATTTATATTAAGAAACTTCAGAAGGACTTATTTGATAGGCTGATTGAGTTTAACAGTATAATTATCGGACAGATAAAGTGAGTCGGAAATCCAATAATAGATATGAATTATCTATAGAACACGTTGGGTATAGTGACGATGTGGCTAGTGTAAATATTAATAAAGTGATAAAATGCCTAAGCAATGTATACACGTTTTAATGTGTTTTACCGGCTTATTTTATTTGGTAAATGGAGATGTGATCGTGGACACTGAGTCTGGAAAAGTCGCTGGCAAAGAAGTGAAGTCTATTGTTTCTGGTGAAAAATACTATTCGTTTTTGGGGATACCGTTCGCCCAGCCACCAGTGGGCGCTTTGAGATTTAAGGTAACATGTTTGTATGATGCAATATCCTTATCGAATTTTCTTAATTGATCTGAGACACTGTTTGTAGTTTACGCGGCAAGTACACATTTAAGTAAAGCAGTTTAACGGATTAAAACGCGTTATATATTAGTTAAACGTATTTGAAGACTATTTTAACTACGCCTGACGTTTCATATGCTTTGCAGCAGCCGTGTGGCAGCCTCCCCGTGACCATGGGCAACGACAACGTCCGTAGTTAAACCCGTTAAAGTGTTTTATTTGACTTTTGAAATGAGCTGAGACACATAAATTAAAGCAATTTACAAGTTGAAAATCCATTACACTGAAATTAGGTAACTAATATGATTACAATATTAGTGATACATAGAGTTATGATGTTATACGTATGGGGTATTTTAGCTACCATCAAGAGAACCCCACACTTGTCTATTTTTCTCCACAATAACAAATATACTAAGTCTCACTTCTGTTCTCACGTTTTGTTTTTATATTTCAGGCGCCAGTCCCCCATGAAGGCTGGAATAATATATTGGAAGCAAAAAAAGAAAAACCTTCGTGTGCCCAATTTAACATCCCGTCATTTGATAATAGACATGGGTTTTGTGGAAAGGAAGATTGTTTGTACTTGAGTATACATACTCCAAGATTACCTACCGGAGAAGATTCAGATTTACCCGTTATCGTATTTCTCTACAATGAAAACTTTAGAACGTCTTATAACAATTCAAAAGACTATGGTCCCGATTTCTTTATGAATGAAAATGTGATTATAGTAACCGTCAATCACCGTCTTGGTGCTTTTGGATTTTTGGCATTCGGTGATGAGTTGTTACCAGGAAATCATGGCTTACGGGATATCATCACAGCTTTACAATGGCTCCAAAAAAATATAAAATATTTTGGAGGTGATGCAGCAAAAGTAACACTGATGGGTCACCAAGGTGGAGCTGCTATTGCTGATATCCTAATGCATTCAAACAAGGCTACAAAATTATTTAATTCAGTCATATTACAAAGTGGAACCGCCTGGTCGCCTGTGTCCTTTACCAAAGACCCTAAAGCAAAAGCGATCTCTCTAACAGAAAATCTGGAGGATAAAGCGACAGATAGTAAATCGATAATTGAAAGGCTATCTGATGTATCAGCACAAGATATAGCGACCAATGAATTATTATGTATACATCCAGATGAAGCAAGAGAATATCAAATAGGAGTGCTTCCATTTGCACCAGTAATTGAACCTGAACACCCAGATGCTGTTATAACTAAATATCCCGAAGAGAATACTGATCCTATCGATATTCCTATTATGATCGGGTATAATTCGAGGGAGGCGATTGAAACATCTGCCCGCTTTCTTCACAAACCTAATTATCTCACTTTTGCCGATAGAGATTTTATTTTTCTCAAACCGATACGAACTGGTTTTCACTTTCAAATCAATGATAAAGTATATTTCGAAGCAATAGACGAAATCAAAGATTATTACTTCGACGAGGGTTATGTTAAAATAAGCAAACCAGGGGAATATCTTACTTATATGAATGACGTTTCAACGATGTATCCCATAGACTATACTTTACGTGCTTATTTGAATGTATCAAGGTCTGCTATATATTACTATATGTTCGATTTCGATGGAGAACTAAATTATAGAAAGAAATCAATATTGAAAGAGGCCATAACACTTGATGGGACGTGGGGCGCATCCCGTGGTGATGAACTATGTTACTTGTTTGTTTGTAATCCTATTAAAAAGACTTACAAGCGTCTACTAGAAGAAGGCGATTCTGATGAGATTAAAGTATTACAAGGGATGGTCCGATTATATGCAAACTTTGCAAGAACCGGGTAAGTACTGAAAAATAAAAGTGAAATAACACTTAAGACATTGTATTATATTATAATACAAATATAAATAAAGTTATGATTTAACTGTTTACAGATTGTAAACTTTAATATTTTTACATGTACACATGTCATTTGGCACACGATGGCATTTTATAAATATAAAACCGATTTTACGTAGAAAAAAAATTGCGCAAGATGTGCATGTATCAATAAGTTGAAAAAATACGAAGATGACGTGTAGCACATGGTAGCTCAATTGCTTAGAGCGGTACGGAACAGTGTGGTCGTCAGTTCAAGACCTGCTCGTGTCGTAAAATATTTTTCAATCTAAAATCGTTTTTAGTTTATTTACAGATTTTTACTATTGTTTTATTGGTGGACGTTAAAATGTATCATACAAAATTAATTTTTTGATTTATTACAGAAATCCAACACCGCCTGGCGACGAATTCACGTGGAAACCTGCAACCAAAGAAAACAAAGAGATTTTAGTTATAAGTGAAGAGTTAAAGATGGTTAATAATCTGTATGAAGATAAAATTAGTTTTTGGGATAATTTCTTTGCTAAATACAAAGCGAAGGCTGTTGATGGGATAGTAAAAGACAACGATAAAGATGAACTATAGTAATAGATGTACACATAACTAATTTCATACCTTTATTTCATTTCATACCTTTATTTACAAACAAGTTTAAGTGATAATATAAAGAATGACGAAAGTAATAACGTAATCTTTAACTTTGGCATTAAAAATTTCTATGGCCATATCATTACAAAATACTAACTGCGTCAGCGACTTCATCTGCGTAGAAATTATTCTATTTGGTGCCCAAAACAACTATGTTTTGTGCACGAAATTTGTTTTGCAAACCATCTCTTCATCTTTATTAATTTTAAATGTAACCCACGGCGTCGGTCGCGTCCCGTCGTTTTTGCAAGTTAATCTTAAAAGATAGACTTATAGTTACGTTACGGTTATTATTTTAGATCATTTAAAGATGCATCATTCTTTTATACATATTGTTTGTTTGATACATCATTTTCCCCGTTTTTCCACATTTCCAGCCATTTCTGCACTCATTTTAGTCACAGCGCGATGTTTAATAGCTCATTATATCGTGTTATATATATATTTTATATCTTGTTAATTTTCCTTAAATTATCATTCTCATAAATATAATTTCAAGCCCGCTTTCTCTTATCTATTAACAGAAAACCCGAGAACGATAAGTAAATAATCCATTCAGTCAACGTTATCTTTCCAATAATTATTACTAGTAAATATTTTTGACTAATACAGTATACGTTATTGCACAAAATGCACCTGTTTAATGTATTATTATTAATAATAATCGTAAAATGTGACAGCAAAGACACAATAGAATTAATATTAAAGCAAGGTGCGTTATCTGGACTTGAAGAAAAGTCGTTTTTAAATGAAAAAACATATTATTCCTTCCGAGGAATCCCTTATGCTGAACCACCCGTAGGACCCTTAAGATTTAAGGTATGCCCAATCCTATAGCTGTTAGTCAGTAATAAACAATTCCATCATACAATCATTTCTTTAACCTTAAAACATTTGTTGCATAGCCTCCCGTACCACTCCAGACCTGGGAAAACACACTAATAGCACACAAAAACAAACCGACATGCTTTCAATTCAGTTATAGGGGAAGGAATAACGAGCAACCAGGGTTCTCTGGTTCTGAAGACTGTCTTTACCTAAGTGTATACACGCCAAATATAAAGGGTTCTGCCCCAGTGGTCGTTTTCGATTACAACGATAACTTTAAAACTGGTTTTAATGGATCTGATACTTACTCTCCAGATTTCTTTATCGAAGAAGATGTTATTGTTGTAACTATTAACCATCGACTGAGTATATTTGGTTATTTAACCACGGAAGATGATAGTTTACCACCTAACGCTGGATTAAAAGACTTCATTCTAGGGTTACGATGGATACAAGACAACATTGAAGATTTTGGGGGTGATCCTAGTCGTGTTACACTTATGGGCAACCGCGGCGGGGCGACCCTAGCCCACATTTTATTATACTCTAAAAAAGCAACGGGACTTTTCTCCGGTGTTATAATGCAAAGTGGCAGTGCTACGGAGTCTGTTTATTTTGATAACAATTTGCGTGAGAAAGCTTTTAAAATTGGAGAATTACTAAATATTACAACAGACAACAGTGAAGAGTTAGTAGAAAAGCTACAACTAGTTGACGCCAGTCTTTTATTAAGTAAAGAAGGCAATGTCTTAGACGAAAACTTAATGGAAGCATTTCAAATGACTATACATCCATTCGCTCCAATTGTAGAAAATGATGGCCCAGATGCTGTGTTTACGAGTTTACCAGAAAACGCGGAGATAGTTAATGATGTACCCATCATATTAGGTTTCAATTCTCGCGAAGGCTTAGACTTAGTGTCGCATTATTTAATGGAACCAAAATTAATAGATAATAATAATAATATTCTATTTGTTTTCCCAAACAGAGTGGATTTCCGATTTGACAGAAATAGCACAGTTTTTAAGAAAGCAATGGAAGAAGTTCAAAATTACTATATGAAAGATGGGCACCTCCATTATGGAAATATTTTAGAATATTCAATATATGTGGAAGACCTCTTACAGAATTATGCACTTCATACTAGTGTTGAACAATTGTCTCTTACCTTAAAGTCGAATGTTTATTATTACTTGTTTGACTATAGAGGACTCTTAAATGAAAACAGTGAATATATTTCGAGACGGTTAAGGTTTAGTATGGAGCATTGGGGCGCAACTATTACAGATGAACTTTGTTACCTTCATTTATGCTCGAGAATTAAGAAAACGTACGAGGAACTGAAACATCTACCGAGTGAGCAACCCGAATTCAAAATGTTGAGAAAGATGGTGAAAATGTGGACAAATTTTGCTAAAAAAAGGTATTCTGAATGTGCTATATAGACAATTCTAACTACAAATGAATATCTAATTACATGTAGATAAAGTAAGATTCCATTTTGTTGGACAAACATATGTATTTTAGTCAATGTTTTTAAGTAAGGCCTTTAGTTTTACTTGTCATAGTGCTGTGGCCTGTCGATAAAACTTCACGGTTGTGCATCTGTGGACGGCGGTTCGTGACTCGGACCACCCATTAATTATACAGATAGACGAAGTCCAAAATGTTTCAGAATATTATAAATTATATTGTAATATTACTTTTTTTTAGAAATCCTACACCAGCTGCAATTGATGATAAAAACATTTTGAAGAACATAAAATGGGATCCAATAGACAAAAACGGGGCATATAATTATCTTCACATAACAAAAAAGCTGAGTATGAAAGAATATCTCATGGAACAGCGATCAAATTTCTGGGAGAAGTTTTTAAAGAAATACAGACAAATGGCTAAAAATGGTTTAGTTCTAAGTGAAGAACACATCGAACTTTAAATGATAAAAACGTAATATAAATAAATATAGTAAAATAAACCAAATCATTGACAACGATATAGTTATGTATGTATTTGTACATTATTTAAATCAACGCCATCTTGTATTCTAATGGTAAAGTAGGTTTTGTAAAACCTTCTTACAAAGTGAAACGATGTAGGTGGCCAGTGTTATTTAGTTCCTATGCAATTTCAATTACCAACACTAGGTGGCAGTGTTTTCAAAGTAGTTATACACATTATTATTCATAATAAAATAATTGTTTTTATGCACAATTCAAAACTATTTAAAAATATATTTAACATTAAAATACTCATAAATGTATGATTACTTATGACCGCGAATTCATATTTCAATATAATATCATAGGTATAATAAATTATATTATGAAGAGTGATATTCCTTATATAAGTGTACAGAGTATATTTTTTGTTATTAAATAATGTCGCGCAAAAGTGACTGTGACTCACTTACCTCGCAGAGTATGAAAAGCCTTGCATTAATCCAATATTATGTCAGTTATATAATCCGAACCTTCGAAAGGTGATCAACCTATGAACTGATGCTGTTTACCTTGTCGGTGGACTACATAGCTTACTTATAACACGTAAACGATCGTAGTAAATTAAAAATGTTAAATTTAAATAATATATATATAAATAGAAGGGTATATGTGTAGATAATTCTATTTTTATTTATGTCTATCGACACGATTACATTACACAGATAATATCATGTAATATTTTTACAAATACCACTACTGTACTCTGATTTGAGCTATTGTTAAAATCCAAAGCAGTTTAATAATTACTGTAGTGTACCAGATATTTATTAAATATGTATGTCCCACTTTATAACAAGTTCTTTCAAGGTTAAGGCACAAATAACGTTTAATCGACTCAAAGACACATTACATACGCAGTACTTTATATTGCACAAATTAACTTATAACTTGTATAATAGTACTTCGCCATTCATTCTTGAAACTGGAGAATTATATACACTTTTTTTATATAAAGATTCTTACAACGAATCTATGCATTATAAAAATAAAGAGAACAGGATGCGCGCACGTGTTCTATAATTGTTTATGTTTTTTTTCTGCTTTTCTTCGATACATTTTTACTATTATATTAAGCTTAACCCAACATATACACGTATTCTTTTATTACAATGAACAACGGGTTATTCGAATTTTACTTATAGGAAGAACAATATAACATGAGCGAATCTATCATGGTTCAGTTGGTTAATCCCATGCATGAAGAGCTAGAGGTACTATATTCGAATCCCAGGAAAACAAAAAGCAACAAACCCTTTACAAATGATAATAGTTTCGAGATCAAAAATCTGATCAATTTACTTCTCGATGAGGACACAAAAATGTGTCTGAATCACGTTGGTTTTACTTTTGCGTATAAAATAACAATCTACAACATCGTGTGAAATTAAGCTTGTTGAAATAAGATAATACAAGGAACGACCTTCTACCGTTCATACAAGAAGACCGTGAAAAAAATTTAAATTGAGGAAAAAAATGAATATAAAATCTTTTAGCATGTATGTATTTAAGTGATAAAAATTATAGGTTCTACGTATTGCTTTGACATTAGTATTTTTTTTATCGCCGCTTCCCGCGACAATATCTCGATTAGTAACAAAACCTTCGCTTATAAATAAACCTACTTTTTTATAACAAAACCGTCGATTTTGACCGGCTGGTCTAAGGGTAGTAAATGTATGACTACTAATAATTATCGGGTCATGGATTCGATCCCTACGGGGTTCAAAAATTCTAATCAATTTATAATTTTTCCAAAACAATTTGGACTTCGTCTGGAAATCTGGATATTCAATGTGTGGTAGGAATATCGATATTCCCTCCGTGTCACGAACCACCATCCTCAGATGAAAGAGCCGTCAAGTAATCGTGCTTTGGTTTCAGTCTGTGGATTTCCGAAAATCAAACGCCAAATTCGGTTGACATCGCATCTTATTTAGATGGTATACGACTTGGCTATTGTTTTTATTAATTACGTGCGTATTCGCATCATAAATGCCCTTGCCATCCCTTTTCATCAGCTTGCGTTTCCACCTTCTACATCCTGGATTTCCTTTATACCTGATTTTGGAGTCATTTTTTGAATGATAACGTGTTTATTGGCTAGGAAACCTTTTAAACTAACCGGGCGTTTGAGCGAGCGCTAACGTGTTTGACATGTTTATGTCTAGAACAAGAGTGCCGAATGGGGCATCAGCCTCAGGCTTGGACCACGGTAATATGGGAAGCTTGAAAATCTGGATCCCGATATGGGGACAACTCTAGGAAAGAGGGATTTTTGGACTCGTTAGCAATGCCATTCTGATTATATTTTTCAATCTAATCTTATATTTTAAGTAACGAAAACTCGACAATAAAAGGAGCAGAGGCGAGTTTCTTGCCAGTTCTTCAAGTTCGTTCTACGCCCTTAATTTGGAAACTGGTAGTAAGTGTAAATTTTAGTTCTAACACTTTAACTGTTTTAACATACATAGTTACCTACATGAATTTTGATTTGAATCGAATTTCACTTGATTTATTCCCGAAAAGATTTTGCCTATCAACAGCCATAACAACCTTTGAATGAACTCAGTTTACGTCCGAATGTTAATTTCAACCTTGTAACGCCTAAAGTAGGAAGAGATACCTAGAGTTGAAATATGATATATAACATCCGCATGTTTTGATTACTCGAACCAAACTGGTTTGATGTTATTATTAGTTTTTAAGCCAGTTATTAGACTGGTGTATTTTTATTGTAATAGGAAATGCACGTAAATCTTATTTAATGATTATTGTGAACATAATCTCGGTAACAATATATGAGCTAGCTAAGCCAGAAACATGGTTTTTGTGAATTAGTTTAATTAAATCCACATAAGAGATGGGCGTTTTAAAAACGAATTTTAAATTGTTTTTAATATACTTTATTAATAAACTTTAATTTATGTTGCATTCAAAGGAGTTAATAAAGCCTAATGTAAGATGCTTCAATCTGAACATGCCCACATACTTCTCTATAACTTTCAATTGGCGAGATTTTTCGTAAAAAACGTAGCAACGATTCTTTCGTTTTAATTCGAAAGTCACTGATATAAATCCCAAAGCACCGTAAAAGTTTAGTCTAAAATTATACCTAGATGCTTTATTGAACTGTTTGAATATTTATTATTAACCGCTGCATTACATCTGAAACGCCGAGCAGTATTTAAAATGAAATTAACGAATAATTCGCTTTTTAAACCGTTAACAATAATAAAACAATGCCAAAATAGTGATATTTATATTTTTGCTGATCTAGTTGTTGCTGATTAACATAAGTATCTAAATATATATATCAGTAGCGAAGTATGGATGGAGAAATCGTAGCTATGCGCACAGTAAATAATATAATTTCGAGAAGCACGGCATAGCACCCAATAACGGGTATGGCTATTTCCCTTCAATCAAGTTACGTTAGTTCCTACTTTCGATAACCAACGCGTAACGTGACGCTTTAATTAGGTATCAGTTCACTTCTTTACTACATTAATGGCCCAATGATTTAACGTATTTCGTTCAGCGGGAAAGGCGCTCTCTTCTCTTGTCCAGTGCCTCTCCCAGAGAGTTGGATGTCAGAAAGTCCTCTGGTGGAAATGGGGAAATGGGTGGAATAGTCAGCTGATAGTGTAGACTGATCGCCCGCTCTTCTATCGGTGTCTTCAATAGAAAATAAATAAATATAAGACGAAACATAATAAATCAATAGTAGTTAAATTAGATCAGCTAAACGGATACAGAAAATTGCCCTCCCAATTCCACATAGGGCCACGAGATCTAATTGAACTTCTAAAAAGCCATTTAACCTTTTTTATTTTTTATTAAATAGGGTTTGTTATGCTTCTTTATCGTTATGTTAAGCGCATAAGTCGTAAAACAGTTTCTCGAGGACGCTGGTCTAAGGGTACTAAATTTATGTCTAACTAGCCGTGCCCGCGACTTCGTCTTCAAAAACCACGAATATCCATACAAAATTTCATCCCCTTTTCAACCCGTATGAACCCTTTTTGGCAATAAAAAGTAGCCTATGTCCTTTCTCAGGCTCTAAAATATCTGTGTACCAAATTTCATTTAACACAGTTCAGTAGTTTCGGAGTTAAAGCCGGACAGACAGACAGATAGAGTTACTGTCGCATTTATAATATTAGTATAGATATAGATAAACAACGGGCCATGGGTTTCTAATTAATTTATAATATTTCTGAAACATGTTGGACTGTCTGTCTTGAAATGTGGATTTTAAATACTGTAGGAATATCGAGATTACGGAATCGAAATCCCGGGTCACGATCCACCGTCCACAGATTAAAAAGCCGTGTAGTTTAATCACGTTTCGGTTTTAATCTGTGGATTCCCGAAGATCCAAAGTCAAGATACAGGTCGACAACGCATCTTGCTGAGATGTTTATATGTAGCTGGGGTATTTTATCTTCCATCAAGTGACCTCTTGTAGACAAGCATTCTCCTCTGTCATAAAAACAGATAAAGAAATAAATCAAGCCCCACGTTAAGAAACTGAGTTCCACTTTTACTTAACTAAAATGTTAACGTAACAATCTTATGCGGATAAGTAACGGGCAACTTTTCAACATAAAAGCTTATCTAAGCTTTAGAATGTAACGATCTTTTATTCGGCAAATATGAACGGTTACGGAAGTAAAGTGGCGAGCGAGGTCGATTCAAATTAATTCATTCGTCGAAGGATAATTCTCTTTTTAAATTATTCTACTGTCTGTAGTTTACGCGAGTAGTACGCATTTAAATAAAACACTTTAACGGTTTAAAACGCGAATTATTAGTTAAATTTATTTGAAAATGCTTTTTAACTTCGAAACTTCGGGCCGAAGTAAAAATCATTTTCAAATAAGTTAAAGTGTTTTATTTAAATTAGTTAAACTTGTTTGCAAATTATTTTCACTACGGCCCGACGTTTCGGGTGCTTTGCAGTAGCCGTGTTCACGGGGAGACTGATTCTATGTTGCTATTAAAAATTGGTGCAGTACATAATGAAAAAAAATAATAATGTTTTACGCTTATATTATTCAGCTTGTACTTACAATTCCTTGTTGTTACACTTGACCTACATACGTTCAGGACAGTTATTGTCAATAATTATATTTTTTTGTGGTAAATACACAGATTTTTTTCGTAATTGAATGACCCGATAATTTTTTTCTGCCTTCACTTTTTACCGCTTACGCCCCAGCGAAGTTATGCTAACAAAACAGTTAAATTACTTCAATAAAACACTTTAACGGTTTAAAAACGTGATATATTTTTATTTATTTATTATTATTATTTATTCAAAATTTTTACATTTTATTTTTAACATAAGCGTCAACAAAAACTCATTCGAGTTTTTCCGTGACGCCCTCGTCTCAGCACACATTACATTTATACATGTATATATAGTTATATTACAAACAATTTCACGCATAAGCAGTAAACAATCAAGTCGCAACATTAATTAGAAGATATTTGGAGGGAGTAGAATTTTTTAAATTTGGTTTTAAAATTTTTTGTGGTAAGTGACATCTTTAACCTATTTGGTAATGAATTAACTAATTTGGGTATGACATAGTCGAGTGTTCTTTTTCCATATAGGTTGTTGTAATATGGCACTTGCAAGTAGGTCATGTCCCTTTTTCTGGCCGAGTAATATTTTTGCTCTATTTTATTGAAATTGTTTGTGTAATAGTTTTCAGTTAGGATATTTAGTTCTACTTTTTCATGTATAGGTATTACTTTACAGAATGCGAATAACTGTCGATAATCTTGTGTAAATTTTGTTTTAATGTTTTTAGGAACAATTTTCTTTAAGATTCTAAGCTGAAGAGAATAAATACGATCAAGGATTTTAGTAAAACTTGTTTTAATTTTTTTTAAGTACGACGCGACGTTTCGGTCAAGTATAACTAAAATATATCGCGTTTTAAACCGTTAAAGTGTTTTATTTGAATGTGTACTACTCGCGTAAACTACAGACAGTATGCGCTAATCATATTTAATGTAGGTTTTTACAACTGAAAAAACCTATAACTAAAAATTTCTGTCGGAAACGAGACTGTATTTCACGCTACAGCTGGCCAATTTGGTTTGGTACCGAACCCTTCTGGTCGACTTAGCCAGTTTTTGACCCCAATAAGCTCCTGATACTTAAGGTTAGATTACGTATTCACATAAATTATTCCCTAATCGCGAATTAGAAGGACGAATACATTTTAAAATCTATTTTATTCCCATGAGTCGTCTTTAATTTATTTTATAAAGACTGCCTTCAATCGGCAATTTTCTATAATTTTCAATACAATTATATTATCAAATCGGTCGATCGAATCAATTAGCCTAAACGTTATTAGCTCCTAGTAGTAGGTCAATTCATTTATTAAGACGCAGTATTTTGATTGTAAGCACGATTGAAAATTAAAAATAATAAGGAAAATATACCCAGTACCTAACTATCAGAGAATAAAAACTTTTCGGTGAGTGGGTTACCTTTAAAAAAATGAATAATTAACTTATAAAACAAACAAGAGAATTCTTTTTCAAAAAATTCAATTTGAATGTCTTCTATTGATTAAATTTAAGTACTTATATTAGAATTGTTATTCTGCTAAGACTCTGGTTTGTAATCAATGACAAATGTATATTTTAAATAACTAGTATTATTTTAATTTAAAAGGAATAACAACTTGGTTGTTCCAATATTCTTTCTATACTTCTATTTGCGGGCTTCCGTTGGGTGCGCAAATGGTTCAAACCAAATGCAACGTGTAGAAAAGAATGATTCTAAAAATGTGCATGACAGTATATCTTTGAAAATTACCTCGCAAGAACGACGGGACGCCAACTAAGTAACTATAGTTTATAAATCTGAGGAGGTTGTTTGCAAAAATAAATAACATAATGTTCCAAATAACTATTCCTGACGAAGTCACGGGCATAACTAGTATTACCTAAAAAGCAACATTTGATATTTAATAACATCAAAGAATAGAGAGTTGTATCTGTTTACGATAAAAAAAAACAATATCTATCGACCACAGATAAAAACATTTTAAATCGCTAATTATAAATAACAGATTTCGTTGTAACATAGTCTGTTGTATATATACATCACTATTATATAACAGCACAGTACAGTCGATTGTTTTTGTTTTTTTATAACAATAATGTCGATCTTAGACGTATTCTGAACCAGATAAGTGTGTCATATCCGTTGTACGCTTGTATTATATTGTAGCCATAACCTTAGTCGTGTGGATGAAGGTAAGACCGGAGAGGTAGTTGAGATGCCAGCGCGTAGCGAACAGGACGCTAGTGTTAACGAAGTGCATGTTATCGATATCGAGGATAACATCGATAAACCAGCTGTGATAGACGTAGAGGACAACGCTAATATGAAGACGAACGGTGAGTTTAATCTGTCAACAATGTAAGATTTTTATTATGATGAATGATAATATTACGAGCAAAGCACAAATAAGTACATTACTTGTATCAAGCGCGAATTAGTCATGTTATGATAATTTGTTAAGTAATTTTTTGCATAAGTTGATTTTTCTTATACCTAAGTTTCACTTTACTTAAATATATGTTTAATTAAAAAACGTCGGGCCGTAGTTAAAATAATTTCCAAATAAGTTTAAATAATATCTATCGCGTTTCAAACCGTTAAAGTGTTTTATTTGTCTACTACTCGCGTAAACTACAAATAGAAGGTATTTAAAAATTCGGTCGAAATTTCTTGAATTAATCTTTGTTATATTAGAATTGCATTTATTGTTTATATGTCTAGCGACTTATGTTTTTATCTGTGGTCGATAGATAATGTATTTATTTCGTAATCGTAAATAGATACAGATGAATATAAGATACTGAACAATTAAGTAAAATTGATATTACGTATCATTGGGCGAAAACTTTTGTGGATATGTTGTACTGACCATACTGTTGATCAGATTTTAGTGCCTTACCCGACCGAAACGATTTATTTTTTTCACAAATTCCGAACCTAGAACATCTCGCGCTTAATGCAAGGGTAGGCAACCTTCTAGCTACACAGGCGGTCTGAACAAAAAATAAATGGTTAAACCAATTGTATGTTTTAGTTTGTCGTATTTTACAGTTTACAAATTTAAATTTATTACATTCAGAAGTATTAAGAATTAAAAAAAAAACACTTTAACGGTTTAAAACGCGATATATTTTAGTGAATTTTTTTAACTACGGCCCGACGTTTTGGATGCTCTGCAGCAGCCGTGGTCACAGGAAGGCTAAAGATGGAGGTTGTCTCCGTAAAAGTAAAAAGTATTAAGAAATTTATCATAATGTCAATTTTAAAGATCGAAAAAAAATTGAAAAAATTTTCACCTCGGGCAGGACTTGAACCGGCATCGTCAGCGTTCCGTGCTGTTGCTCTACCAATTGAGCTACCGAGTCCTGCCCGAGTCGAAAAATTTTTCAATTTATTTTCGATCTTAAAAATTATATAATGCCTTCATGTGCAATAACATGTAATAAATATTAAAGTTTTCAAACATAAGTAATGTAGTCAAGTTTTTGTGGCCCAAAACTCACTATAATTATTATTTTATATTATGTTAAATATAAAATATAGAATGTGTTAGAATCTCAATTATTGCATTCAGTTTTTATAGAATCAATTAACACCTGTACTGTCATCGCGTATATTTATAATTTACGTGCGATTACTTCCTATACCATCTACTTATATACCTACGGCAAACTCATATACGTAAAATATTTAACAAGTAAAATTTAACAATCTTATATACTAAACCTGAAAATTACAAATGTCAACATTTGTGTTTACAGAAGTTCTCAACATTTGTATTTTTAAGCTCTAAAATAAAATAAACTGCCTGTGCATTTTTCAATATTAATAAAGACTTCTTTATTTTATGTAGCTTGATTTTGTTATAGAAAAAATAATATTGCGCTATTATTGTTAATGGTTTACATTATTTTAAAAACGAATATGATACTTGTTTTCCGGGTTGATCATGACCTATGAGATTCTTCAAACCGGTTCTATTTCTTGTTAGTTGTTTTTTAAACTCCAAAATGTTTCACCTTTAGGATTCGAATCGTTCATACTATTAGTTCTTTATTAGTCATTTATAGTATTATATAAACGTCGTAATTCGCTTACTACGTAAGTACTTCACATACAAATGATGCGGACAATGAATAATGATGTCTTTGTTTGATTCTATTGGTTGAAGATGACATATCCTCTTCAGTAGCCGACAAACAAAGCTCTCGTCTAATTCAAAACAAATATAGACATGTTAAGTCTTTGTTTTCAAATACGGCTAACACACGCCAACAGCGACGACGACACACCAAGCAACCCCTTACAGCCACGCTGTAAGGGGTTGTATCCTGCTGTGCATTTAATCTATAGGAAATACTCGTACAAATCATTCATTTGACTTTATTAATTGTAAACACCACAGCACTTATTTTATGAATACAAAAAATACAATACATCAAGAAAGCCAAAAAACTTCGGCGTGGAATATTTAAATTTGAAAACAAGTTTTTTTTTATTATATAGGCGGACAGACAAGAATGCGGTTCACTCGATAGAGGTGAAATATCCCAGTCATGTAACATTAAACAAGATGTCCTGTTGACTATTTTCGACTTTGAATATTTGGAAAACCACTGATTAAATTCACGGCTTTTTCATCTGTGGACGGTGGTTCCTTACCCGGATGGAATTTCGTTTTTCCTACCACCTGTTTAATATAAATTTCCAGACGAAATCCAACATGTTTTAGAGAAGCTATAAAATGATTAGAAACATGTCCACCGAACCCGGGACCCGCTGCCATTACACCAACGAGACCGCCATATTGTCGTATTATGGCCGTGTAATCTAGATATTGAGAAAAAGGCTGTTCTATTAAGTATTATACGTTCATCAAACGTTTCCTAATATGTTGATGGTGTCACTTATGGTGGCGGCGTCATAATTACGAGCTGCAATAAGTCGGTAGTTTCTATTCTGCCAGGATAGATGGTTTTATGCAATAAATGTTGAAAGTAGGCTCCTTTTAACCGCTTCAACATTTGTGTCACGTAATATTTCACGATTATAACCTATGTTCTATGCACGGTTTTGTATGTTGAGAACAGACAAGCAATTGGTTCACGTCAAAATCGGTGATTTGCCCTAAGCCTGTTAAAGTTTGGCATTAGACTTTCGTATAAGACATTTATTTCTTACAATCTTCGTCAACATTATTTTGGGCATTCAAGTTTGTTCTATGTAAACCTATTTTTCATCTTTATAAATGTAAGCTGTTACCCACGACATCGGTCGCGTCCCGTCTCTCGCGACCCGTCGTTTGGGTCCCGTTGTTCTTGCAAGTCAATCTTAAAAGATAGACATATAGATAGTGTCGCAGATATTTTTGTAGATCATTTAAAGATGAATAATTCTTTTATTCGTGTTTTTGAGTGTCTCGAACCGGTTTCGCAGCATCGGAAACCCAGGGAGATGTATTCATCTCTCTGGGAGGACGGATAACGGAGGAAATTATTATTTCCTCCGTTTTTTTCACATCTGTCGCTGTTTTTTCACTCCTATCAGTCACAACGCGATGCTATATAGCCTATAGCCTCGATATATGCTCTACCTAACACACTCGAACCAGTAGTTCCCAAGATTAGCGTGTTCAACAAACATACTCTTCAACTTTATATATTAGTATAGATAATACAAACTTAAGACGAATTTTATTGGATTTCTTACTCTAAGCTAATTAAACATATTGTTTAAAATAATATCAATTATAGCTTTTAGATGACGTACCTACAAATGTCCAAAAAAACGTTCCAAATTAAAAAAAATAATTACATAGACAATTTTAAATTTTTTTTATTGCTCGCTGGATGCTGGATGTCGTTATAATAATGTTTTGACAGGTACTAAATAACTATAGTAAAAAAGTTTAGTGCGTGCATACAAACTGAATATAGAGAATTAATGAACTTACGTCAGTTGTTTGTACCAATTTTATATATTTTCTTACCCATTTTTTGTCAATATTGTTACTATAGTGTGAAGAGCGGGTACAATTAATTCATAAATGACATGAATATGTACCTGCATATTTAATTAAGATGCATTATCATGCGTCGTTTAAGATTTTTTGTAAACAAAAAACCAGTATCGACATCCATTTCGTCACACAAAGATAAATATATTGTGTACACTAATTAAAATGACTGGTGAATACTCGCTTTACTTAAAAGAGATCATTCGATGGACAAAGTAAGACCGAGCTGGACATTTATGCTTGCTTTATTTAATTGTGATAATGAGTTTGCTGCCAGGGCAGAACGATAAAGCCGGAGACGGTATTGTGTATGTACCAGTGGACACAAGTGAAACTGATGTTGTGATAAACATAGACAATGGTATGCAGAATTCTTTTATACATTAGTGAATAGCCCTTTCAATTAATGTGGGGGATATATCTATATATAGATATAATGTTAAAAATATTAAAAAAAAATTGTTCTATAAAAATTAATTAACAATGACAATATTTATAATTGTATACCTTTAAGATATCTGCCTAATCTGTTTTTTTAATATTAAAATAAATAATGTTATTTATCCACATAAACCGGTCTTATAAACTTGCGTTATGTTCATATTAGTTAAGTACCGGCTTAGTTATTTAAGTAATTTCTATGGATTTCTGAATATCGAATGCCAAAATAGGCCGACGGCGCATCTTTCAGGCTGGGGCGTTTCACTTATGAAGTGAACCCATACATTATGAAGTTTATTAATTATTATGGCAGTAACAGTTTATTACCGATAGGAAACAATAAAAATACCCCCCCCCCACCCAATAAACAAAATTAACCAATTACCGCGCAAAATTTCAATTTGCAGTCATAGTCTATAGAATATAATAATATGTGTAGACTTTAAAATGTTTTATAAGGTTTTTTCATGTTCTAAAGTATACCATAAATGTTTAATAGTAATATGGATCCCGCAGTAAATAATTTTATCGCTTTAAATTTTGTGAGATTTAATTTTGTTTGTTTTGTATTACGATTCGACCTTCACATTTTAAACATCAATAATGTTATTTGCATTAAATATTCGAGAGTAGCTCAAAACCGATGTACGTAACACGAGCGAGTACGATAAGCTGTAGATATTAAATTATAGATTTGAACACGTTCTATTATCGTTGATTTCTCTAACTTCACAGGCTCGTCTAACGGTAGCAATGTATGGCTAATAATTAACGGGATGTGATTTCGATTCACATCTGAAATCAATTTTTAATAATTTCTGAAATATGTTGGACCTTATCCGAAAGTGGTAGGAATATTGCAATTTTCGCCCAGGTCACACACCACAGCCCACAGATAAAAAAGCAGTAAAGTGTAATCGCGTTTAGGTATCACTTCGTAGATAAGTTCAAAGGCAAAAAAGGAAGACAACCCATTATGTTCAAATGTTTTATAACTGAGATATTTAAACATTATGTTTTATACCTGAAATATGGTGAAATACATGTTCATTTGTCCTCTGCGTCAAAAAATATAGACTACAAATGCCTAAAGCCAAATTATGTTTACATACGCTTCATAATTTCTTTTGTTTTTCAATTTAGCGAAATTTTGTTACTTTATCATTTAATAATAGCAGGATTAAATGTTGGTAACCATGACAATTTTTGAACTTGTAATCCTTGATATACTTGCGTATACAGTTACTAGCAACTTGCAGCAACAATCGTAGGTACTGCAGTAAGATTTCTTTAATTCATCGAATATTGCCATTACACATATGGTTATCTTTTTAGAACCAAATAAAATGGTAGAAGAAATTGGAATGTAACTTTTTAAAGATGGTAGAACTATCAATTTAAATTGTAAGTTCATTCATAAAATTAAAAACTCGCTGACCCTCTGTAGTGATTGAAAATTATTTTAATAATCCATGATTATAGCGATAAGAAACTTAGTTCTTTCGTTACAGTGCAGATGGCGCTAAATAAATATCACCGACGATATTAGCGAAATTAATCATACATAACGGTTTTCTATTAAGACTAAGTATCCTATTTTATATTGGTATAGAAAGACGTCGATTGTAGTATCGTAAAAAATCTTGTTTTAAATAGGATTGAAAGTAAAGTTATAATAAAAAAATATACTATTTCAATTAAAGTTGCAAATTATTTTAGTTATAATTGGCTAATAATGTATTTTCTCTATTTATTAATAATATTTCTCATAAAAATCTATCGCTATAGATTACATTAGTAATTAAAAAAACATTATCTATTGTCAATTGTCAATTATGTCGCAAAACAAAATATGTTAATTGTTACTGTCAAATTCTTTTACCATACTAGTTTGCGAAATGCGATACCATACGATAATAAAAAGTAATAGAACAGGATAAACTTTGGACCGCTTTGAACGTGTTTATTGTCCTTTACGGTAGAAAGTAAAGAATTTTGAAAAGTAAACAATTTCATTTTATCTTTTTTTTTGAAACATGGCTCTTGGTAAGTTTTATAAAAGTGAGATAATAGTAATGAATAATACTTTTCTGTCCGTCCGTTGGACTCGGTAACATAATATTATGACGTTTATTTTTATACATTCACTTACGTACGATATTTTTATTGACTGGTTGATTGTATACATCCTAAATTGTGTTTGTCGTGTCGGTTTTTATCTACAAGTAAGGATACAAATTTTATCATTGAATTTGTATTACTACAGTGCATTCTATCTTCTTATAAGAATTACACAACAATTTCTTGTTCAAAGTAGATTTTAACGAGTTATAGTGATACTTTACACAAGATACAAAATTGTAATATTCTTTCAGGTTCACTGGGTACTACCACTAAAGCTAAACCAGTCAATATTGGTGAGGTAAGATGTATATGTATTACTATTAAACAATACTGTCCGTCTTGATATACCTACTAGTTTAACCTTTAAACCTTTTTATAATTTATTAATTAATACACTGATTGAGTGAAGTTTCTACATATATATACAAATATTTTATGTTGATTTGTTATACTATGTTATTAATACTGACTGATTATTTTAGATAGTAGAAAAAGCTCGGGATGCCTTCAATCGTGGTATAACAAAGCCTATAGAATGGAGACGGCGACAGTTAAAAAATCTCTTACGCATGTACGAAGAGAACTACAATGTTATGGTGGAAGTGTTACAAAAAGATCTAAGACGGAGTAAAACAGAAGCAGTGTTGCTGGAAGTAGACTACCTTATCAATGACTTAAAGAACACATTACACTATCTTGACGAATGGGTGAAACCTGAGCATGTAAGTAATGATAATTTTCTTAATTAACACCTCAATTGTCATTGTTAATATAATAAATAGGTATTTACATCAAATGCTTGGTTCGTTTTGAAGATTGATATATATGAGAGAGTAATACCTAAATAATGAATTTCTAAGTTTTGTAAAAAGGTCTGACTTCATATGCAGGCAGTCAGGACAAAGACAAGAACATTGCAAGACATCATAATAATTATATCAGTAGGGCGGGGCACAGTTATGTTTTATTTATTTCCAATTAGTAAACAGATACAAAAACATGTGTGCCCCATGTCCCACATATGAAACAGGATTTTCCATCACATTATTTTCTTTAAATACTGTTAAAATATATCCTTTATCATGGTCTTGTTGTAATTAAGCTGATAATGACCATGACCTATGATTAAACAAATCATGTCTGATAAACAGAACATTCAAATTTGTTTGTATCTGTAGATTTCAAATAATTATAGACAGAAGTCTAATTTCTACTTTCTTATGCAATCCATAGCAGTGCATTAACTGGAACAAAACAGGACCCAGAACGTAATAAAAAGCAATGTTGCAATAGGCCACAATAGCATAACAAAGTACTAAAGCAGTTATGGGAAATTTCTGTAATGTTTATACTGTACAAAGTTCAAAACCATGTAATGACAATACTTTACTGCCAGTAACAGGAAAACTTGTTTAAAATTAGTTATCATATAAATAAATAATTGTAGGCTACAGTACAGTACAGTAAAGACTTTTAGCAAAAAAAATTTGTTCCAATAAACTTGTGATATAAAGAACTTCAAATGTGAAAAAGTTACAAATGAGAATGTATCATAAGAACATATATTTTTGTTTAATAAATTAATAAATTTTTAGAATTATACTTTTAAATACATAGTTTTTCTCTTAACCTTAGAAGGGATTACCATAATATGAAAAACTAAAATTCACTTTAATAAGTGTTATGGAAAAACATTTGCAGAAAAAATAATATATAATTAAATTCTAGAGAAAGTTATTAATGTTTAAATTATATAATGTTAATTAAATGAGATGATTTATTCTGATAGGCCACTTCTGCCCCTATTAGGCTAGAAAAAGGACTAAGCAGCTTGCCTATGCATAAAAAAACGCAAAAAATTAAAATGTTAATACGCAGGTACATCCCATGATTATTTGTTAACAGCCTCCAAAGACCTTTGTGAACATGTTGGATGAAGTTGTGATTTACAACGACCCGTATGGCCTGGTGCTGATTATCGGTGCATGGAACTATCCACTGCAGCTACTCCTACTGCCAATGGCTGGGGCTATCGCTGCCGGTAACGCGGTCATCATCAAGCCGAGTGAACTTGCCACGGCTTGCGCTAGATTTGTCGCCGACACACTTCCGAAGTATTTGGATAATGTAAGTAGATTCTCAAAATGGAGAAGCTGTAGTAATTCTGACGGTCTCGTTATAACAAACGGTGGCAATGTATTGATAATAGTCAACGGGCTGTGGGTTTCATAATTTTCTTTAAAACATATTTGACCTTATTTATAAAATCTCGATATTAGAAGAATACACATTTGTGGTAAGAATATTGCATCTGGGCTAAGAACCACCGTACTCAGTCGAAAAAGACTTAAAGCCCGATTGCGTTTTCCAATCGATTGTATATTTATTTGTAATAAATTAAATGACAAATATTAGTGCCGACTTGTTTAAGTACACACTTTTAATACTGTAAAAGTGCAGTTTTCATAACAAATGTGTGTTTTTTCATTAATATTGTTTGGCCTCAGGATGCCATATTGGTTTTGGAAGGAGGCCCAGAAGAAACTACTGAACTACTCACCCATAAATTTGACTACATTTTCTACACTGGTGGAACGAACGTTGGCAGGATAGTTTACAGTGCTGCTACTAAAAATCTTACCCCAGTGACATTGGAACTTGGTGGCAAAAGGTGAGATATTAATTATTTTATTTTTAGTTAGATGAGAAGTATACTATTTATGTATTGTCGGTAGTTTACGTGAGCAGTACACACTTAAATCAAACACTTAACCCCCCTTTTTGTTTTGACACCCCTCCTGACTACGGCTGCGTTACAGCCTAAAATATATTTCGCTTCTTAAACCGTTATATTTGTTTATTTAAAAGAATTATATGTCATAAGAATATAATTGATTTATCGATTAATCGGGTACAATATTTACAAGATTATTTACTTTCCTATTGTTCATTTTCGTTGCATTAATTTGAGGCTTTGAATAAACACCTTTTACAGTTCTACATATACCTATTGAAGAATGTGGGGTTCCACCAATATATTTTGTGTTTAGAACCGTTTAGTTTTTCTTACAGTACTACTCAGCGCAACTACAGACAGAACATTAACACTGACTTTTAACGTTTGAAGTATACGTAATATGTAAAATAGTAACGTTGCTTCGTTATTATGTATGGCGTATTTCAGTGTTCGTAACTTCAGTTAATGTACTGTTCAAGACTACGACCATGCGTACTAGGTACTTATATGTGTGAATCCGTTAATCATAAAAAACTCGCTCTTAATTATAATTAATTAAGAACACTTAAAATGTTACACAGACTATAATGCACTCCGCTCTATTATCTATGGTCTAATCATTTTTTTGTATGCAACCAGCAGTATAAATAATATCGACATTTGTGTTAACAGCCCAACATACATTGATAACACTGTAGATATAGAGGTCACAACCAAGAGGATCTTATGGGGCAAGTTCATCAATGTGGGCCAGACTTGCATTGCTCCAGATTACATTCTATGCACCAAAGAGGTCCAGGATAAATTCGTGGAGTGCGCTAAGAAGATACTGAGGGAATGGTACGGTGAAGACCCACAGAAATCTCCGGATCTATGCAGAATCATCAACAGTAGGCACTTCAGGTGTGTTAACATACCTATTTAAATCTTGCAATTCCAGGTTCGATTCCGGGTGAAAATTTTACTTGTTTCGGAAATACCAACACTTAGAATTGTAAATGATGTAGTAAGTTTTCCACAACATATTTTTTTACAATAGAATAGTTATTACCAGCATAGGTGACGTAAAGCTAAATAAATTAATGAATGTTAATTATTATAATCCGTACAGACATGGAAAAATATATACAATTGCAAGGCTTTTCACAAGGTCACAGTGATAATTATATTTTTAGGTACAACCGTACGTACAGACCCTATTTACAATTATTACTACTCTTATTCTTAAATACTGACAGTATTCAATATTTATGACCGCCTCTGTAGCCAAATGGTTAAGCGCGAGAGGTTCTGGGTTCGAATTCCAGGGAAATAAAGAATTGTTTCGGTCTGATCGACTACTGCACCCTGCCTGTTAAAGAACGGATTCGGTTCGCCCCATGTCCCACGAGCGGGAAAGGGTATTTCACACAATTGTTAAACACTAATGATCCAGTATTACTATAGGTCAAAAACATAATTGTGGCTCACTTCCACGTATTAATTTTAACTATGTATTTAAATAAAACACTTTAACGGTTTAAAACGCGATATATTAGTTAAACTTAGCGTGCAGCCGTGGTCACGGGGAGATACCCGTGACCCCGGCTGCTGCAAAGCATCCGAAACGTCGGGCCGAAGTTAAAAATCATTTTCAAATAAGTTTGACCTTGACCTTGGTTTCTCATTAAAACGGATGGGCTCGTTGTTGTAATGTGTGGTTAATAATCAACGGATCATGTGTTCAATCCCTACCCGGACCCAACATTTTTCTAATTTATAATTTTCCGGAACAATTAAAATAATTAAAACAATCAATTTTCAGCCGCTTACAATCATTAATAGACGCCAGTAAAGATAAGATCGCTATCGGCGGTAGAAGTGACCCCCAGGACCGTTACATTTCACCTACGATTATCACTAATGTCACCCCGGCCGATAAAATTATGGAGGACGAAATTTTCGGTCCGATATTACCAATTGTCCCCGTCGAGAACGCTTACGAAGCGATCAAGTTTATCAACGCGAGGTAAGTCTTATCTATACACAATCACTAGAATAATTTAATACTCAAATCCAATAATAACAATATTTTTTATCGTGACGATAATTTTATAGGATGTTTTCATCATAACAGCGGTCGAGCAGGGCGTCATTTTTGCTTATTGGCTTACGTCTTGGAGACGCAAAATTTCATTATCACGTTAGGATTGCTTGACGAGGGTCACAACAAACCAATTATAATAATTGGCTTGAAGAATCGGGGGTTTTCATACCAGAAACTACTGACCAGCTAATCTATCTGGGTCCGCAGAGTGAGGTTTTTCGTTTTGACTGTACCGAGTTAGAATTGATATAAGAATGAAAAACCTCGCTTGATTGCTTTTGTGAAGCAAAAAAAAACTCATATAAAAAGAGCAAAGTAGTAAAGATTACTTTTATTTTTGTATTTTCCGAGTATACATATAATTGTTTATGTCAGTCTCCTTTCGAGTTACAGTCCTTATTTACTTCGCTCTTTGATAATGCCATCCTTACGTTTGATTTATTTATTTTATTATTGTCTCCTGGATCATCTGTTGTGTGTGTGTGATTGTGTTTTTTTTGTTACTGTCGACTCAGTGTTCTTAAAACTTTAAAAAAATTAAAAAATATGAAAATATAAGTGTCTAAGAATCACTATACGCTGCTTTGCGGTTTAAAATAATAAAATACACGCTAAATAAAACACTCTTCATGTTCAACGAGTATATTAGTCAAGTCTTCCCGTGGTCACAGCATTAGCAAAGAATACGGATCGTAATTTAAACTAACTAATATATTTCACGTTTTAAACCGTTTAGAGTGTTTTATCATACAGTATCTGCATACAATAACATAAGCAGACAAATGTGGCAGATAGAAATCCAATGCACTTTCTGTTGGGTTTTGCCGCCAACGGCTATGAAGAGTCGAATTGTCAGTTCTGGTACGAATCATGACGGTGGGTTATTTCAGGGAGCATCCGTTAGTATTATACGTGTTCAGCAACCAAAGCAACATCCATAAACTATTTACGGAGCAGACCCGTTCGGGCAGCCTCTGTATCAACGATACCATTATGTTCTATGGCGGTAAGGATTCGGTCGGCTTTTGCACTATACGTCTAACGTCAGTCATATTGTACTTTGGATGCCTTCAACGTAGCCATATCTTTAAAATTTTAACTTCCTTTAGCTTACGTTTCGATTTTATGTTCAAACCCAAATTAGGTCGACAGCTTAGATGCCGTAAGTGCCTTCCTCCATGTCCCCTTTTCTCTGTCATAATCCAAATTACAATATGTCGATGTTACGCAGAAGTCTTTGTAAGGTGGTGGTTAGTAATGGGTTTATTCAACTGTTTTAATCGCACGTTAGTAACGCAAGTTTAGAGGTCAATGCCAGAAATGTTTGAATTACAAAGGCCAGGGCACACTGTCTGCTTATATTCAATGCGCGTGCGCAATGTTTTTTTCATGCTAGAATTTTGAAGCATTCGTCGCAATTAGCTGTTTTTTTTTGACAATATTCAAACAATTACATTTTGTAATAGTGATTAAAAAAAACGATTGTTCTATACACTAAAATTAAACATGTATTTTTTTTACGTTTGTGGTATGTATTAAAAGAAGTTATATCCATTGTAGTAGACATTATTTCCAACCGCAGCTGACGCTTGTAATTGTATTCTTCCATATTGAATATTTTCTTAAATACCAAGGTCATTTCAGTGTATGCATATAAAATTGTTTAGTATTTTGTATTTTATCTTCTTGGTTTAAATTTTTAACTCAGCAGTTTTGTACACCTTTTCGAGGAATGGGGATAGTGACCTCTCGATTGTGCGATTAGCAATCGAGTTTATTATGTACTAGTGCCCGCGACTCCGTCTACGTGGAGTATTTATTTTGGGCATCAAAGTTCATTTTTTGCAACCTATGGAGGTCTCGAGCTTGTCTTAAAAGATAGTCGCGGACATTTTTCTAGGACATTTAAAATAGAGTATTTTTTTCTTGAACGGCTTTCACGGCTTACGTAACGGGAGTTCACAAAGATGAATAATTCTCCCCGCTTTTCATATTTTTCTACTATTTCTTAGCTTCGATAAATAGTCTAAAGCCTTCCTCAATAAATTATCTACCCAATACAAAAATATGTTTCCACTTGGAACAGTCGCTCTTGAGATTAGCGCTTTAAAACAATGAAACAAATTCGTCAGTTTTCTAATATTGGAATGGATTAGACCTCATCGTCAATAATAAAAGGGAGGTAGTGACGTTGGGTATATACTCGAAGACCCTCCGAAATAATATTGTTTACTTCAAGTAAACGAGTTAAAGAAACATCTGAATTGGCTATTGACTCTAAAATGCTACGTTAAACTTATCTTGGTGAGATCTATGCTAAATATATTGGTGATTGGTTCATTGTGTGGTTAATATTTCATTCTTCCTTATCATCGCTATGGTTTTAGAAATGTCCTATTCGTTGTCTTAAAAGGTTCAACACATCTTGTTGTGTATAAATTAAAAATCGATTTTAGATGAAAAAAAAAATATGGCACGGGCATAACTTGAACCGGCATCCACAGCTTCAAGGTTCAAGTCCTGCCCGTCTCGTCAAAGAATCTAAAAACGATTTTTAATTTATATAGTTCCATCATGTGCATAACACGTGAGAAATATTAAAGTGTTCAAACTCCTTGTAGTGTATATAATTGAATGTGTAATAGTAGCCGCTCTCTTCGTAGATTACCTATATGTAAATAAAACCTTTATCCTGTAGTCTATATAATATTAACGGTGGTGGTATTTTCTATTGGCTGTAGAGAAAAGCCGCTGGTGCTGTACGTATTCACAAATAATGATGACGTCAGACGGAGTATAACAGATAATACGAGTAGCGGAGGGATGTGTATTAACGATACCATGATGCTGATGGGAGGTATGGACCTAGTTTAACATACAAACAGAATTCAAACAGAAGGACAAACAGATTCTGTGACATCTTTAATTGTTAGCGAACCAACCTTTTATCAATTTGAATGCGGCATTAGTGTTAATGAATTAAAGGAATTACTGTCTGTAGTTAACGCGAGTAGCACACATTTAAATAAAACTCTTTAACGGTTTAAAACGCGATATATGTGGTGCAGCAGCCATGGACACACGGAGTCTCCCCATGACCATGGCTGCTGCAAAGCATCCAAATCCGAATTTTCAAATCAGTTTAACTAATAAATGTCGTGCTTTAAACCGTTAAAGTGATTTATTTAAATCAAAGACAAATTCATTAGTAAGTATATCAAGTAAATCCTAAATTTATTTTGTTTTACTATTGCTAAACATCTAAGAATTATTCTTAGCTTAGCTAGAAATCGTTCTAAAAGGTTGGTTAAAATAAAAATGTTTGTAAAGTAAACCTTTGTCGTAGATCATTTTAAGTAATTCGTACAGCACTAAGAAATGAATTGATTGGTGTCTTGAAGCATGCGTAGTTCTAGATGGTTCTAGATAATACTGGTAATGTACGATGTCCGAATTATAGAAGTATAGAGGAAGGAAGAATCTGAATGTGATTGCGAAGTTCCTATATTTTTATTTGTGTATAAATGATATCTTGCACATTTTAATTGCTATACAGTTTGTAAAGTTGAGTATTAAAAATCGATTTTAGATTGCCAAAAAACTTATGACGCGGGCAGGACTTGCGGCATTCACAGCGTTCCGTGCTGTTGCTATAACCAATTGAGATACCGTGTCGATCAATCGGTGTCGATGTTCTTTGAACTTATTGATACACGCACCTCTCGCGCAATGTTTTTTTTTGTCTAAAATCGATTTTTAATTTATATATCGCCGCCATCATGTGAATAATATTAAAGTTAACGAAAGTTAAGTATTAAATACTGTCTGTAGTTTACGCGAGTTGCACACATTTAAATAAAACACTTTTAACGGTTTAAAACGCGATATATACATATTAGTTGAACTTATATACTGTATAAGTTTATATAATATTTATCGTGTTTCAAACCGTTAGTGTTTTATTTAAAAGTTAAGTATGCAGCTAGGATTCTGATTCTTCTTCCTCGTTATCATTTCAGTTGTTTGATTTTATTTTATTATAATGACAGTTGACACGCTACCGTTCGGCGGCGTCGGCAACAGTGGGCTGGGCGCGTACCACGGAAAGGCCTCGTTTGATACATTCACACACAAGAAGAGCTGCTTGGTGAAGAATTTCGCTGCTATCGGAGAGAAGCTCGCTTCGTAAGATTGTTTTTTTTTTACTCTTTTTGAACAGCTCAATGTTCGGAGCTTATTAAAGTAACAAGATTTTAGGCTGTACGATGTTGTATGTCACAATTGCTTATGTGTTATCTACAATAATTTATGTGAACATTGTTTTCTGGAAAGCTAACAATGTCATACTACGCACCGCTTTTTGGTAAATATAACAAAACTTTACTTGTGTTGATATGTGCTGTAAAAAAACTAATCTCGTGCAGTTTTTTCAATGAGACAATGCGGCATAATCGTTCAATATGCTATAAAGTAGCAAATTTTAATTAATTTGTGCTAGTGCCGTTCGTAAAAATTCTGAAAATGATTAGAACTATGGTTTTTTAGACGATATATTTTTTCCCTACATACCTACTTAGCACTGCAATAATTGCTATAGCACAATTTCAATACAAGAAAAATATAGTTATTTTTTTTCAAAAAGTAGTGCTAAGTTGCCATAAGCATCTTATTCGACTTAAAAAAAATGTATGTTTAACCCTATGATGATTTACTTATTTCCAATTTCCAGTGGTCGTTACCCCCCATACACAGAAGGCAAGTTGAGCTTCATATCAGCTCTGATGCGCAAGCGCCACGGTCCATCGCTCAAGTATTTACCATATGTGATCACTTTTGCGCTAGGCGCCTCCCTGGCATACGGAATTACTGTATGGCAAAAGGTAAAGAAATAATTCGTATCATTTGAAGGCTGGTGGTACGCTTCAACGCTCTAAACGCTCGCAACGCTCAAAGATTCAGCATAATCACTATAAATAATATTACATAAACATTTATAAAAAATTAGATTACAAATGCTATGTGGGTCCAGATTGTCTAGGACCCCAAATATACGTACAAACCATGCCGCGACACTTTTACGCGTCGGTACAATACCGAGTAATATGCCATACCCTAAAATTAGCAGAATTGGAACCCTGTGGTGGGTATTAAAACCATTTATTTTTTTATTGTGAATTTATCGTCGTAGACATAATTTTGAAAAACAAAATTGTTGACTATACCACCTGTTGTATTTTTGCATAAGATATGTTAAGAATTGTTTGTAGCTTACGCGAGTTTTTAAATATTCTTAACGGCTTAAAACGCGAAATATATAAGTTAACTTACGTTACACGAAAGTCATATTTCGGATGTCTTGCAGTTGCTTTGGTGACGGTAGGGGGGTGGAGCGATATAATTCGTGTTTTAATCGGTTATAAGTACGATATATATTTTTGTATATATCATTAGAATGTACCTATATATTTACTCTGTAACTTTTCTCTTAGTTTAAGCTTTAATATATGACCGAGACAAAGGTAATATAAATACTATTGTTGTATATGTTATGCAAACGTATTAAAATATTTCATGCATTTTTTTTTGTTTCATTGCTTAGCATTGTCACTCCTACGAATACTTGATCTACCATTAACTTAATATTTGAAGTAACAGCATGAAAATGTTTTATCAGTGTAAATTATATAATGTATTCGCTTGTGGTGACTTTAAGGGCTTGTAGTCCATGCACTTCATGTCTTTATCGACAAAACAAATTTAAACAGCATGTTCATGACGTAAAATTTTCTTCATATTCATAAAACGTAGATTAAAAAATGTAACGCCTATTGGTTTTTTATATTGTCATTTTTTATTCCAGATGGGATCGGAGGATCTGTAAGTTGCAGGAATTGTGATAATATTGATATTGTTTTAACGTCTAAACGATATAATTTAAGTAGAGGGAAATTGTGAAATGAGTTGAAGCTGTCAAACATAATATGGTCTGGTAAAATAAGAATCACTTATTTATTTCAATTTGTTGAGAAAATTATGATCTAATACGACTGATTACTCTTAATATCATGTTGTTACTAAAGTGTGTATAATCTTAGCATATTTCAATTTACTATTCATAATTATTTTGTATTGATTTAGCCAAATAAAAATTACTGTAGTATACAAATTATAGACAGTAATTTTTATTCATTCGGCACCATTTTAGCGTTATATCAAATACACAAGTCAATTGTCAGATTTTCGTTTATTACAAAGTATAATGTTAAAATTTCCAGCCAGACTTATCTACACAGATAAGGTTGGTTGCGAACGACATGAGTATTTACAATTTACACCAGATTTGTAGATTATCAAAAAACGTAGTGAAAGAAAAATTGCATTTTGAATTTTCCACATTTGTATGAGTTAACACAAATAAAAATTAGGACCAAGTAAATAAAAGTTGCGAAGATTATAATCATAATAAGTAATGTTATACGGCATTTAACTTTTTATTGTGCAATACAATAAATAATTAAGGCGTTTTATTTTTTATACTTTTTTATGGGAGTTAGTGCTGTGAGCCATTAGACTATATGTCAATTTCTGTATATAAGCCACAAAATATTATGTATTTATGTGTATATGTGTTACACTGCATTAAGTTTTCATATTTTAGAATTATACTGAATAACATGAGATACATGTAAATGTGGATTTTATTAATAAAATGGGTATAATACGTAAACTGTGTATTTCTTAACAATTACCAAAAGTAAGGCTTGTTTTTATAATGTTTCATAGTACGGTCGACTATGCCTTAAATCCTTCGAGCATTTGAGAACTAATGGTAAATGTAAATGAGGTTTTGTATTCAATTTAAATTATGCTAAGATGCATTAGTAAATTACCTGTTAAATATCAAAATAGAAGAAAGCGTTGATATATGGGTAAGGGTTAGGAAGACGGAACGTATGAAGCCGTAACGCATAACGTAACGAATCGATTTACCCATTAACAAGATTACTTCTTATAACATCAAAGAAGTGATAACACTCCAATTATTTAAGCTTATACTGTAAAAGAAAAAAAAAACTAATTTGAAAAAAAAATATATTGTCTCGATTAATGGAGTAAGAATTTGGATTGCACATTTATCAGAGATAAATATTATCTATTGCTAATTTTGCATACACTAGTATGACAACAAAACGTGTTATTTTTGCTAATATGCTTTACCATGTTTAAAATTAAATATCCCGCTTAATAAAAATATTATATAATACGTCTTTATATCGAATATTATTCACAGAACATAAATACGGTAACACTTTTTGAGCCACCGAAGCGAATCTGACATATACAATAAGTCAACTCCAAGAACGTAGTATGCCAGTTTAGTAGTCTGTGGTAAACACAGAGGAAAATTACACACCTCTCTTTGACATTTGTTATGTCATTATTTTTCTTCTGGTAAGAAAGTTTATTAATGATGACTGTAATAGTTTTAGTTTTTTAAAAATAGAACACTAATATATCGTGGATAATTTCTTTGTTCATTAATAAATTATTGTTATTATTTTTGCTATCTAAGGTAAGCTGAAACTTTTATACGATTTATTTTACTTTTCTACTATCCACGACATCAGTCACTGTCTGTTTTTCAAAGTAGTAACACTAATACAAATGAAACGAAAGTGCTTGTGATGAGCAAAGACGAAAAGTGTCGATAGGTCATAAATTCAACAGAAATTAGCCAGAATCTTCAGGTATCTACAAAATATACTAAATATTTACCCTCGCATGTGAGGGTACTATGTGGTGGTGCTGTTCTTCTTCCGCTAGTTCAGGTGCTTATTCACATTTGAGGGCTTGTCTGACTACTCCCTTCCCATATTACTATACGGCGGCCATATTTATAAGTCATGAAGGCGTTGACGCTTGTAATTATTTGCGTTTTATTCTTTTCTAGGACCGATGGCTGCGATACGAAAAAAGCTAGTGATTGTCGGTGACGGTGCGTGTGGTAAAACGTGCCTGTTGATCGTGTTTAGTAAAGATCAGTTTCCGGAAGTGTATGTGCCGACAGTATTCGAGAATTACGTTGCCGATATCGAGGTAGACGGCAAACAAGTAGAGCTCGCTTTATGGGATACAGCGGGCCAAGAGGACTACGACCGGCTCCGGCCACTCTCTTACCCGGACACGGATGTGATTTTGATGTGCTTCTCGGTGGACTCGCCCGACTCCCTTGAGAACATCCCGGAGAAATGGACTCCGGAAGTGAAACACTTCTGCCCCAATGTGCCCATCATCCTAGTCGGCAATAAGAAAGATCTGCGCAACGACCCGGCAACCATCAACGAGCTGCGCAAGATGAAGCAGGAACCTGTTAAGCCTCAGGAAGGCCGCGCCATGGCCGAAAAAATCAACGCATTCGCCTATTTGGAGTGTTCGGCTAAGAGCAAGGAGGGTGTGCGTGAGGTGTTCGAGACGGCGACCCGTGCCGCGTTACAGGTCAAGAAGAAGAAGAAGACGAGGTGTTCTCTGCTGTAATTGTGCTGTTGTCGCAAGAACTCTGATTATGAATAGTTCGCATACTGCCTGAAACTTAAGTTTGAAACTACTCGAACTCTGCAGCAGTCGCGGCGTCGGCCACACAGTGCTTCCTCGATACTGACTTGACGATGTCGCGGCGCGCATAGCACGCACACCCACTCAGTATTCGTGTGGCTATATTTTCACAATCGGTACTTGTATATTATAGTTATCTATGAATAAGCGTAATTGCCTTAACAGAGTAGTCAGGGGCGAGCGGGCCGTCTTGTTGGGCTCTCAAGAATTCCGTGCTATACTATCGTGTTATATAATCAAGTAGCATTTCTTCAAATTTTAGATTTATTCCTCGACCGGTGTCGTCTCAGCGAGACTTATTGTTAGTTTGGTATTTTGTATTTTAATTTTTTCAATAAAATAGTGTATAAATTATGTAGGATGTTTATTTGACAAGGAGGACGAGCCCCGTTCTAACTCCGCTGAGTGCCTATCAGCTATCTTGAGACATTCAAATTCTGATGATACGGCAGTTATATTGTAATCTATTGTTTGTGTGAAATTTTAACTTCAGTATGGTATTGCATGCTATTATTTATTAGTTTTAACGCCCCATATTTTAACAATAATTTTCTAGACTTTTTGACTTTTATAAAATTTAATACAGCATTTATAAATCAAAGGTTTAGAGGAAGGGGAATATTTAAGTTGAAATTCAATTATTGTCTATGTTATGTTTTATTAGTATTGTAAGTACAAAAGTTATCTTTCAAATATACATTAACATTAGACATCCTTTTATAATTTAAGATGTTTGGAATAATTCCAATTACAAATTTATTAACTAATTAAATGAGCTTTCAATTCAGGATTTCCTGTTCCTCATCATTTTAATGAGCTGCATCGGATTGAAACGCCTTCTGGGAGTGCTCATAAAGGCTGCTTGTTCCAATTCATTTGGAGTTCTGTATGGGACCTCGGTGCCATCTGGCAGGCATTGCTCCTGACCTCTCAGGTCTGGTACCCAATCTGCATATAGTATTGTATTGACTAATGGAAGCTCACTTGCTGCAATTGGTGTTATTATATACAAAATCTCCTTTTCCCAATCGATACCTCTCACAAGACCTGTAGACAATATATCTTATATACATTCTTGGAAACATGCACTATCAGATAATGGCTTATACAACTTTAATTGATATCAAAATGATAGTTAACTATACAATGTTTGTGTTACACTGAAAGATTTCAAAGTTATTTAAAAGATAAAACAGCTAGTAAACGTCTATTGTCTTAAGATTTTTATCAAGGTAATGAGCAAACACAATTTTCTTCTGAAGTTGTAAGGGAATGATAAAATATTTATATTGTAAATCAAATTTCTTGTTTTCTAGTACATATAACACATTAATATATGCGCGAAAAATCCTAGGTTCGATTATGCGCAAGCAATATTTGTTTTGTAAAAACAATAGTAAATAGACACAGAAAAGTGTCTGCCCTATGCCTCAACATCCAGTAATATGGGATTGCAGTCAGTTGTAATATAATGGGTTGTAATCACCATGTCCATGGCACAGTAGCGGTTTATCAGCCAATGTAAACACCCTCTCACAGCTTTGTGTCGCTTGTTGACACAACGCCACCACTTTTCCATTAATCACCTTTGTAATGCAATCCTTCTTCACCTTTATATTCACAGCTACATACAAGTCTTTCAGTGGAACTCTGTAACAATCAAGCATACTATAGGACTAAGCAGGCTTATTGGGGATCCATCAGGAATTTAAAAAATTGAAAATAAACATAATATCAGTGTTGGAGCAGCGGTACCAAGACGTTACTCATCGTTCCCGGAGCTGTAGGTATCAAGTCATTACTCATTCAATAGAGTGATAAGCGTGAACTGTTTTCTTCAATGTCAGTTAAGAATTTTTATTAAATATAACCAATCGCATCTATACGCTATACTAAGGTGTAAAGCTGAGGAGTGTTTGTTGGAAAGCGCTAATCTTCTAGTTCTAATTTAAAAAATATTTTTGTTTTGGTTAGAGCATTTATCGAGGAAGTCTATATATACTCTTAAAATGTTCGCGACAGTGTATGTCTATCTTTTAAGATTATCTTGCAAGAACCCGGAAGTAGACGACGTCGTAGGTAACTCCCTCAAATTTATAACGACGAGGACGAGGTTTGCAAAAACATAACTATGAAAAGAAAGATACCCATAGAACCTGGAAAATGAAGACAGTATCGAAATGCAAGATTTAAGTTATTTGTTATCTTTATATTAATTTCAAACGACACAAACAGCATCAAGCTTAGTTGTTTATTAAGATATTTTAAACTTTGTTGCTCTGTCGTAGCAAATCATGACATCATTGGACGACGATGCGTCACGACCTTTAAAAGATATGACGAAATTCAAGCCTAGTACATATATTACGAGACAGTTGACTATTGCAGTACCTGAGAAGTATATGTTAGGTTATTAAGCCGGCATTTTACTTCCGACGTTTATTAGAATTCTTTGAAAATTGATAATGTACATGTATGATAATACACGTAGGTACATTATTATCTGTTCTCATCATTATAGGTCCTGCCCGAGTCGTAAATTTTTCCAATTTATTTTCAATCTTTAATTAATAAAGTTACACGGCCATCGTTCAGCATATCATTGTCTTTCGGGCTGTTCGGCCGACGTAAGCGACGGCATCATCAGGAGATGTTAACTGCCTATTGCTTGTAGAATTATAATTCTTCGAGGGTGGCGAAACGTCCAGAGCCTCTTCTCGCTCACGCCGTCAGAACAGCCCGAAAGACGTTTTCGAAGTTTTAATTGACCTAATCTCTATAAAAGCGACTATTAATTTTTATTACTGTTTGTGAGGGAAAAACTTTTTGAATCATGAACTCGTGACGAATTCCAGGATTCAAATCCTCGGCCCGGCAAAAGTTGGTTGGACCAATCAGCCCAGGGTTTGGAAAATGGATGTCTAGGCAGATAGCAATGTTTCGGAGATGTTCCCGTAAATAAATCTATTAAAATTTTGTGGTGGGGGTCATCGTTGAAGCGTACCAACTAGTACTAGAGCAGCATGCTGAGTCTAAGCTTATAAAACTATCTTCTATGTGACCTGGGCATAGTAGAAGGCAATAATAGCTTGAAAAGAATGGGAAAACTGTTTTATTTTGGAAACTGTGTTGCGTGTTTTATGTAATTTTAGGTTAAGCAGTTCAGATTAAGAATTATCAATTGTGGTTTTCCTTATAAGATTTTTAACAGTGCAATATAAAATGTTTAGTCCCCATTTTCTAGAACCCAATTCACACATGGTAATATATATGATATATTAAAGTAGGTAGAATATTACTTACTCATATGGAGTGGCACCAAGCAGCCAATATCTTGAATCATTAGAATTTTGAAACAACTGAGCAAAATAAGCTAAAAAGCTTAAATATCTTTCATCGCGAGGAATTAGAGGTGATTTATTTGGTTGTAAGATTTCCGCTTCCGGCGCCATTATCAAAGAATAATCAGTAACTGTACTTGTTAAGCCTACGAATTGCTTTTCGTATTTGAAACGATTAAACATTTTTTCTACGTTGTCCGGAGTAAATCTAGTGTCAAAACATTTCTTTGGATTTTTGGAATCATACTGAAGGACATAATCTGGTTGCGCTAGGAGTATGATTATAATCATTAATTTTAATCCAACATTATTTGTCATTCCCATAGTGTTAATGATCCATGGGATAGTGTTGAAGTGTTCCCTGCTGTAGGTGATTACACTTTTTACAGCATTGATGTAAAGATGAATGTTATCCATGGTACTGATCATACCAATATTTAAGGATCTGAAACCATAACAATCAGTATCTAGAAACATATTTAAGATTTTAAGAACAAAAAGTTATGATATGGCATCCCCATAATTGAAGTTCAATTAGTCCTATTAGAAATATCTATGAAAAAGCATGTTTTCTACGTACATATTAGGGTGTTTTAAATGTGTGAAGCTTGGCCCGAAAATTGGTTTGGTGACAACAGTAGCAGATACATTGCCGGCCACAGTAAATTCACTCTGTCCTGGATCTAAATCTATGACTAGTATGGGTCCTTTATTGAGGACTTTGTTGGTGTAGTACCGTAGGAAAGTGGACTTCCCGCTACCTTTACCACCACATACAACACACGTTGTAATTGCTGAAAGACAAATGGAACAGCTTTTATTCATTGTGTAACAATGGTATATAAAGAATTCTTGAATTGAAATTGAGTCTTACATTTGCTGCTAGACAGTACTCTCTGCCACAATGGGTTTTCTATGAAAGCCCTTTGTGGTTTTGCAGAATAAAGTGTGCACCCTAAATATTCCGATGCTTTTTGTAAACTGTGTTCCTTGGATTTGTCTTTAAACAAGTTTACTTTATTAAAGTTCTGAGAAACGAAATCCATTTGCGGATGTCTCATAGGTTTTAAAAGTAATATGCCATCACTTTCATTAAAGTCTTCTGAAATATCTATAGCATCTGATGACAAAACACCACATGCTTTGAGTTTATCATATAATTGGTCTGTTTGGTTCGCATTTTCGATAGTTTTTAAAGTTTGGGCATAAGAATACAATGGGGCTATTATAGGACATTCAATTTCTGTTAATATATGCCCAAACACTTCCAACTTTCCAGCAATAGCTTTTGCTATTACCATACCATGTAGGTACAGCTCACTGGGATGTTTAAATACAATTACACAATTATCATGCCCAAAATATATTTTGAAATTGTTATTTGGCTCAGAATGTTCCGAGTCATTCATTATATTTAATGGAAGGTTAGTTTCAGTAGGCACACTCGTTTCAATCAGAGATGTTTCGTCAATGTTAGTAACATTATCAACTGTATTGCTTGTCTGATTATTGTCTATATCTTCTAAATCTAACACTCTCAGATCATTATCAACTTCTGGTATCAAACTACTCATATCATCACTATTTTTTGTATTAGAATCAATATAAAATGTGGGATTTTGATAGTGAGCGGGCAGATTTCTAATAATTTCATTTTTGTATTCTCCAAGAAATTGATTAAAACTTTTTTCTCCATCTATTTCTGACAATAATATAGATGGCGGTAATATTACGCACTCTCTTACTTCATCTTTGGAAGTAGTTACACTTTCTTGTCTCCCCAATTTAATTGCTAACTGTTCTTCATCCTCATAGTTTTTTATTAGTAATTCATCATTGTCACAAGACTTCCGATCTTGATTTTGCTTACTATTCTTGTCTCTTCTAGACTTTTTTTCTTTAATTGGTGATAGCTCATCATCTAGCATGCCTCTCTTTTGGTTTAAAGCTTTATGATGCAATAATTTCTCATGTATCATTAGAGCTAATTTTCCCTCTGGGTCGAATTCACACAAACCGGACCCAGTAGAGGAATTGGTGTCATCTGATGAAATATAACTAATGTCAGCAGAAGGAGATAATATATAGTTTTCATCATTTGATACCTTGTTACTGGTCATACCGTCATTAGAAGATATATCTAAAGTAGTGTATTTGAGAGCACTGTTTTCACTATCTTGTAAGTTTGGAATTTGTTTATGGCAATTTACTTTACCATTTTTCTCTTTAGATATTTTGCATTCGGACATACTAACATTTAGCTCAGATGCTTGCGTACTTGGGCTATTTGTTTGAGATATGACATTGGCAGTAGAATCTTCAGCACTGGACACCGTGAGGTTTAAATCTGAAAACCCGCTCACAGAAGTAGAGTCCTCAAAATCTCTACTGGCGTCTTCTGCATCTTTGATAAGCTCATGATCACTGTTTTTATAACCCTGTAGCATTATTTTCAATTTGTTTTTGATAGCATATTGGTCTTTTGGAGGGGTTTTCGGCGGAATTCTAACAACGTGGGCGCGTTCAAATAAATCCATTGAATATGGTCTTTAAACGTATTCCTCTACTGAAAGTAAGTATCTTAATATTAATCGACTCGTCTAATCTGCAGGCAATTTCTTCCAGTATTTATTTTAATTTGTAGCACTGTAAATAAGACTTTAAATACTTTATATTTAAAACTTCTGTAGGTACCTACATATTATTTATTACTCTTCTGCCAATCTAAGTTGTGACATTTGTCAGCTGTCAATTATTGAGCATATATAACTCTAATTTACAGAATAGAAATATAAGCAGGGCCTTGCTGCAATAATTAGTTTTAAATCTGTATCACTTCAAAGAATTGTCAATTAAAATTTTTACATCAATAATTATCTAACGTACTAATAAATGTTTTAATCAATTTAACTTGATATAACACCGACGCAGCGTTGTTAATTTTTACATGAGAATAATACACATATACAATAAATTTAAATAATAATATTAATCAAGCACTATCCTAAGTTATCATTCCAAGTAAAAATAGCATTAGTATATCTTACATTTATTAAGCATTAGCAGTAAGCAGAAAATTAAAAAATAATCTGCTATAGTAAATAAAACTCAAGTATATTTTTCGATTTTATTTATATATGTAACCACTGTTGATTCCGAGATAAATATGCATTCCATGATTGTATTCACTTTAATACAGTCCATACGAATGAGAACTACTAATCACTGCTGCAGTGATCTCCTTAACAATCTTCAGAATGTATCTTGAATGGACAGCATTCAGGGTACATTATCAAGATGGACTATAGTGTTATTTATTTTACTGCGCCTGGAAAGTTGCAAGGAAGTCGGTGACGATCTTCTTCAGTGAGGCATCGGACTCAGGGGTGATCTGTCCATCCTTGGCAATAGTGCTCAACAGACCCTGGTGGCTGGTCTTGATGTGTTCAGTGAAAGCTTTCTCAAATGCCGTGATCTTGGTTGGGTCCAGTTTGTCAAGGTGACCACGTACACCACAGTAGATGATAGCAACCTATGATTGAAATTATGGGATTAAAATCAGCTCTACATAGGTAGAGGTAAAATTATAAAAAGAATCATCAAAGGCAATATAATACAAGACATTTGATTTACCTGTTCTTCAATAGCCATGGGCACATATTGTCCCTGCTTCAAGAGCTCAGTAAGACGCATACCCCTGTTCAAAAGCTGCTGAGTAGCGGCATCCAAGTCAGAACCAAACTGGGCAAATGCAGCGACCTCACGGTACTGAGCCAGCTCAAGCTTCATGGAACCTGCCACCTATGAATAATAATGTGTGTAAATTAATATCATACAAATTTCACAAAAGAAACTGATACAGATTAAAAATAATAAAATAAATCTGTTATTGTTATAATTTTTGAAATTGTGGTAGTAAAATAATGAACTAAATTATAGAAAACTTGCCTGCTTCATAGCCTTGGTCTGGGCAGCAGATCCTACACGTGATACGGAGAGACCGACGTTGATGGCTGGCCGGATACCCTTGTAGAACAGCTCAGTTTCCAAGAAAATCTGTCCATCTGTGATAGAGATCACGTTGGTGGGAATGTAAGCAGACACATCTCCAGCCTGGGTTTCAATAACTGGCAAAGCTGTCAGGGATCCACCACCCATCTTGTCAGACCTAAAAAAACATATATTTACAATTATGTGATAAATGTTAATTATTTACTGTCTACAATAACGTTGCTTTAACTTTTAAAAACTTACATCTTAGCAGCACGTTCCAGAAGACGTGAGTGGAGGTAGAACACATCTCCGGGGTAGGCCTCACGACCCGGGGGACGACGTAGCAACAGGGACATCTACAACAAAATCTTATATAAAGTTACCCAGTATAAACAACCAACATAATGTTTGGAGTTAAGTATTAGAGAATGAGATAAGTACAGCCTTGAGTATTCTCATTGGATATATACACATATATATCTGATTGGATGTATCCAATGAGAGATAAGAACCACAATCGTTTTTAATAATGTTAAAATAGGACTTGTTTACCTGACGGTAGGCAACAGCCTGCTTAGACAAGTCATCATAGATAATAAGGGCGTGCTTGCCGTTGTCGCGGAAGAATTCACCCATAGCACACCCAGAGTAAGGCGCCAAGTATTGCAGAGGGGCGGCGTCAGAGGCAGTGGCAGACACGATGATTGTGTAGTTGATGGCACCTGATAATATATTACATTGTTGCTATGACCTGAAGTTCGTTCCACTTATTAGCACATTATCATTATTAGTGTCATTATTAGCTCACCGGCGTCAGTCAACCTCTTCACAATCTGGGCTACAGTTGATCTCTTCTGTCCTATAGCCACATAGATACAGTACAGCTTCTTCTTCTCGTCTTCGCCCTTGTTGAAACGCTGCTGGTTGATGATGGTGTCAATGGCCAAAGCAGTTTTGCCAGTTTGACGGTCACCAATGATCAACTCACGCTGACCACGTCCAATGGGCACCAGTGAGTCTACAGCCTTAATACCTATAGTTACATGAAAAGTTTAATAAGTCAAATTTAAAAAGGTTTTTCTAGTTTTTAAAACCTAATACAGGTTTTTATAAATGTGGTGTATAATTTGTAGAAGTACTAGCACAAGACATCCTCTAGCAATTTCTCTATAGAATTTGTTATATAATTTTTGTGTTTAATTTTCTAATGTATGTGTATATCCTCTGAATTTTTTTCATGATTTTAAAATTTTGGATCTTAGAGTTACGAGGGTCCAATTGTAAACTTTGATATCTTACCAGTCTGCATAGGCTCTCGTACAGACACACGTGGGATGATACCAGGGGCTTTAATACCAACTCGCATACGGGACTTTGTGTCAATTGGGCCCTTTCCATCAATAGGGTTACCCAAGGCATCAACAACACGACCCAAAATCTGTTCACCGACAGGCACGTCCACAATGGCACCGGTACGTTTTACGATGTCACCTTCTTTGATCAGCTTGTCATTACCGAATACTACCACACCCACATTGTCGGGCTCCAAGTTAAGAGCCATTCCCTGTAGAAAAACAGATCTACTTTAACTATATATAAATGTAATATTAATACAAGAAAAGGATAAGATTAGAGCTCCAAATCAAAAATAAAGCTTTATTTTCACTTAAACTAAATTCATTTAATGTGGCCAAACAGTAAAGTTTTTACTGTAGATAGTAAATCAGGTCTTACAAACCTTGAGACCAGAGGAGAATTCCACCATCTCCTCAGCTTGGATGTTCTTCAGTCCATATACACGAGCAATACCGTCACCAATGCTCAACACCCGTCCAGTCTCTTCCAAATCAGCCTGAAACAGCTCTTTTATATATTAGAAAATGAATAAATTAATTCACACTGTTAAATATATCTTCTTAGTTGCACATAAATTACAAAGGTAAGACTAAATTAACTTCTAACCTCAAACCCTCTATTATTGATTTGCAACAGCTGACAGATTGTATTGACATAAGTTTATGTAACACAAACCTTGGGTGCGGCACCGAGGATTCTCTCCTCCAGGATGGCGGAGATTTCGGCAGCTTTGTGTGGGGCGGAAACATGGAGCTTGCGCGAAGCCACTGCGACCGCTGGAGCGGCGGCCTTCGATACCTGAACATCATTACATAGCAATTAAATTACTCTTAAACGTAGATATAAACCCGCATTGCGTATTTTTGGCCTACAATTCCTCTTATAGGAACATATCCGCGAATTGGACTTGTTATCTGACAACCGACCAATAGCCGTCTATTACATAACATCACTTTAGGGAACCGTATTAAATTCTTCTAATTGAAAGATTTAAAGCAGTAGTGTGTCTATTTCACGTAATTAGCTAATATTAAAACTCATGCTGTAATGAATTTGGTACAAATAAGTGTAAAATTTAACAAGTAATAGACGACATTGCGGTGGGTTTGGTTACCCTCACATACAATTAAATGTTAATAATAGACATAAAGACAATAATTACCTTTGTGGCGGCATTAGGCAAACGCCTGGCCATGGAAGAGGCCACACGAGCGGAGAAGAGCGACATTTTCACAATTTCTTATGGATCTTTTTTACAAACTAGGCGACCGTAATGTTCTCCGCTCGCAACTCGTCGTGATATTACCGGAAATGACAGAATTGATAATTGTCTATGGCTAAGTCTTCGAACTAAATCAACGTTCGGAAACAACGTAGCTTCCTGTTTTACGCTTTTTGTACGTGCATACATAAACTTTTACCTTTATTTTTCATCATTAATGTATGTTTAATTATTAAGTTAATCGTTTGGTTTAGCTAATGTTCCAAATAAATGTCCGTTCCATAAGCTTAAAATACTTAACGCTATCTGTTGTTATAAAGTCAGATTTTTGACATAAATTTGACATTGACAACAGTTTTTACTAATCTTAAAAAACAAAAGTAAAGATCGTGATCGTAGTTTAAGCGAAAATGTTTTGCAAGTTATCAAGTAATGGTTTTCTTGTGAAGATTTAAATGCATAATTATTTTATCTGGTGTAATGGCTATATTCGAAAAATTAAATCCAGTCAAGGCTACTTTAGATGATACTGTTAACCTTGTCTGTTCATTAGAAAATGCTCAAAATATTAATAGACATACTGTGTGTACTTTATATTTTGGTTGTGCAGTTATTAAACGAATTATATTGGTTTTAATGATATCATATTTCAGGAATATATATTGCGAATCCAAAGAGGACCGGGCAAGGACAATTCTTGGACCGTATCTCGCCGATATCGCGATTTTGCCTCCTTACACTTAAGTTTGCAACACGCAAATATTGGCCTTCCCTTGCCACCTAAAAAACTAATTGGCAATATGCAACCTTCTTTTGTGGCAGAACGACAAATAGCTCTACAGGTTAGTCATTTGGTTTTTAGTTTGTATTATATCTTGTCTTAGAAAAAAGCCAAACTTTATTTTTAATGATATTTACTTGAGGTATAATAACACCCTTCTGGCTTAGCTTCTTTCAGAAGTCATTAAATAGGTAGACCCAGGTTTAAACTGGATACTAAAATCTGTAGGCTCTATACACACTTCCTTGGAGTTATGATGTTACTATTTATTTATCATTTATTGTAGAATTATATAGATGAAGTTTTGAAGCACCTGATCTTAGCATTATCGTTACCAGTGAGAAGGTTTTTGGATCCCGTTAACTATTCAAAAAATATAGGAGGTATGTTTTTTTTATTAAATTTTTAATCTAGTAAATATGTAGAAACCTCTGATTATTTATATATTCAGTGAGTTATTTATATCTTTAGTGAATGGTTTCAAGTGATATGTACGGAAGCCACAAGTGCTTATCTAGTGTTATGTAAAACATATTAATATCTGATATACTGACCACAGACTTCGATTTATTCTTTGTTTTATATACTAGTATTTATTTACAAAGGAAATATACTATATGTGAAAATTCTAACAGGCTTAATGCACATTTGAAAAATTTTAAATGCTGATCTATAGTAATACTAGCTGACCTGGCAAACATTGTTTTGCTATATAAAAATAAGAGTTGATCATAGAGGGGTAAAAATATAGGGTTGTATGTATTTTTTAATGCCACATTAGAAAAAAAATAAAAAAATAATAATTTCGTCACAAAATTAAAAAAAAATTTAAGGGTGAACATCCCTTATCACTTAGGGGGATGAAAAATAGATGTTGTCCTATTCTCAGACCTACTGAATACACATATGCGATTTGGTGAAAATCGGTAAAGCCGGAAGTTTAAAGTTTTGGAGGAGTACGGTAACTAACACTGTGACAGGAGAATTTTATATATTAGATATAAAGCTAAAGAGTTTGTTTGTTTGTTCGCTCTAATCTTAAGAACTACGTGTTCGAAAAAAATTTTTTTGTGTTGGTTAGAGCATTTATCGAGGAAGGCTAAAGGCTATTATTATTATTAATCATCACGCTGTGACTAATAGAAGCGAAGATGCAGCGGATAATGTGAACAAAATGGGGGAAATTTTTTATTTCTGTGGGTTGATGACGGGTGAGGTGACAGTTCGATGCCCATAATAACAAATCTCGCGTACGAAGTCGCTGGCACAGCTAGTTATTTATAAGGTTTTTCTGTTTCTAACATTATGAAAAAAGAATTGGTGTATGCATGTTTAGATTATAGAAAAAAATATACCTAACTATTAATAGCAATACTCACTACTATACTAAATTCTATAGATGATAAATCAATGCCATCTATCGAAAAATTCACGCATTGTTAAATTGTAAAAATGCACTAGCCAACTATTATGAAAACATCAAATTCATGTTCAGACAAAAAAAAAGATTTTTTCATTTTTGACTCCATACCTTAGCTCTCTATTATGATAACATAATCTGTCCCTTGTAAGGAAATGTTTCTTTTTTCTCTGTCTAAATAAGGTTAAGGTTAAGTTAGCAATGGTAGTAAACTTAAGTCTTTAAATTTCAACCGATTTGATATTCATAAGGGTCAATGATTTCTAACTTTGAGTAGCTAAACCTAAATTCATTTGCAGATGAAGCTCTGCAGACAGTCTCAATTGCTCTTCGAGGAGATGGGGAATATGAACTCAAGGGACCTTTACCAGAGATAAATTGGAGGATACGAAAACATTATTTCTCCGTACGTTGGTTTTCATGTATTATGTCACATTAATCGCAAACGAGTTTACTTTCCAACATCTGCCAATTTCAGGAATAAGTATAACATTTAAATCTGGGTAGATATATATATATATTATATATCTATATGTCTCTATCTATCTATCTATGAGGCCCCGATATCTATTGGAGATATCAGGGCCTTGATCTTCAGTGATTAGGTCTCTCATGATTGCTATTTGGAATTTTTCTAAGGCACTTTCTAGTTTGCCTGCAGTTGGAACTAATTAGTGCCTTAGACAGTTCTTTAAGCAATTTACTAGTTACAGTTAGTTTTGTTGTTACAGCCCTCATTTCAGCTGGATGTAGGGTTCGAGCTCCCCATAGAGGGAAATAGAAAATAACTAAATGAGGGAATCAAAAGAACGATTTAATAAATTTCATTGCAATTTAATGCTAAAACTGTACAATACGCTGATAACGCTACTCTTCGTTTAATGCACTTTGTTATTGTTATTTTACAGGTCATCGACTCAGAGAAAACAAATTTTTTACTCGCTTGGCAGAGTTATGGACCAGATAAGTATTTGCATACTAAAGATTTACAAACATGCTTTAAGAGTTTACAAAATATATCGGTGAGTTTACTCAATTGCCTAGATTGTATCTTGCGTATGGCTAATTATTTTGTTCCCTACTATAAGTGTATTTTCAAATTTAACAAAGTTTTGTTTGTATATTACTATAGATGTAGAAGTGTTTGTATTTAATATTTAATGTCCATTCCAGCATCCTTACATCGATGGAATTTTAGCGATACATTCGCTAGAAACGGGTGCGTACGTTGTTAGACGGTTACACGAAAAAGGTTCGTTGCGCGACATTATCTATGGGACGGAGTATGACAAGAATTATTTAGCTAAGTATGGTAACCCGAAAATAAGAAAGCCGCTGACGAAGGGGCAAATTGCTCATTATGGATATCAAATATTGCAGGCGTTGAGATTTTTACACGATAAAGGACTGCCACATGGTGAGCTTTAAGCTTTCTCAATTTCCTGTTTAGGTATTTTTGTGTATTTTCATTAAATGAACAAGCTTGCTAGCTAATACTATCTTAGATGGTTTGTGCCCTTTGGTTGTGAAGAAGATGTCTTTCCTTTACATAATTCAGTGTTGTGTTATTTATTACTTCTAAAGAAGAGTTATTTAGTTTTTTGTAATTCAATTTAATTTCAAAATGGAACCTGTTAATAATTATTGTTATTCTTATAGTACTCAACTCGTGGTCTTTAAAAGTATATTATATAAGTCAAACTATTTAGTTCATATCTTAGTAATGTTGTTGTCAAAGTTTAAAGTAAATTAACTACTAATTTCAAACCGTTAAAAATGTCGTATTTAATAATAAATTGTCTCTTAATGTAATTCTATATATTTCAGGGCATCTCCACCCGGGCAATATATTTATAGAGAACCAAAGAATACTTCTCGTGGATATGGAAAATATTTTGCTAGGCGCCTCCAGCATATACCGACCGTATTTACGAGAACTCAGGCATTCAACACCTGAAGCTGTAGACGTGTATAGCTTTGGACGAACGTTGTACGAGATGGCGTTCGCTGAGACCCTGGAGGGCTGTTACTGTGATAAATTTGATGGATTATTCGATGATATAGGTGTTACAGTTTTGCTAAACAAACACAACATTCACATAAAAAGTCGTAATTTGCTCACAAGGTCTACATTGTTTTCACAAAAAAATTGAGACACTGGATTATATATTAAACTAACGAAACTACCTCAAATTCACTTAGTAAAAATCATGATTTCATGCTATATCAGTGAAAATCTTAAAAAATAATACTTGTAAATGGACACATTTAGTTTGACATTTACCTAGGGATGGTATGTAAGGGCAATAGGTAGGAGTCCACTCTTACGCGATCGCTGAATAGAGTTTCAAACGTTGAGTTAGTTAATAATGACATTAAAAATTAAAAAAAAAGGGTCGCCACAAAAGTGATTTAATATTGAGGTCATTTGGTCGTCATCTAATCGATTTTTTGTCCCTGTGTGATCTGTGGCAACTACGTCACTCCATGAAAGGTCATCACTAGTTCTCTATGGTTTGAAATTGGCCATATTTGTCATGCTCTTTTGCCAAGTTAGAAAAAAATACACTGTAAGCACGTTTTATATGTCACTCTATGTAAGAACTTACTGATTTCAGAATCAGTATTACACTTGACTCTGTCAAGTACGTCGTGGAAGCGAGGCGGTGTTAGCTTAGAAGAATTACTCCAGCATCCCTTCTTTACGCGTGCCATAAATGGATTTCCGCGTGACGTAAAGGGACATCTGAAATTCCCTCTGGTCTTGAAGAACGATCTCAAAGAAGCCGTTATTGCTGTAGAGGGGAGGTTGAAGGTGGACCAGAAACTAGTTAGTATACTTGTTCTATATATTTGAGAACATAGGGGGCATGGGGCGAACACATTTCTGTGTCCGTTTTACTGATCGTTTCTTTTACATGCAAGTTATAGTAGATTTTTGTGCTGCTCGACCGAAACAATTTGTTTTCTTGGGATTCGATCGCAGGATTATTTAGCTCCAGAGGCGAAGAGGTTTATATAAGAGCTTGTAATGAATTGATAAAGTAATTAATAAGGATGGATAAATGTCATGATCTGTAAACCCACATTTTATACAAAATGCACTATTAAATCACAATGTATTGATGGTACAGTGTTAGATAAAATAATGTATCGCAAATTAAAATAAAACATTTTAACGGTTTAAAACGCGATATATATATATATATATATATTAGTTTAATTTATTTGAAAATTGTTTTTAATTTCGGCCCGACGTTTCGGTTGCTTTGCAGTAGCCGTGGTCACAGGGTAATTTTCAAATAAGTTTAACTAATATATATCGCGTTTTAAACCGTTTAAGTGTTTATTTCAATGTGTAGTTAAACAACAGACATTACCGCAAATTTTGAAAGTTGGAAAATAATGTCACAATTTTTTAAGTTAAAAGTAAAAAGTTTTTAAGTAATTAAGTTACCTTTATGATATATGCCAAACTACTAAAAGCGATAATATTTATATTTTCATTTCGCTTTCAGGTTCGAAACGCTCGCAGAGAGTTGAGAATTAAAGAGATACTGGGATCCGAAACAGAGATGAGGAAACAGCGACGGAGAGCGGTATGATATAAACATTAGAATCAGTAGTTCCTGAAATAAGCGCGTTCAAACAAACAAACAAAAAACTCTTCAGCTGTATAATATTAATATCGATGTAATTATATTGATTTTGTATTTCATTTTTAACAGAAAAAACGCGATAGCCTGTGGAAATCGACCTCGTCTTTGGCGGAAACTGTTAATTCTCACTCTGCAAGTACTACGTCCTCACCAACGCCACCAGCCACGAGTAAGTTTAATAAAAATCTATTTCACATTTAGGCTTCGAACTGTTAATGACCGTGGTTGGTTCCCAATATTTCGCCAACACGGCGGCCGAAAAATGGCCCAAAATCCAATAAACTGACGTTTCTATGTAAGAATGACATCTAGGTTTGACATTGACAACTAATGACATTTCTTGTCTATGTAATGTCTTGGCGAAATTGGATTTAATTGTCTGTTCACATTTTTTTAAAATGTACTTATAAAGAATAGGAATATTGCCCATTTCAGCAGTGGGCGAGAACAGCGGCCTATCTCCACCTTCAAGCAACGGGCGGGGTGCGTTACTACAAGCGATATGTTCCTTCGATAAGTCTTCGCTCGCTAGAATTAACTCGCGGTAATTCTATAAACATATATAGTGAGATAATATGATACAGTTGTCATTAGTTTACGAGAAAGAACTCCTAATTTAAACGCGAATTTTTTTAACTACGACTGTCCAGAGTAGGCGCGGTCACGTGACGACTGCTGTTAATCATTAAATTGTTTTAAGCGTAAATAAAATATAACGATAACGTATGTTTAGTTAGTTTGAAGTTAGAAATAAAGTGATTATTATTCCAAATGTTATTAGCATTATATAACTCTTATATATATATACAAAGCTTTATTTCTAACTTGCAAACCAAAATTATAATATATTAAATACCAAAAAATGTTTATATTTATCATGAAAGATCTTGTTTATTTTATAGACTATAGTAGACTTGACGTATGTAGAAGTTATTAATTGGTTTACACCTAAGCTAGAGGCGCCCCCTGGAGGCAGCTTCCTGTACAAAATATGTTTGGCCATTTCCTTTTAAACTAAAACGTATGAAGTTTTTACAGAGTTTAGGCTGTTAATTTAAAAGTCGATCAGTGCATTTTTATTAAAACTGACGAAGTTAAGAATTGGAAATTAAGAGGGGCGCGTGCCATGTGTTTTATCTAAATATGTAATTGTCATTTTCTCGTTTATTAAAACGGAAAGTGATGTAGCTATGTTTTGTATATACATATGATTATAATTTTTAAAAGTAATAGTCGAAAAAAATATACTTCGCTGTAAATTGTACACGATGTGTTGTGTGTTCCCAGTGGCTTTTATTGTTTCGTCAAGCTGACAAATTTTAATATACCTAATCAATGAAATAAAATAAACACTTAAATTATAGAAAACCTACAAATATGACAAAAATTTTAAACGTTTTGTTTTTGCCAAAGTTATTATCATTTTATGAGACCTTCGCCAGTCGCAAGTTGTTGCCCAGCATTGCATTAAGCATATCCTGGGTTCGAATCCCGGGGATTAATCAATAGTTTTGATGGGGCAGAGAGTAGTTGTCTTATCAACTACTTCCCTATAAATAAATTCGATTAGTGAAACGGACACAAAACTGTGTTCGTCTTAAGCAGGCTAAAGCGGGATTGACTTTCAATTTTAATGGTATTTTTGCGTTATTACATTTTATTCTTATAAACTGTTTTAAATGTCAGCAGTGATATTATGACTGGTCACCTGAAAAGATTTTGAATTTATTTTTTCGTTATAATTAACAGCTTTAATTCCCTAAATTTAAGAAATATAAATTATATTTTATTAAGATTATTTTTGTTGTAAGAGAAATATACTAGTTGGAAATCTGTATCCTCTTTATATTAATTTACCCCCCCTTCCTACGGATATTTACAACCGCCTCTGTAGCTAAATGATTGATGCAACTAAGCTCAACTACAACAAACATTCTTATGAATTTTTATTGAAAGATATTAAAGTTTTCAAACGTTAATTCCAATTTTCATCTTCAATGATTCCTTGACCTGTAAATTATAAGACATTGAACCTGAATACGTAAGCTTTAAGGTTGAAATTACATTGAACGAGTGGTGCATGCATTAAGAGGTTGAAAAGCAAACGTGTCTACCGTACTCAATTGGTGAGAGCAGCAGCATTGAATGCTGTGGATGCCAGTTCAAGTCCCGTATCGTATTTTTTTAATGTAAATAGATTTTTTAATGTTATGCCTATAAGAAAGTTTATTTAACACTATATTTTATATCAACAAGCTATCATGCCCCTAAACTAACACACCATTTGCACCAAAAAACTAAGCAGTGTGTTAGCAGCGGGAATGTCGAATGTTCATACAAGGCCAAGTTAAGAAATAAAACAAAAATTACAATATTACATTTACTGATACTCAGTTCAGCTTGTACAGCTTAAGTAAAGTAGAGACGTTATTATTTTGAACGAGCTAACGCTGTCATGTCAACGTCGACAAGTAACGAAATACGACAAATACGTTTACACAGGCAGAAAAAAAGTGTGCGAGAATGAAAAAATAAACCAATAATAACAAATTAAAAGCTCAAAACTCAAATATTCTTATTAAACTGAAAGGACTTCAGGATTTTCAGCCTGTCTAAATTATTAAGCGTTGTCAGTAAATTGTTAAAATACACATCAACGTTCTCTTAATGCACCAGTAAACAATACTTAAACATAAATTTCTATTTATAATACAACAATAAAGAAATTACATAGGTTTCATATATCCTAAAATATTCATCCAGAGGATAGTCTCTCACTGGGTTTGTCAGACCGCCATTTTGACGAAAAATAAACATATCACAAAAAAACACTGTTCAGTTAAACGCGGATAGGAAGTTCTACTCCAATTCTGTGATATCATCGATATCATCTAAGTCAAAGTCTTCGAGTGTTTGCAGCCCTGAAAAATATATTTAAATATTTATTATACTGAATAAAAAAATGTATATGCCAGTTATTAAAATTTTCATAGTCTTATAATGTCAATCTACAAAAGGACAGTGACCGAAAATTATTAACGATTTTTACACAAATAATAGTACAAATTCATTTTCCTCCTTATCGAAAATCATGTTTTTTGTTATTAGGCCACTCTGCCTGTATTTAACCAACTTACTCTTTGGTTTCTTAGCAGCGGGCTGTGCAGACCAGGCCGAAGATCTTTTTGTCTCCAATTTGGGCTTGATGCTTAGCGTGCATTCCCTGTTGACGAACAAACGGCGGGCTCGTTGGTATAATGGCAACAATGTGTGGTAAACAATCAACGGGATGTAGGTTGGAATAACAATGGATACCATACGTTTCTACTGAATATACGCCTGAATTATGTTATATAAAAAAACTTATTTGACTTCATTTTAAAATATGGTAATTAAATATGAAGCAGGAATGTTTAATTTCGGTCTAAGCGACTAACTACCGTCCACAGATTAAAAAAAACGTGAAATTTAATCGCAATTAGGTTTCAGTCTTTGGAAAATAAATGGAGAGTGCAATGTTGAGATGCCCGGGTTATTTTACCTTCCATCACGTGAACTCGACGCTCGGGAAAACTGCAAACCCCATATACTAGTTATCTTTATTATTAGGAATAAATCGCGTTGGTAATACCTCCTTATAAATAAATATTAAACGGCCTTTCTGTGAGATTAACAATATGTCTGCGGTATTTCTATTAAGTAACTGTAATCGTCTTCTAAAGTAGATACTTACGTCAGATCAACAAAAGAGATGGACTTCTTGGAAGAGTTCCCAACCTGATTGCTGCTGGTACCCGCGATCTTATTTACGGTAGCTTGCTTGCTTTTCCTCGCATTTGTCCACTTGGCGCGCTCTAGTCTCTTGAGGAGGTCGAGTTTCTGCTTCTTCTTTTCACTTTCGCTTAGGCTACGTTCTGAATCCGTTAAATCGAGTGTTATCGTAACCTCCGGCTTCTTCGACGGGACCTGGGTGGTCTTTTTGATGAGGGCAATTGATGATTTGGAATCTTTCTTCAGTAAGGAAACCTTTTTCTTTTCCTTTTGCGCCGGTAATACTGATTTTATTAGGATAATTTTCGATGCATCTTGAGACTTTGATGCCACTATTGTACTGTTCGAGGATTTATTCTTCTTTGTGTCTTCGTCATCCAGCTGGGGTGCTTGAATATGAACCACGTTTTTGAAAATAGACATCGGGTCGTCATCGTCGACTGAAACACTGGATGGTTCTGGCGGTTTCGAAGTGCTGGACGAAGTGGCGTTAGGTTTATTATTATCCTCAATAGAAGTATGGGAGAGAGACTTATTATCGATTGCCTTTGAATGTTTATCCATAGCACGAGATTCGTTACCGTTAAAGGTTAAACTGCTTTTTTTCTTCATTTTCTTAAGAGGACTCTTTTCTGTTTTGTTTATTGAAATCATGTGATCGGGGTCACCATGGGTTAATGGCTTATTTTTATTATCTGTCGGGGTTATTGTAGGTTCTGCTGGTTGCACCGTTGTAATTATTTGAACCGGCTTGCATTTAATGGGTATTGGTCCTTTAGCAGAAACCGTATTTTTGGCCATTGATTGAAGATGAGGAAGTGACGAAGGGGTTAGACAGTAATATTTTTTAGTGGGATCTAGCAACTTTCCAACTGAGGCTGGAAGAGTAAAGGGGACATTTCCTTTGAAGGTAGCGGTTGCTTGAAGTTTAACAGAAGATTGAGGATAGTCGGAAAACAAAGAATTAAGCAACGTAGCCGGCTTGCTAGTAGATGGGGTACTGGGTTCTTCATCACTATCTGACAGACATATAGATTCTATTTGATGTTCATTGGGGACAGAAGAAGAACTTGCTCCTTGAGCTGGTTTAGGGAGTTGAGCTACGCTAGGAGTTATTCCAATTGGTGCAGTGTTGCTTAACTTGGTAGTTGTTGACACCGTTTGTCCACCAAGAGTGGGACTGAATATAGTAGGTTCTGACTGAGGAGGATGTTGAAAAGGTTGTGTCTGAAGGGCGGGTCGAATAATTTGTGACTGAATAAAATTTTGTGGTTGAGAACCTGTCTGTGGCTGAGTAATTGGTTGTATCTGAGGAAAATGTTGAACGGTTTGTGACTGCGTTACACGTTGTGGCTGACTAGTTGGTTGTGGTTTTGTAATATATTGAGTGGTTTGCGTTTGAAGGATAGGTGGAATGGATTGGGACAGAATAACTAATTGTGGCTGGCTAACAGGTTGTGACTGGGTAACAGGTTGTGGCTGGCTAACAGGTTGTGACTGGGTAACAGGTTGTGGCTGGCTAACAGGTTGTGGCTGGCTAACAGGTTGTGGCTGGCTAACAGGTTGTGGCTGGCTAACAGGTTGTGGCTGGCTGACAGGTAGTGGCTGAAAACCTGTCTGTGGTCGAGTAACATGTTGAGTGCTTTGTTTCGGAAAAAACGCAAGGGGTTGTGTTTGAATTACAGGTCGAATGGACTCTGGTTGGGTTACAGGTCGAATCGACTGTGATTGTATAACAGGCTGCAAGGTTTTTTGATATTCCTTTAGCTGTGGCTCTATGGTCTGTGGAGAATCGTGCAAAGCATTCAATTGCGGAGGCGATGTCATGATAACGTCATCATCGTCATCAGGTAAAATTGACTCTGACTCTTCCACCTGAATCGGTCCTTGTCCAATATCTCCCGGACCTATAAACCTGTAGAAATGAAAATTAACTTTAGCCTTAAATAAATAATTAACTAAAAGGGGCACAAGTTTTCGGGACTTTAGTGGTAGGAAAAGATATTAGTTTACTTTTTTTATTTTTATGTACTTTTTCTATAAAAATGGGAGTTTTATTTTGGTGTACTTACATTCCAACGGGAAAAACTTTGTTTGGTTGTTTTGACTCCGGCTGCTTTTCTAAGTTTGCGATAGTTGGACTTGCAGGAGATTCTTGGACGTTTAATTTGCGACGCTTAGGCCAACTTTTAGGCTGCACCATTTTTAAAATAGGCTTTGTCACTTCTACCTCGTCATCATCGATTACAACGTAAATATCATCTTGGGCAGAGCTTGCCACCTGAGTGACTTTTGGAACTTGTGGGTCCGGTGCTAAGGTGTTCACACTGGAGGATGAAGGAGGAGAAGATTTGCTTGATTTGTTATCATCACTCAAAGTAATAGCTTCACTGCGCATTTTCTTCAACAGGCCTTTGCCAAGAACCTGTGAAATAGTTAATAAATTAAATTCAACTTTTCCCCGTGGGACATAGGGCAAACTTATAGTTGTGACCGTTTCATTATCCGTTTTATATTACAGGCAAGCAGTTGATTAAACTTGTACGCCCTATTAAACTGAAACAATGTATGGTTTCCATGTGATTTGGTCGTTGAAGACACAATAGCGAATATGCAACAATTACCTTAACAGCGATGTCGTAAAGAGGACCTTCCAAAATAGGTTTTCCAGTCTCTTTATACTCCCTGAGTAACTTAGTCGCGGTGTACTGTGCTGCCATTATTGCTGCATCTTCTGGTAACATGGGATTCCCTTTTAAGTATGTGTGTGCTACTATTTTTATAAAATTCTGATCCGTCAATAAGGATATGTGTAAAGGTACTTTCTCTGATTCATCATCTTTGCTTAACAATTGTTCAACCTGTTGTTGTACCTGTTTCTTGGATTTCGGTCCTGACTTACTGTTCGGTTTTTTTTGTTTTGATTGTATTACGTTTTTATTGGGTTCTTCTCCTTCATCATCACTGATTACTATGCTGTTACTAGTATCTACGTCCAAACGTACTTTATTTGTATCAGTGGCCATAGATTTTCTACTATTCTTCTTAGATTTAGTGCAACTGTCCTTCTTTTTAGTCTTAGAATCATCTATATGATCGACCTTGACATTTTCTGTTTTTGTTTTTCCAGCAGCGCTGCTTGTCGCTGTTTCTGTAGTTATCTTGTCGTTCTTCTTTTTTCTTGCAGGATTAGATTCGATAGTCGCTTGTTTACTTGCCGATGTAACATTTGTTTTATCAGTTCCCACTGGTTCTGACTGTTCAACATGTTGTGACGTTTGTGGTATGTGTTCCATTGACCCGTCTCCTTCTAAAAGGACTTTAGCGATACTGGCCGCTATCGGGTCATCTATACACAAGCCATCGCTTTTACCGGAGGACACAAATCTCTGAATATTTGATATAAGAGCTGTTGCTTCATCAGGATGTATAGATTTATGAAAATTATGACTTACGAGTATTTGCATAATTTTTTTGACCAAATGATCGTTTTTATCGTCGCTGTCTTCTTTGGGCTGCAATTGGTCTTGTACTGTTTGCGCAGAGGTTGCCACTCTAGCAACATCTACTTTCCTTCCTTTTATATTTTTAAGGGTTTCGTTTGAATTTCGATTTTCTAAAGCACTTGTAGATGGTTTGAGATCAACATTAGCATTTTTGAGGTCAAGCTTTTTTGCCGCTATAACGGTATGAGCTTTGTCTGCAAACGTTAATTATATTAATGGATATGTTCCAAATTAATATTCATGCATTCTGGGTGACTCGAATATATTTTAACTAGACATGATCGGGGGAAGTATATTTTCAAGTAATCATTTAGAATGGATGGATTGTGAGAAAAATATAGTTGTCGTAGAACAAGGGAAATGTAATACCTTTGTCTGCATGCTCTAGTTGGAATTGCTGCCAGGCAGCGGCACGCTCATCCTCGGGCAGCGCTGGTTCAGAGCCACGCAGTAGAGAATCGTGCTCTCGAACAGCGTGAAGTGCGCCCTTCGCCGCCACACGTAATAGTGCCTTATCGTGTACGTCCGTTGCTACACCAGCCAACACGCCCCAGCCTTCTTTGTCCCAACTAAACATGACGAGTTATTTAAGCGATATAACGATAATTCAATTGTTTTACATAACATCTACTCTTCGTTCATTGGAACCTAGAAATGATCTCTCGTACTATTCGTTTTACTTTGGTTAAATGTGTGTTTCTTACAATGTCTCCTATACGAGCCCTCTAGAGGCAGAGTGGCTTAATAAGCAAAAACGTGATTTTCAATAAGGAGGAAAATAAAACTGCGCAATTAACTTAAGCGAAACTGAATTTGTACTATTATTTGTGTAAGAATTATGCTAACCATTAGCGATCACTGTGCTCTTGTAGATTAACATAAAAGTCTAAAAAGACTACAAAAATATAAATAACTCAGATCATACAACTGTGGTTAGGCTATTCTGCCTCTAGCGGCCTCAATTCTGGCTGTAAGTTAGTATTTGCAAATTAGCCAACTCAGATAGAAATACCTGTATAACTCCGTGAGTTCAGCAGAGTTGTAGTGTCGGTCGATCTGTTGTTCATCCACCACTCGACATGACACGGCTTGCTTAGTTACAGACCGTTCGTACATTTTCTGCTCCATTGTACCCTAGGAATTTACAATTAATAATTGTAGACTCTGTGTAAAGTTATAGAGTTAGTATAGAGGTTAAAAAGGTATAATTAAAAACTGTCACGTAATGATTGTATACAAATTGTCAAGTGAAATACTGTTAATAGAATAAGTTTTATTTACCCCAAAAATATAAAATGTTAATATTGACTGAAATAGGCATGATTTTATTTAGAAATATAGAGATTTATACATTAACGTCGCTTATGTATTATATAAATAACCATGAAAAACGTATGCCTATTTGTGACAGTAACGAACCTTCTGTGCGATTAGTGCATAAAATACAACTATCCGCTACACTTGCGGGTGGGTAGTTTTGATTTTATTACGTCCTACTAAAGTGTACTATGTACATAATTTACTACTAGGTCCATCGTGGGTCATTATTGTGAGCATTAGTTAAAATATTTTTCAAGTGGCAAAATTAAATAAGACACAAACCATCGCAACTAGTCGGTATATAAAACAGTCCTTTTTCTGCCCGAAACGGTAGACACGAAAAATACTCTGTATGTCATGAGCAGGGTTCCACGACGTGTCCAGAATAATTACGCGGTTGGCCGCCGTCATATTCAGCCCGAGGCAACCCGCGCGAGTCGATATGAGAAATAATCTGAAATATATTTTTTTATAATAGAGGAGACAGACCAGCATGGGGTGAAATACCCCAGCCATAGAAGATCTAAACAAGATGTGCAGTCAACCTATTTCGGCTTTGGATATTCGGAAATCCACAGACTGAAACCGAAACTCGATTAAACTTCTCGAGGTTTTCATCTGTGGACGGAATTTGTATATTCCACCGCCCATTTGATATCCTGATTCCAGTTTTAGATCCCGGTGGGGATCTAATCGACTGGTTGATTGTTAGACATAAATTCCTACTGTTACACCGACGAGTACGTACTAAATTTGCCAGGTCAGGTTTAGCACATAATTGTTAAAACTCACTTAGTTTTGTAGTTATTTGACGCGTTGAATTCTCGGCACCATTTCTGTCGCACATCGGCGGGCACTGATCCGTCCAAGCGGTAATACTCTTGGCCTAGGCTCCACTTATTAATGTTTCGTAGGAAATATTCCAAAGCGTCCAAAGTGAATAGGGAAGTGGAGAATATTAACCTGTGGAATGTATTTCTTAGAGTCAATTTACTATTAAGCTACATGTAGAGTAAACATCAGTATAAATAACTAGAGCGTGGCGGACTTTGACGTTACTGATCGAAACAGCATTTAAAAAAATTTACATGGGCGAGAACCGAACCGACATCTACAGCGATCCCCGCTGCCGTTGTGACCACTTAAGCTACCGTGTCACACACGTCATCATATAATTTATGTAAATCCATAATGTGCATTATGTTAATTTTTTAACAACCCTGTTTAGAATTGTTTTTTGTTTCTTTTATTAAAAATGTGCTTAATTGTTTATACACTTACACTTTGTCTCCGACAGCGACACATTCTTCCAACAGTCTAAAAGCCACCAGGAATTTATTAGAACTCTCAAGTGACTGCAACATGTTTCCCCCCTCGAGGTACTGAAGCCACCACACCTCTGTCTTGTCCGGCTTGACATCCTCAGTTGCCGTTATATCATCATGCGCTAGGTCATCTTCCACTTTTTCAGCTATGGAGTTGGATAAGTGCTTATTTCTAATTTCATAAAAAAAGCACTAAAAGAATTCAATTTTAAGCATTGACAGGGTCGTTGATCTAGCGGTATAAGTAGTGGCACGGATCTTTGGAGCTGAACTAATCCTGCGCAGAAGTCATAAATAAGGTATCGAAGGGACGGAAGCGGGCGCGGGGCAAGTGAGCGTCACGTGCGCTAGCGTTGATCGGTTCCCCCGTCGGACTAATACGACGCTCCCCTTGCTTCTCGAGTACAGTACCAATCAATTAGGTGCGCGATTGTAAAGATGCGCAACTATATTCGTTAAGTTATAACTAAGAATTAATTTTCCGTGTCAGCAGACTTATCTCAAGAACCGCGATAGACAGAGTTGAAATTTTCACGACTTAATCATTTTTGTTGCCGCAACATCAACAGACACTACAAACGATATAAATTTGCTTTTTGGAATATATAAGAAACGCCGTTTTTGACCTATTCTAAAACACGCTCGCGTCGGCCGAACAAGAATGATATGCTGAACGATGACCGTGAAAGCCTTACACACAATCTATTCATCTATGTTACATTTTTTTCCGACTAAATTAAAAATATAAGCACAGACTCCCGATTAAATAATTCCATAATACAAAAGCTACCTTTAATTTTTTTGTTCACATCTTCACGTGACTTCGTCTGAAAATTGTGCAATACTTGTGGATGAGTCCAAATCTTGTGCAAAGTGTGGAAGTCCTTCAGCACCATCTGTTTGCCCTTCCTGGCATAACAGTCTAGGTAATGTATGTACATATCTTGCTGGCACTTCGTTAGAGGTATAAACACGGTGTATTCATATTTTTTCGGCAAATAGGGGTATAGCACGGAGGCCTCTTGTCTTTGCAAACAGCCTTCTAAGACTTTGTGGAGTATGTGAGTTCGGGCCTGCATCAGTCTTATATCTTCCTCACTCGAGTCTCTATGTTGACCGTTCATTATAGGATTCTCGAACCTAGAACGAGAAATTATTGCATATAGTTAATACAATATATTTTAATTTCTTTATATCATCTAGTCTATCATTATATTAATGAAAAAGTATATTTTATTGCGTCTTCAAAAGTACTTCTTTGCTAATGGCGGGGCACTTTTTGCCGTCTAGGCCTCCGCTCGCATTAGAACTTTAAGACTATTTATACATATTTTCTGTTAAATTAATTGAGGTAAAGCCAGAGTTTAATAGTTCTTTTATAATCCGAATATTCAAAACCCAAAATAGGTCGATAGCGCGTCAAGATGTTATATGTGATATATATATGTAATTCACCTTCCATTGAATGAACTCTCTCTTCTATCATAAAAATGAAATAATTAAAAAAAAAACGACTTAAATCTTAGGTAACTAAGGAAACGAAACTTAAGAAAAACGGTAGCTCAGTGAGTACCTTTATTTAAAGTGTTAAAATTTCATATTGTTTTTGATATTTAACCTTAAAATGTATTAATTAAGTTTGAAATTACATTGGGCGAGAGGAGCAATTTATAACTTACAAATTCGAGGATGAAGAGTGATTCGGTAGCTCGGTTGGTATGAGTACAGTGTGATTATAGGTACAAGTCCCGTTCGCGTTGTAGGATATTTTAAATCAAAGTCTTAATGATTTGAATAGCTGACCTGTTCGAATATTCGTAGTACGTCCCCAATAGGTGCGGTTTGACAAAGTTGACCATACAGTAATATTCTCTGAGGTTATTTTGCATCGGTGTACCGGTGAGAACTATTCTCCTTGTAGTGACCACCCTGCTCATAGCCACTGCGAGTATAGAACTATCGTTCTTAAGCAGGTGGCCCTCGTCACACACAATAACGTCGGGTCCCGGATCCAATAACGCAGTACGGATTTTCTTTACTATCGTCGGTCTGACGTCATCGATTTCCGGGTCAAGGGTGGTGAGATTACGAAACAACTCGTAGCCGATGATGAAGATTCCACCACCATTGTACCAGTCTTCCAATTGATACGCACGTTCGTAGGTCTTCTTCAGTTTTGATAGCTCAAAGACCTAAAAAGTATCAATCTGTATTGTATTGTAGTTTACGTTTTTGCGGGATAAATAAAACAGTTTTAACCGGTTTAAACACAAATTTTTTTTTTCATATAAAATATCCGACACATCGGATCGTATATATATCACGTTTTAAACCGTTAAAAGTTTTAGACTAAAGTTGTGTTAAAGAAGTTTTTAATTAATAATTTTTTTTCTATACTTCACATTACTAGATTGTTCAATGATACAGTTACGTTTTCCAAATATATAATAAAAAATGTAAATAATCCAATGTTTAAATGCAATGCTAGGCACAGGATTTAACTATTAAGCAACAAAGGCGTTATTGCATATAAAATGTATTTATTTACAAAAATAAAATTACCTGCAGTTTCCGTTTAATTTTTTTCTGCTTGAAAAATAATACATTTCAATGAGTTTACATGGCAAAATCTATACTGATATTGTAAAGAACGTTTTGTATTTTTGTTTGTCATGGATAAACTGACTATTGTGCCATTTCAATAATTCTTTCAGCAATAGAAAGTTAAATTAATTCTGATTTATTTATTTCTTTTCTAAAAAAGATTAAAAGTTAAGTAAAGTAGCCCAATGCGTAAAAAAAATATTTCGTCGCATGCGCATCGCGATAAATACTAATGATAAAAGAAAAGTACTTTTTTAAAAACTCACGGCTTACTTTTTAAAATATAATAAAAGTATTAGACCATATTATTGATAATTCTATTCGATAAAATTATATATTTAAAAAATGTGTGTGTATAACATAATATGTAAGATGCAACGGGTTGATAACACCAATACGATTCAGTCGGTAATTTCAAATATTTTGTACCTTTATTTCATTAGTGACTGGACCAATCCATTTGTGGATCTCATCGACCCAGTTAAGAACAGTGGAAAGTGGACAGCATACCAGTACTCGGCGTACGTTGAGCATTGGATGAGTTAATACCTGGAATGGTAATGAATCATGTTTATTGAAGTCACACGAAGTTAAAAATGATACATGTCTTTAGTGTATTTTTCCTAACTTGGCATTTTCGGTAAAAGAACACAAAGGGGTTGAGACACTGGGTTATTTATAAATTTAATGAACTCAAATTCACTTAGTCAAAAACCACGATTTCTTGCTAAATTTAATAAAAATCGAAAAAACAAATTCCGGTAAATGACCAAATTAAAATTCATTTAGTTTGTTAAGTATAAGCAAAATCAACAAATAATAATGACAAAAAATTAAAAGAAACTGTATTTAAATAAAACACTTTAACGGTTTAAAACGCGATATATTAGTTAAACTTACTGCTGCAAAGTGCAAAGCATCCGAAACGTCCGCGTCGGGCCAAAGTTAAAAATCATTTTCAAATAAGTTTAACTAATATATCGCGTTTTAAACCGTCAAAGTGTTTTATTTAAATGTGTACTACTCGCGTAAACTATAGACAGTACTTAAGAAACTGTATTTTTAATATTGAGGTCGTTTGGTCTGGTTGGTTTGGTTGTTATCCGTGGCAACCAACTTCCCTCCATAAAAGGTCATCACTGTATGGTTTGAAATCGGCCATTTTGGTTGTGGTTTTCGCCAATTTAAAACACTATACGGACGTCCGCAACTTCGACGTTGTACTAATTATAATTGTAATTGAAAGCCACCGGTCTGGAGTCCACGAAGCAGTCTTCATGATTAGTTATGACCTCAAAAATATTGTAAACATTAAAACCGACCGAAAAAGCCCTCCCTTTTAATTTGATCTATAAATACTAAAATTATTAAGCTTATACTAGTCTTTTAAGTGTTTGAAAAATATTTTAATGTTTTTGTTTAGGCTTCGAATAGTCGAGAAACTTGCTCATGGCAATCACTTGTGACGACGAAACGTCGAGTTTTTTTAATAACGACGATCGAAGACTTCCAGAACTCAAGTAGCTCTGCAAAATGGTCGCAAAAGTTTATTAATATTTACTTGTTGACAATCATGTGTGACTATAACGAATAATGACGTTTGTAAGTCTAGCCATATGTTTTAATTTAAATGCGTCATATGTAAAGATTAATAAAATATAAACATACTGTCTATAGTTTTTGCGAGTAGTACACATTTAAATAAAACACTTTAACGGTTTAAAACGCGATATATTCGTTTTTTTTTCAAATAAGTTTAACTAATATATCGCGTTTTGAACTGTTAAAGTGTTTTATTTAAATATAAACATACCGTATGCAAGAGCGCTAGGACTTGTAAGGTCTTGCCAAGACCCATGCAGTGCGCTAAGATGCAGCCGCCTCCGGGATGACCGCTTGCTACCAGGTCAACGCTTTCGAAGCAAGCGTCCCACATGAATTTAACGCCTTCACACTGGAATCAAACCATCATTTTCTATCATCAATTTTATTTTTGATAATAGCTGATGATACATAAAAATACATTGTAAAAGTAAGTACAATGTATTTTTCAACAATGTGTTAATATTGGCTCTTCGTGGGTGTGGGTTCGTGGGTTCGATCCTCGCCGGATCCAACCTGTTTGAAACATGTTGGATTATTAAATGGGTGGTAGGAACATCGAAATTCCGCCCGGTTCGCGAATCACCGTCCACACTTTCAGCATGTGGATTACTGAATATCCAAAACCAAAACAGGTCGATAGCGCATCTTGTTTATATGTTATTTCACCTACCATCAAGTGTGCCGTATGCCATGTCTGTCCTCTATCGTTAAAAAAATTCTGATTTACATGTGTAAAATTACCTGATGAGCTTTCATAACGCTAGTGAAATAGGGATGTACACTAGCAACCGGGATATTGTTATCGAAGTCATACTCCAAACATAGTTCACCGTTGATCACCACAACGTTGACTGCTTCCTCGCAACGAAGATGTTCCATCTAAAAAAACAAAATACATCATTTTAATGATTTTTAGAGAAAGACCAGTACAGTCGAATATTTCACTTTTACTCTAAAATACTAAATTAATATACTTAGCATGTAACTAAAGATTTGGTTACTTAAAACATTATACTATTTTTTTTTAATTCTATATATGAGACCGCTAGAGACAGAGTAGCCTAACTGCAATTCTATGACTTGACTTATTTATATTTTTATAGCCTTAAAAAGTTAATCTACAAGAGCACAGTGACCGAAAATTGCTAACATAATTCTTACACAAATTCATTTTCACCTAAGTTAATTGCGAATTTCTATTTTCCTCCTTATTGAAAATCATGATTTCTGTTATTAGGCCACTCTGCCTCTAGCAGCCTCATACTACATATATGTGAAATTCTGTTTACCCCGCTGCACGGGACAACACATTTGTGTCCGTTTTGTCTGATCGATTTATAATTAATTGATCAGACTTCTGTGCCCTATCCGACCAAAACAACTGATTATTTCCCCTAGATACAAACCACGCGTGCCAAGCAATAATAAGGAATCAGTCTCTCTGGTGCTATCTGCTATTTTCTCGTAGAAATCTCAAGTTGTAGACTTACCAATCGTGTTTGACGATGACTGAGTCTTTGTTTCCTCTCAAACTCTTGCATATTAGCTTTAACTGTGCTACGTTGCAAAGATTTCTTATCGATGACCTGCGGAGAGTATTAAAAATAATAACAAGTATATCTATACTTATATTATTACACTTTAACGGTTTAAAACGCGATATATTAGTGATATATACTAATATATAGCGTTACCGTTAAAGTGTTTTATTTAAATGTGTACTACTCGCGTAAACTATAGACAGTATTTAATAATTTGTTTGTTTAATCGCGCTAATAACGGAAACTATAGGTTCCAAGTGAAAAGTTATTTGTGTTGGATACATCTGCAACCAATAGGCGCTCCTATTGGTGTCAGATGTATCCACGTTTTCCACTATTACTTCGCTAAGTAATAGTGGAAAACGTGGAAGTAATGGGAAATAATAATCATCTTTGCTAGCGCTGCGAATGGTTAAAGAAACCAAAAAAACATATACAAAATAATTATTGCTATCTGTAGTTTACGCGAGTAGTACTCGTTTAAATAAACTACTCTAACGGTTTAAAACACGAAATACATTAGATGCATCCGAAACATCGAGCCATAGTTACAATAATTTTTAAACAAGTTTTACTAATATATTTCGCGTTTTAAACCGTTCAAGTGTTTTATTTAAATAATGATTTCTCTTTTATCTTAAAAACATGTCCGCGACAGTATATGCTTATCTTACAAGACTAACTCGCAAGAACCTTTTTAATGATAATCAAATTTAGTTGAAATTAATAAATTACTACAAATTATTTGTTAAAACTGTGTCAACATAGAAATCTTATTCTCGGAAACAATAAATAATGTTGGATTAGACAAATAATTGATTAAAAACACTATTTTAAGACTTTAGCGCCTCACCTTTCTTATATTACGTCGCCCCTTGCCATATGTTTGCGAGTATCTTTTCCCGGAAACTGACTCACCTAAGAGTTCATTCGCTAGAACCCTGAAAAATATAACATAGAACAATAATATTTTTACATCATTAATTGGCTTTTAATGAATATCTTCAATCAAATACAAAATGGCTGTTACATGTAAAGTACGCGTAAGAAAGTTGTCTAACTTTTTTTTGTGATAGAGAAGGACAGTATGGATTCAATTTGATGATAGAAGAAATACCCCAACCTTAAAAAGTATAAGCAAGTCTGTCGACCTATATTGGCTTTGGATTCTCGGGAATCCACAGACAGAAAGACGACGACCTTTTCACCTGTGGACGGTGGTTCGTGACCAGGACGGTTTTCGGATGTTCCTACTACCTGTATATATAAAGAATTTCAGACGAAGTCCAACGTAAATTGTGTAAGTCTTTCACCGCCATCGTTCATCATCATCATCATTGTTTTTCGGGCTGTTCGGCCGACGTGAGCGAGAAGAGATTCTCGACGTTTCGTAATCACGTGCGGACGGCGTCATGAGGAGATGTTAGCTCCTCGATTGCTCTAAGAACTATGAGTTATCCGCCGCAGTCTCACATTACACTGTGACTCTAGCGCGATTTGGTGGGGTAGTGGGCGTCGTCTCACCATTACTCGAAGTCGGCCCGCCGCGATCCTAGTTTATATGTATTTCGACCCGGTCGAAGTGAGACTTAAGCGGGAAACATTATAAAGTAATGTGCCTACCAGTAACTATTACTATTATTGGCGTAAATAGGAGTTTGAAATTCGTGTACCCAGCGGCAAGGTGTTTTGGTAGTTTAATAAATTGCTTTGTAGATTTTTTTTGGAAGAATATTATATAACAAGTTATCTCGATGTGCTATCGATCTATTTTGGCTTTGGATATATTATTATATAGTGATTTTAATATTTTGGCGTGTAGTATGATATATATTAGGACACTCACTTCATTTGTTTCCGTTTTTCAAGTAGTTTCTTGCGAGATCTTCTTTTACCTCGTTGCCTCCGGTGATGTCCGGTACCGTCCTTTCCATCACTTCTCTTTTCAATATATTCATTGACACGTTGTGTACCTTTCGCTTCATCATCACTAAAATAAAGCAAGTGTTAAAAAAATGTTTTAACTAAAGAACTCATGATTCTTGAGATATAACACTACTTACTTAGTAACCTCTTGTTTCTTTGAGATTCTTTTGAGAAGCTTCTCTTTGGTACTAACCCATTGTTTCTCTTCTTCTGACGAAGAATCATCTTCATCCTTTTCTGTGTACTGTCTTTTCTTTTTGTCTCCAATTCTCTATAACATCATTTATTTATAATTTTCATTGTAGCCAACTTAAGTTATTATATATTATAATCTGTGTTAGTAACTAGTCTTGGGTTAAACCAGTCGAAAGTTCTGATTGTTTCCCACTTTCGGTTCCGACTTCGGCTTCGACACTTTAAATCGAAGGTCTAAACATAAAATAGTGGTAGAGGCGGCCAGTGCCAACTGTTATGAACGCGGGGAATCCCCCGACTCACGCTAAGTGTACTCTAACGTATTTTTTTTCCCACACGACACTCTCATATGTTATAGATATTTGTTTAGATTTTTGCAGCTTATTATTAACAAAAGTGATCTGTTTTTGTGTACTTTGGGTTTAAATGTATTTATTTTAATATCTTTATTAAGAAATATGCTATTTTTCATTCTTTGTGTTTTATTTTACAATTAAAAATTACTTAAAAGTCATTAATTAATTTGTTCTTAAATAAATAAAATTTACAAGCAGCGACTCCTTCGGTTCCAATAAAACTACCCTTTTCTGATTTAAACCTCGGAATGTAATAAATGTCTCGCAGAGCACAGCCAAATGTTTCGTTAAATATTCGTAAAAGACCACTACTCTATTAGGACCAAGAATGCACCAAATCAAAAGAACCAAATCTACATATTTTGTACTCACATTTGAAGTTCTAGAAGGTTTTTTTACATCTTTATCATAAGGCATCTCTTGTTTCACCATAACTGGAGTGTTCAAGAGTGACAGCTCTTTGTTCATCATTAGATCAGCTGTAAGCATAAAACTTGAGCCATCGGCGTCTTTGTTATTTCTATTTCTTGATTTGGAATCTTTTTGTGTATCCTCATAAGATAGCGTTTCAGCAATTGTCGTGATCACATTTCGACTGTTTACTTCGTCTTCACTATCACTTTCAATATCATCTAAAAGATGTTTCTTCGCTTGTAAATTATCTGCATTGTCGTAACTTTCCTGGAAATAAGTAAGAGTGGTCATAAAAAATAACCGACTACAAACAGCAAATTAAAAAGAGAATATAAAGTCCTACGTATTTTTATTTAGTTAAATAGAAATGATTTGGTAAATATTTTTATAATTTAATTTTAAAATAGGTAGCCCGAACCCGTAACGGCCTAACCTACCTGCTCTTAAGGGTGCGTGTTATGCCACTGTTATTAAACTTAAAGATTAGTCATATATTATATGGAACTGCGCTCTATTTTTAAGATAGTACAAGAATGTTTAATAAAAGTACATTCAGTTGTTTTAAACAATGGAAGAAGTAACAGGAACGCAAAAAACAATCCAAACGGAACTAATTACATAATATAAACAAGACGTTAAGGAAATGGACTACAATATCAATACAATAGACCAACTAGAGAAATTATGGACATGGTTTCGCGTAGTGTTTGACAAAATAAGTCTGGGATATTATAGATGTTGGGTAAAAGGCTAGGAAACTTTAACCTGTCATTTTCGGATTTACAACACTTAAAAAATCGATCGATATCATGGAATTGTATCCAATGAAGAGAGAGTTTTAAAGATGGACAGATGAACTATGATGTTCTCAAAATATAGGGAAACGTAAAAGAAATTAAGGCAAATCTTTGTTTGTGGACAAAGTGACAAAATACATTCAGATTATTATTACTTTTTTCTTTTATTACTATTATTACTAGTACCTGTTTAATTTTAGGCGTTACTTCTTCATCTTCTGATGGAGTCAGCTCTTCAAAGTGATCGATTTCATCAGCATTGGTATGATTTGTATCTTGTATGTCTGTTTTAACTCTCTTCTTTAATAAACTTTTAGCCGCACTGCGAGCTCTTTCTTTAAGCGAATTGCGATGCAACGAGTTCAAATTAGTCAACCTAAAAACCGTAATCAAAGTAAACACATAGTATTCTTATTACCTAAATCAGTTTAATATCTTTATATACCTGTCTATAACAGGATCACCAACATTCTTTTTATTGATATCTTGATATCTAAAGTAGGTTTCAATAAATCTTTCCGGCAGCTTTTCTAAATTAACAGACACATCGTTTAACAACTTGGTATCGCTGTAATTGACTTTATAACAATTCCAACCATTAATAATAACATAATCAGGCTCTTCGTTTTCTTTCTTTTGTAAACAACAAGATTGACTATTTTTTTCACGAGACAAGTGAAAAGAGAACTTTTCACTTGTCTCATCAACTGTAATATCTGGTTCACATTCCAAAAGTTGGCTTGGAAATTCAATATGAAGTGATGAACTTTCTTTGGTGTCTGCCATCTTTTTACTAATTTTTAAGTTCGTTTTTTCATCAGGGTTTTCGACGTCTGGAGTAAAGGATTGGGTTGAATCAACAGCGTTACACTGGATTTCCTCATTGTCACTTGTAGTTTTCTGGGTTGATAGTCCCTTAACTGCCGTTTTTTCATCAAGCATTCGCTGCTTATGTCGTCTAACGTTTAAAGGTATGTCTTCTTCAGAATCACAGGATGTACCTTTTTTCTGCTCCTGTCGTATTATACCATTCATTTTTCGAGTAAGCTTTGTTACTTCATTCCTATCTGTTATTGGCCTATCGGCCGTGATCTCTCTCTGTTTTGGAATTGTTTTACTACGTTTAGGTCTTAAATTTTTCTTCCTAACAGTTTTCTCCACTAGGTTGGTATTTTCATCGGAACTATTTTCCATCAACTTATCCTTTGTCTGGTCGGTGCATTGAGGCACTAACAAGCCCATACTATCTACGTTACAACTATGTTCACTATCAGAGTCTGGATCATACTGACGACGTATCCTTTGAGAACTTTGGCTAAATATATCATCACATGCATAGGTGGAATGTATGTCCCTAATCATTTTATTTGTTTGTATAAATGTCTCAAACATATCTTCATTATAATTATTCAAAGTTTCTTTTTTTTGATGTGGCTTGTTAGGAAGGCTTTCAGCTACATCTTCAATATATTCTTCTTTAGTATAAATACTGGTAAATGGAGGAACTTGCTCTGATGTTTCTATAGGTTCTGTTTTAATTTCATGGGTATTTATATTAATTTCACATAGTTCACCTGGCTCTGTTTTTATTGATCCTACCGACATGTGTTGCGATAAGCCACTATAAATGAAGTTATTTTCTTCACTGGTACAATCATTTGTAACTTCTTCATTTGCAGTTTCGATATTAACACAGTAACTATCTTCCAAATTACTACAGGAATTACCATTTTCACCACCTGCCACTTCGTTTGTAGAGTTAATGCTATTTGATTTATTGTTATCTTTTTCAGATTCAATGTCATGATAGTATTCAGAAGACAGAAAACCTGAACAAAATGCTGAAAGTTGCACTTTTGATACCCAGTTCGTTTCTTCAGAGTCTTGTTCGTATTTATCATTAGAGTCAGATTCATAGTCTTCATTTGTGTCACTATACCCACATTCACTGCTGTCAGGATTTTCGTCATTGACGGTAGTAAAACTCATTTTTTGTTGCAGACTTGAAAACTCTTCTTCTGTTACAGAATTCACACTGTTTATTGATATTGGCAATGGGCCATTTATAGCAGAAATTTCCTCCATTTTGCTGGACTCCTCGCCTTGATAATCGTAGAAGTTATTCTTAGATATCATGATCTTATTTAATAGTAACAATGTCATAACTTTTAGGGAATATATATTCTGTGTTTTACTTTTTGAATGTGGTAGGAATTGCTCTTGAATTTTTTCAAAACATATTGTTGACAGTCGTTTAGCTTGGAACTTGTTTACCAGCGTTTTTTTGTCCATTAAAACGTTTTGGTCATCATTAACAACATTCCTAGTATCAATTTTTGGACCATTTAAAATATCATTTATTTTTTTGATGCATATATCTCTCAAAGGGCTAAGACATTGATCTGTACCAGAGAGTGGGTCGGCTTTAGCAGGTGATAAACAAGTTTTATGGGTAGATATAATAAAGCAGTTTTTATAAATTATTGCTTGCTGCATTTTTTCAGTACAAAGCGAAAGTAAGGACTTTGGGTTTAATGGCTTCTTAAACACTTCTAAACATATAGTCAATAGACTCTTTGGATTGTTAAAGACACACGCGGGAATAACAACAGTGTCTGGTACATCAGATATACTATCAAATATAATTTCAGGAGTAAATACAGTATTGTTAATTGTGGCATTTTCGCAATCCCTTGCATCCTTGATAAAGTAATTACAAATAACTTGGTGAGGAACTGATAACCACTGCAATGAAGTCAATTTTTTGCATATTGATAAAACTTTTTGCTTTTCATAATTATCAAAGAATTGTTTCACCATACAATATGTTACTAAATCAGGTGGTTTTTTGTTTCGGCTGTCCTGGGCTAAAAAAGACTGTGTAGGTTTCACTTTCTTCACCAAAATTGAATTATTGATCCATACTGTGTCACGACCCTTGACATTAAGTTTTTTTGTTTTCTTAACTGGTTCTTCGGCAGATTTTTTTGCAATTTTAATAGAAAGCTCCTTATTTAGGAAGACAGTTTTTGGATTAAAAGGTTTTTCATTATTTGACTTTTTAACTGTTGATGCAGAGGGCACTTCAATTATTTCACAATCACTGTCCTCTGTTGTTGTTGGCTTTGGCAAAATTACTTTTTTGGGTTCCCTAAACTGAAGTAAGTCTGTTGATTTTAAAAACTCTTCATATTGCGTTTCAAGGTCTTCCTCCATTTGTAACAGGTTGTGTTTTGCAAGCTTGAAGAGTAGAAATGATTTCTTAACACAGTAGTCCATTTTAAATGTGTCTGTAACGTGTGATGTGTTAATTTTTTTCTGAATAAAATCCTGAGATTTTTGTGTCATAAGCTGGCCAAGTTCAGCAGTTGTTTCCACTACATTTTTTAAAAACTCACAAGCTTTTTCTGACTGTGAAGATGTAAGTAAAACTTTTTTTAACATGCCCTGTTCATATTGTGTGTCTGTTTGAACACCAGCAGACTTGATTTTCCTATTTATAGTTTGTGTTGAAGTTTCCACAGTTTTCTTAGGTTCGTTCAGGTCTATAATGGGTATATCAAACGGTGTACTTGAAGCCTCTGATGCTTTTGCCTTAATTATTTTAATGTCTGTTCCTTGAATTTTTTTTGCAAGAAAATCTTGTAGGTCATTGTCTGTTTTAATAAGGACTGAGCTGGCAAGAGAATCTTCAATGTCTATGTTATTTGGATCTACTATTTTTAAGTCATTATCAGACTTTTTACTTTTCATTTTCCTTGGACTCTTTACTTTCCCACTTTTGTCAAACACTTTTATTTTTCTTTTTCTTGATTTCCTACTACCTCTCTCAACATCAATGTTTTGTCCATCGGATTCCAATAATGATTCAGATGATGAACTATTACGACCGCCTTTTTTCCATGGTAGATATTCATCATCAGATTTGTACCCACCTTTCTTTCTGTTTCGTGGCTCATCATCAGATAGTTCAACATTCGCAAATGGGTCATCTTCCTCAGATTCTTCATCATGATACTTAAATAGTGGTTTTGTTTTACGACGACATGATCTTTTGGAGTTATCAATGGGAACACTTTCAGTTGAAACAAATTCTGTTTCCGTTTCCTTATCTCCTTTATTGTTTGTTTCTGTGCTGTTTACATCTACATTACACTCACTTAAAAGAGGCTCAACTAAACTTGAAAGTGAGTTTTCACCTTTACCATTGTTTATACAACAAGCATTACTAATATCACCCTCTTTGAGTGGAACATGGCCTAATTTATTTTTGAGTTCACTCAAACAAATGTCATCACCGTCATCTTCCATGTCTTCTTCATGTGCAACCGGTATATTACTTGAATCAATAATATTATTTTGTAAGTTAGAATCTACATTCTCATTACACATAGTAATAACTCTGAAATTTGAATTATTACCATAATCATTATTCAATATATCAGATGTCTCGACTACAGTATTACTATTAATCTGTTCTGTTTGCACTTCATGTTTTGGTTTATTTGAATGTGTACTGTCCAGGGTATGTTTTAATTTTTGCTTTTTAGTTATCTTAATGCTTTCTTCTTTATCTGAATAACTTTTATTTTTAGACTTATCTGATAAATTATTTATGTTACTATCAGTAGAAGAAACTACATTCTCATTACATAATTTACTATTGTCATCCCTGTTTTTGGGCTTTCTTCCTCTTTTTGCTTTTGTTTTGTTGCTAAAAATGATATCACTAGCTTGTTTGCCAGCTGACTCTTCAAAACAATTTGCATTTGTTTCAATAGTAGCATGCTGATTCCTAGCACCCCGACCTCGACCTCTGCCTCTTTGAGAGACTGTTCCTGTTCCTGTTTTGGTACCTCTGCCCCTACCCCTCACCCTGCCCATACCTCTTCCCCTACCACGTCGAGATTGAACCTTTCCTGCAGGCAATGGTTGCTGTGTTTTATTTTCTAAAAAATCATTTGTTGTGACAGAAATGTTTTCATTGTGTATATCTAGTTTATTGTTTAAAGTCTGTAGAGGACAATTCTCAGATTCTTCAATGTTGTTGTCAGCTGCAATTCCAATATTTTCTGCTGATATTCCTGCATCTTCATACACAATGTTTTGTTCGTAAGGTAAATCTTCCACATTATCGCTGGAATCAAGCACTCCTGGCTCTACTCCTGCCTCATTAGTAGGCGAGACTAGGTCAGACAAAGTTATGAATTCTTCTTCTTCGTATATAGAATTTGCTTGAAATTTTTCAAACGCGTCTTCTGTTGTCGTGAGGTGATCCATTCCATCAATATCGAGTTCTTCGGACATTTTGGTGTTATAAATTGCTCTGCTTTTTCATGGTTTTAGAATCCCAAAAAGTGTTCAGAACATTATTTCGAAACTACACGCAAGTAACGTTAAAAAACAATTAGAAAACAAACAATATTTACCAGTGTTTGATAATAACAGAACATAATATAATGTCAATATTCAGTAACAACACGATTTCAATTTAAGTAGCATTATCGCAAAACATACTAAATTACAATTGCTATAGATGATAGTAATATTCAATTTACCACAGATTAGTAGTACTCTTTCATATAGGTCTATGAAATAATGACAAATAGATTCACTAAAGGTAAGAAGAAGAAGATTCTTCTTAATTTGATATGTTATTTTTATTTTAAGAAAAAATACGGCATTTAAAAGGATCTATATAAATTAAAAAAAAATATGCGCACTCATATTTGGATAGAACTAAAAGTAAAAAAAAAACAAGGTTTATTAGGAATACTTAGCTAAAGGTTGCAAAGAACACATCAAGTAGTAGTAAATAAAAGTGATATACATGTATAATTTTAAAAAATTAATTCCGCAGATAAAATCTTATTGTTGAACAATAAAATTAAAAGAAATGTCTGTTTTCTAAAATGTTATACCATAAAATAGACCGTTTTTTGAAATGATATTTAATTATTAAATTTAAAACCTTTATCTAGGTCCTCTTCAAAAATAAAGGAACTAGGACACCTTTATTTTTAATTAATCGTTTATTTACCCTTGGATTTAGTACAAGAGCCATATTTGTTTACTATTTGAGGCAACACCAAAAAATTAACTAATGGATGTATTGACGTGTACTGACACTTGACAGCGGTAGTGAACAATAATAATCTATATGTATGTTATACTGTGGTTGTGGTGTAAATTTAATTTTATTATTATACAAACACATCTTAGTTGTAATTTTTATTAAAACAAATGAGTAAACGAATTTTTTCCAACTAAATAATTCAATTCATACCTATAAATATGAACACTTTAAAAGTATGTGTACGCGACCCTGTAATGTTTTGAATTCGTCGCTTATACATCAGATGTTTTTGGTGACTGTGGGCAATAAATTTAGATGAGCTGTCTTTTGTATTTAAAACTGTATCATAACAATCGTGCTAAAAAATAAACTTACACAATGATGGAATTATAGAACTACATAAATCCAAAACACTCCTTCACACTACTGAGATTTGAGGGTATCATGTACTTTCCCATAGGATGGCCTAAAGTCCTAAGGACTGTATGCGTAGAATCTCTGGCTTTTAAACAAATTGTATCCAATAGAGATAAAATTCTCTTTGCTACCTTAAGTGATGATGCTTTTGCCGTATGGTTTTGTAAGGTATGTATATCTTTGAATTTATCTTAATAGTGCCTTTGCTCTCAAATTTTCTGTGAAGTAGTGAGATAATCAATTTAGATTTAATATTTTTTAGCCTAGTGTTATTATTGTTTATCATAAAAGAAGCTCCGAGTCGCTACAAAGGCTAGGAATCAATGTCGGTATTGAGTGGAAACCTGATTCATCTATGATATGCATTTCGGTGAGTTCTTTGTGTATTTTTCAATTTAAACTTTAAGTATCTATACATACTATAGGTATACTAAATATATATAACTTCAACATTTCAGACATCTGAAGGTCATTTAATTTTATACAATGTTGAGATGCAAACTGACCAGCCAGCGTATCAACAGTCTGATCCACCCACTGCAAGTTTGAGAAGGGATTCAGCTGAATTATTTGTTAAGGAAGTGATACCATCATTGAAAATAACCTTGGTAATAACATATATATCATTGACCCCTTGGGATTTTCTAAATTCCATAAAAATTGGTTTGTTGTCATATGACTTGTGAATTACTGGATTCTTATTTATTCTATTATGCATGAGCCATTTCTAATTCAAAACTGTTTGTTGTTACTCCACAGTTCAAAGAGATTTTAATTTGGGATGGACAAATCACACGAATGTGCTGTATATCAGGTACTGAAATACTAGTATGCACAACACGAGCTCACCTCCTCCGTTATCGCTGGGATGGTTCACAGAATAGGGATTACTGTTTGGATCTTGGAAGAATACCATTCTCTATTAATCAACAAGTTTCTAAAGGTAAACTTGTCATAAATTTTGCAATTTGACTTTAGTGTGGGGAAATGGGTAAAATGGTGTGATCTGACCATTCGCCCACATTTTACCCATCTGACTGTCACTCCTAGCAGAGTCTCCAATACAAAATAACAATAATAGTGTGGTCACCCTCCATGGACTTGTTGAGAGTCACTCTCTGATCTGAACAGGGTCTGCTTTAAGCTGAGTACTATTCCTTTAAATAAAACACTAACTGTTTATAACACGATGTATATTAGTTAAATTGATTTGGAAATTATTTGAGCACGGCTGCTGCAAAGTATCCGTTACGTCGAGCTGTAGTAAAATTATTCCCTAACAACTTTAACTAATAGAAATTGCGTTTTAACCAGTAAAATGTTTTATTTTAATGTGTACTACAAGCGTCAACTACAGACAGTATTTGAGTACTAATCAATTGTGTAAGGCTTTCGCAGCCAACATTCACCATATCATTATTTTTTGGGCTATTCGGCTGCACGTGATGGCGAAACGTCGAGAACCTCTTCTTGCACACGTCGGCCGAACAGCCCGAAAAACAATGATACGCAGTATTTGAGTACTATTCTGCCAAGATAGAATGCAAATTATTTTGTCAAGTCGTATAAATGTTTAATTTTACTTAATATGTTTCTTCTATAAATATATTTTTTCAGCTGAGCCAATATTAGAAGACAATACTCATGTAAATGATATAGAATATTCACCACTTGTCTGCGGTTTTGGAATAACATTGAATGATGGGCGGGCAGCTTATCTCACTGCACCTAATCTTAAGTTTGATCCAAATGTGAGTATATATTTTAATACAACTAAATTTTAGTACTTACTTTTAATAAATATTTTCCAAAACCTCTACAAATTATTTCAATTTTATATCTTAGATTAATTTGGAGACTGACTTAAGGGTAAGATTGTATGCTAAGTGGAGAGTATTGCCAATCAGTTTAAAACGTAATTTGCTAGCTGCGCTATGCATAAATACAACCAATATTGTGCTACAATTATTCATTTAAAATGTATAATTCAAAAGCTAAATTTAAACTTGAATATATTAAACAATACAAAGATATTTTTTTTATATTATTCTCTATTTTTAGGCCGTTCAAGGTATTTGGGCGCAGGGCATTGATGACGCAACCTGCGCAAGAGTTAACCATAAATTTAGACTTATTGCAATCGGAAGAAAGAAGTAAGCCCTATGATTAATAATCTAGCTAAATGTTGTCTGTACTATAGGCTAGTAATTTATCTATATATTTTGTGTTTTTTTATGTGTATGTTTGATAATTACATTATATATATATCTAGCTATTATAATTTAATATTTTTGTCGTCTGTTTATTGTTCTTAACTAATAGTCCGCCTAATAGCATTTTCACCATTATGAGTTTAGTTGTTAAAGTCTAATTTCACTAGTATACGTGACTATGCCCTAAGTTACTTTTATTTGTCAGTTCACAGGTAGACGTTTTTACGATAGACGAAGTAACGGGTGGACTTGAACTTTCACACACAATGGTGCTTAGTTCCAAGGATTTTCCTGGCGATCCTGGCCCAGTCAAATGTATGAGGTATGTTATTTGCACTGTCTAAAAACCCTGCTGCATGATAACAAGTTTGCATTACCGAGTATGTTATTCGCATTATTTGTAAAAGTTTACTCTGATAGAATTATTGGTTTTTTAACGTTAGTGGAAAAATATTTAAGGTCCCCTAAAAAGTAATGGCTCTATATATTTTTTTAAATCCATATGTATCTCAATTATCAGGGTGATATTAAAATTACTGCTCAGAAAAACTTTTATTACTACATATATGTGTATTTAGAAGAAAGTAGAATTCATGAGGGCTCATTATAATATTTAAGGTAATGTAACAAGGTTTTTTATATTTATTAAAAACGTTATTTATATATAAAATTGTAGTATATTGAGAAATTCTATTTATCCTTTTTCAGATGGACAGGAGACGGTCGCGCCGTAGCGGTTAGTTGGGAAGGCGGCGGTATTTCTGTTTGGAGCACCTTTGGTGCGCTCCTAATGTGCTCCTTGGCTTGGGACTATGGACTGAACCAGGACCTTAGCAAACATAATCCTCTTGTCGTTTCTAGTATGGTACGTTCGTTATGAATTTCCCCGCTTCCTCTAAATTGTCTAATTGAAGAATTTGTTTACTGTTTGACGTTAAATTTGAAAACTCAAATAAACGGAATTTCAGTTTACGATTTTTTCCGGACTCGTGTAAAGCTCATTACTGTAATATAAGTATAATAATTTCTATTGAAAGTAGAAATAACTAAGTAGGTATTTTACAAGCTTACATGTGTACACCAAATTTTGATTCTGTTTCCTTAAACTTCACGGCTTTTTCACCTGTTGATGGTGGTTCGTGACCCGGATGGAATTTCGATATTCTTACCATCCATTTAATATTCAGATTTGCGGATAAAGTACACCATGTTTTAGAAAAATTATAAATTGATAAAAAAAAAACAATTCATGGATATTTACAGATAGTTATCTGAAATATTTTATTAGAAACCTTTTATAAATATAGTAATTTATTTATTCAGTTTCTGATATTAAACTGCAATATACATTTTTTTTTTCAAATAATGAGTTTTTTTTAAATATTGTAACAGGAATGGGCGACGGAAGGCTATCAGCTGTGGATGGTGAAAACAGAAGAGGAGTTAAAATGTAATCTAATTCAAATGGACTTTGTAAAGAGCCCGCTGAGTGTCAATCCGTGTATGGTAAGTGATATCCGGTTTTCTACTAAGACACATTTCTGTATCTGTTTATTTTTAGGCAAATTTACAATTAATTAATTTTTCCACGGGATTCGATTTTAAGACTCCCTCGTGCGTAACGCAATTAGTTAGTTAAAATATTATATCTTTGTGCTTTATTTGCTTTACTGTCCACCATGCGACCTCCATGCTTGTCCGTCCTCCATCATAATAATATATATGTTTATTTAAATACTTTAACGGTTTAAAACGCGATATATTTTAGTTAAACTTGTTTGAAAATTATTTTTAACTACGGCCCGACGTTTCGGACGCTTTGCAGCATCCGGGGTCACGGGGAGACACTATTTTTGTTGCTTTATTAATTGTTATACGATCTCTCTACCCAATCCACGTTTTCTTCATCTGTTGGATAGTCAGTTGAGCATACAATTGCCTATGTTCAAATAACGTTTCCTGCAAACTCCATAAGTAAATAGTATGGAAATGACTATAAAAGACTTTCATTTCCAGAGCACTCAAAGGCATCTTTATTTGCAAGCGGATGACAAACTCTACATTAATCTAGAAGACAATTTGACCAGACGAACTAAAATATCAATTATTGATTCATCGGCGGACGCCTATCAAGAGAGCGGATCGGAACATACAGAGAATGGGAGTGACTTAGAGAACAGTGCCAAATACAAGGAGTTTGTTGATGACAACGAGTGCAGGAAGCAGTGGATCGTTTTGCAACTACCCGCAACTTATATTGCTAGTAATTGGCCACTGAGGGTAGGTTTTTTTTTTACTTTTAATTTTTCATAGGACCAAAACATATATACGAATTTATATCGTTCGTTTTAATATAATAGTTTTTATACACAGGGAACTAAGACAGAACTATATTACGGCAAAGTTTTTACAAAATATTTTTTTCTGTTCACACGTTAAACCACGTGAACTATAAATTCGCTTTACATCCGATCTTATTGTGTTTGATGTTTTTTTTATTCGTCACAAAACCAAAAGTTTTTACGCCTCCTTATTGGCATTATATTTAGTTTCTCAAGTTAACGGGTTTAAACGGCGTGATATATTCAATAACGTTAACCTAAATACATGGTAGGTCGAAATTCCGTCAAGCTTAATTGCGTTTCAGTCTATAGATTTATGATTATCCAAAGCCAAAATGGGTCGACAGCGTACCATGTTTCGATGTTTTATGGCTGGTGCATTTCCAGTGAACTTCATGCTTATCTGTCGTCTTTTATCATAAAAAAAAAACATAATTTCTTAATGTATGAGGCATAAGAAATTGAACCTCAATACGGGTTGAAAAAATCGGAATTGTCAACTCAATCTGTAAGAGTAGCACATAACGATGTACATGCTGGTTCAAGCCCCGCCCGTATCGCAAACTTTTTTAATCTAAATCGATTTTTACTTAACGTACGTTGAAAATTGTTTTTCTTTTTCATGTTTTTATTAGCCACCCACCCCGGCTTCGCTCGGGTGCAATGCTGATACTAAATTCAAATACAGAAAAACTATGAACGTTTTATATAAAAACCTTCCTCTGGAATCATTATATCTAAGTATTGCGTTGTGTCAAAGATTAGATCGTACATAGGGACAGGAAAAGCTACTTTGTTTTATAGTATGTAGTGATTACTTCTCAAAACCGTATATACTGTGTTTAGTACAGCGCCATTGACGAAACGGGCGAAACGATTTGCGTGGCGGGACGAACTGGTCTGGCGCATTACAGTCGAGCGTCGAGGCGCTGGAAGCTCTTCGGCAACGAGGCGCAGGAGAAGGATTTTGTCGTTACTGGTGGCATGCTGTGCTGGCGGCAGTATATTGTCGTAGGTCAGTGTTATGGCACTGTGAACCGGCGATATGCCCTATCCTTATTTTTTTAATGGGGAAAAATATATGGGAGGAGCTTCATAAAACATACAGTATTATATAAATTTTTAGTTTATATATTTCCATCGTGCGAAAAGTATTAAAGTCTCATCATGTTTATCGTAATAACATTTATCAAATTAAAAACGAAAAAGAAAAAATTTTTGCTCGGGCGGACTTGACGCATTTAGGTTCCGTGCTGTTGCCACAGAGCAGGTTCATCGTTGAATTTATTTAACAACTTATTGATTCATGCACGGAACCTGACGATGGGTTCAAGTCCTGCCCGAGTCGAAATTTTTTTCAATTTATTTTCGATTTTTAAATTATATAGTGCCTTCATGTGCAATAACATGTAAAAAATAATAAAGCTTTCAGCATTTATCATTCTTAATAAACTTTTTCACCCTCAAAATTTAGATTGTAATTTAAACTGATTGTTTATATATTTTATTTATTTTGATTTTTACTAAAATATTAAAACGAACAATTTAAGCATTGTCTCTAGTTTACTCGAGTAGTACATATTTAAAAACGAAACCTGAAACCGTAGTAAAAATAAAAAAAAATTAACACATTTCAACAACATTTCGTGTTTTAATCTGTTAAAAATGTTTTATTTAATAATTTTCCAAATATTTAGGTTGCTACAGCATCCTGGACGGCCACGACGAGATCCGTTTCTATCCGCGCGAAGCAAAGCTGGACAACCGATTTGCGAAGATCGTTCGCGTACAATCGCAGGTGTTTGTGCTGGATGTTCTGGAGGATCAGCTAGTGGTATTCGGAGCTGATGCACTTGTGACTATCTACGAGCTTAGTTTGGATACCAGTGAGTTTATTTTATTATTTATTCCGCTGTTGTCTTGTTGAGTTTTGATGAGAGAACCAATAAGCATTGAATCCACTTGATGGAAGACCATATGACACCTGAACAAGATGCACTGCCGATCTATTTTGGTTTAGATATTCTAACTGAAGCAACGACGTTTTCAGATGGTAACATAGAGCTGCGTTGTGTGCAAGCTGTGGACATATCAGCTTTGTCACATCCGGCCTGCGTCGTTTCCGCCTCGCTGTGCCGGCTGCAGGATCCGTTACCTCATACACATCTGAATAGAAGGGACGAGACCCTTACTGCTCCTGACTCCTTGGTAATTATATTTTTTCGGTTGTTGTCTCCACAGCTGGGACTGCGACATGACTAGTGGGTAATGGCTTGTTAGCAGATGGATATGCCGGTATTCTTCCGAGGTTTTTATTATTGAAGAGGATCATATAAACTAATCATATAATTACGGTGCGTCACTGAGATTACGCGAAATTACGACAAGGTCCTGAACATATAATATACAATAAATACTTTAACGGTTTAAAACGTGAAATAAAATATATCAGTTAAACATTTTTATAAATTATTTTCAACGACGGTCCGACGTTCCGGGCGCTTTGCAGTAGCCGTGGTGACGGGGAAACGTCGGGCCGTATGTAAAATTAACTACATATTTTTAAACAAGCTTAACCGATATTTTTCGCTTTTAAAACCGTTAAAGTTTTACTTACTCAGGTAAGTACAAACAGTATTTTTATGTAATTAAACAGAGAATACCTTATGTTTTTTTTATGGATGTTTCATTAAAATTTATATTGTAGGTGATCAATGCCAGTGGTAAACTAATGATGGTGCAGAGGGAAGAGTATGACGTGGATGAAGACAACAATCCGGTGAGTACTTTTTGTATGTACTATAACAATTAAAACACTAAGTCGATTTAACGAACGAGGTACAAATTTGTAAAGTATAGATGAACAAATAATTGTGTAAATCTAGTTCGCTTCGCGTTAATCTGTTAGTGCTCGTCATAATTACGAAAATTACAATAAAATGTTACGATTGAGTATTTTTGTTTATACAACGTGTTATGAATATTTTTACGTCTAAATAACTATATAGCACAAGAACGTCAGGTCAGCTAGTAAGAAATAAAATCAAACATTCTATATTTCGGAATAGTTTATTTACCTAATCAGAGAATAAATAAGATACACTTCATTGCTCAGTTCAACAGAATCAGCTTAACTTCTATGACCTATGTGTATTCTTGCACGTTGCCAACATATGCAAGAAGACACTAGCGCCGCGAGTAACAAGAAGGTTACCTATACACGGAGAAGTTATAGACCCTTATATAGATCGATTGATCGTTCTAATGCCTCGTCCTGATGGTAAGGCTTTGACCGTGTGTGATTGGCCCGGCTGTCCAGCGCTGGGCGACGTGTCCATGTCTATTGTAAGTGGTGCCAGTTACGGAAATCAAAGGTGCCGGGGCTGGGAGTAGATAGTCCAAATGATGTACTGGAGTGATCAATGGTCCAAGGTGTGGGTTCAGAGGAGCAATAGGTCCGTGGTTGAGAAGTGGAGCTGGTGCTATGATCGGCGCAGGCGCAATAATTGGCCCGTGGTTCAATATTGGCGCTGGCGCAACAATTGGCCCGTGGTCCAATATTGGCGCTGGCGCAACAATTGGCCCGTGGTCCAATATCGGCGCGTGAGCTAGTATTCCGGTGTCGACGTGCGAGACTTCTGCTATTGGAGCTACTGCTTCCACGTGCTCAACGACTGGTGCTGGAGCTACAATAGCGGGGGTTTCGACTACAGCCGCTGCCGGTGCAGCTATCGCCACCGAGTTGATGTTCGGACCGGATTTCTTGACTACAGCGTTGAAACCTCGGAGGGGATCGGCTGTGTACTCCACGGTGCGCACGATTCCGTCTGGCTCCACTAGTGAGTAAGCTCCTCGCACCTGGTCACCGTGACGCTCTTCCCACTGACCCTTGTTGTCGCCCGTGGATGGGTCGTTGACAGCGTAATTGAAGTGGTAGTTTGGGTTTGGCTGTCATGAAAATTGAACTGTCATGAATATATTAAAACTATATATATTAATTTACCTAGTACAATATATGCAAATATACTAAAATTATAGTGTTGAGACATCACAGGGCCTATATATAACGTCTTGTGCTCTTCTTGCCAACTGACTTTATATATGACTTGCCAACTGAATTTATATAATTACTTATTGAACCTTCGCTCATATCGAGTAATCCGTGTTCTGAAGTCAAATTTTAATTTTTAGATTATAGGGCTATTTAAATAATCTATTTTTTATGATGGCAAACAAATACTGTTTTATTTCTTTCTTTTAAATACATTTTAAATAAAAATAAGTATGTAACAGATTGGACTTGCAGTCAAGATCGCGACCGAGATATAAAAATGCATTTACATTACATCTTTCAGTTTGTAGTTTTTCGGGATCTTAGTCTAGAGGCATAGTCTAAACACTGATAAACATTTATAATGTTATATAATTTGGTCTGTCTGATGTATACTTACAATACTCCCGACGGACTGCACTGATATGTGACCGAGTCCATGCGGTTTGGCGAACGCTGCTGCAACGAACGCCAAGAGGCAGGAAACCTGCAATTTAAGATATTTTATAAACCGTAATCCTTATTGTTAACATAAGATTAACTTAAAAGGAGCCAAGGATCTGTGGTCCCTGGTGTCACCGCTTCAGAAGAAACGTATACGAGAACAAAAAAAAACAAATAACTGAACGCGTAATATTAAACGCTTTTTAACAGTTTGAAACGGTTGAAAGTAGCCGTGATCAGGACAATATATTTCCCGATTATAATAGTTTTACAGTTATTGTTTTATTTAACGAAGTTCTGGCTAGTTAATTTATTGTTTAAATTCGCTTGAAGGATAAAATAAAATATGACATTTACCACCACACACGAGTTCATGCTGCTGACAATGTATTCCAAAGAGCTGACGAAGTGCACTGTGTCTCTTGTCAATAGAAGCACGCTTATATACTATCAGTAATTAGAGGCCCGGTTTTGTCAAACCTTTCCGGATCGATTGTCAATAGTTTTTCAGTGCTTCAGCCGTTAATACATAACTCGTTTTGTAGCCTAGAAAACTGAATTAGGCTGCATAATTTTGGTGTCGTGTTTGCATACGGAGCAAGCGATTTGGCGGTAGTTCAATTGGTTAGAGCAACAGCACGAAACGCTGTGGATGCCCGGTTCAAGTAGTAATTTTTTTTTTCAATCTAAAATCGATTTAGGTGTACTAAATAATTATAAAAGCTTAGAATAATGAGAGCTTCTTATGTTAATGCCGTTAATGCCTCATATGGATAAACTAAATTGATGATTCAGTCGAATATGTAAAATTATTTCTCAATACTGAGAAGTTATTAATTTACAGAATTGAAATTCACACACACATAAAAACACATTTAAAAGTATAAAACGCGAAATATATTAGTCCACTTATTTTTGAAAACGTTAATATATATTACATGGTATTGCACATTATAGCACTATATAGATTTTAAAAAACGACGATGAGCTGTGGGACTCTATAGCTCAATCGGTTAGAGCAACAACAAAGAACGCTGACGATGACGGTTCAAGTCCTACCCGAGTCTAAAACTTTTTCATAATTTAATAACGGCCTGACGTTTCGGATGCTTTGCAGCAGTTGTGATAGGGACCGTGACGGGACTCCATGATCGAAAAATGGGATAGAAGATGGAGATAGTCCCTAATATCAAAGTCAAAACTGCTATGCTAGCGCCATGTGTTTCGTCGTAGTCGGTATTAGGATAAACTAGCTGGGTTCTTACGGAACTGGCTGACGGTTTCCTTTAGTTTACCGATATGCTGGATTTTGGGATCTAGTGTTTTTAATATGGGATCCCAGGTGTGTGATGTCTTAGGCTGTACACTCTATTAAAATGTTTGGTGTTTCTTGGTATCAAATACTACCATTTCGAATTTGAATATTATTTATTTAAACTGCGAATTTATAATAGGGCGTCAAATATAGTAAAAGTTGGTTAACATTATGCCATTCCAGAAATGAAGTCCTGTGCTGTGTTACTAATTTAATAGTGGTGGCATTATTGTTTTTTATTTTATTAATATACTAATAATAATATTATTTTTTGGCTGTGCTAGTATTTTTGAGCGATTTCAATCCTAAATAACATATTGTCTGAATATTATAATAGAATTTTAATTGTTCCACCAAACAACATTGCAATACTCAACCTAGATAAGGCAATGTTATGTTGGTATATGGATAGATCTTTGTTTTTTATTGGAGGGAATTATTAATTCAATATCAAGTGGATATAATCGTAAAAATCCAGAACACACGCGGCGCATGTTATTCTAGTAAAGATAAAAAAAGAACTTGTTTCGACTTGAAGAAGTGTCTGACCTAAAGAAAACATGTGTTTCAGACAGTAAGGGCTACATATTCCAATATTATATTCTTCTGATTCCGTTAGTTTAAACATTCCTTTTTGTCATACTTCGCGTTCAACAAAACAAAAAAAAACAACATTATAATATTAATGGAAAATGATTTAAAAAAAGTATGTAATAAAAGACTTTAAATTTTATTTTTGATTATATTTATTTATAAATAAATTCAATTTTACTAATATAATTAACACTATTACATTATTTATTATACAGGTCCAAAATATACTGATTAGGTAGAGTATTTTTTCATATTTAACGAACATATTTTTAAACTAGGTAAAATAAAATATTTTTTTTTTTCGTCACTTTATTTCTTATTACCATTTTATTTAACAAAATAGTAATAAAATTACTACCAATTTTCGAACTTTACGAATGCTGGAACTGTATGCCAACGTACAAAACTAAGAACACATTTCAATAATTATAATGTACAGACCAAAGAATAGGTTGCCAGTGCTTGCCTATCAATAACAAATTTCACTGTCAAAATGAAAAATAAACAAAGAAAATGTAGGATAAAGTAACTATTCAAGCTATCTTAAGTTATCGGTGAGATTTCCTTATATACAACGTTTTACCAGCCAAATTGATCGGCCCAGTGATAATTTTATGGAGATTTCCGTCAATATATTTACGTGCAATTATCGTTGCGTATGGTTCGTCCGTTATTGGGCCGTGTAACGGTCGCCACCCACCGAAGGAACCGGTATGAGGATCCCAGGGCAAACTACCTCTCTGGTACACCACGTGTGACACACCGACGGGTACGTTTACCCCCCCTGCCCCGTACGATATGCTGGGTCCCACGTGCTGAGTTACGGAAACCTTCGTTGGGTGCACCGGAACCTCATGAGATATATGTATCTTAGTTGGCGGAGGTGGTAAAAGCGGTATTCGGACCGGGACGTCTCGAACGGCATGGACGGCGACTGGAGGCGCTGGGTTAAGAACCACCGGAACGTTGGAGACGACGTTTGTAGGATGTACACTGGCGCCTATTTTATTCACAACAGCGGTGAAACCCTTGTGGTCGTTGGCATTGTATTTCACAACCCTGACCGTCCCGTCCGGGTCCAGCAAGGAATATTCGCCATTCACTTCGTCTCCATTCCTCGTCTCCCACTGGGCTTTGTTGTCGTTTGTGTGGGGATCGTGGACTGCGTAGCTGAAGGCGTATTGAGGGTAGTTCTGAAAAGTTTTTAAGAAAATTATTGTTTCTTCTAAGTACAGTTTCATAAAGCATTTTCGTAAATGTAACGAGTATAGCTAATTTTCTAGTGGGGGTTGCCTTTCCCTAGAATGGATTCCCACTTCATGTCCCCTTATAGAGGAATTAGCTTAATGTCCTATACCCCCACCTCTATGATTATTGATATGTTTTGTCTTTTACTTACTGCTTGTTCGATAGTCGTTACTGGAATAACTCTGTGCGATGCTCCTAGTGGTCTAGTATAACTTGAGGCGATAAAATTTAAAAGCAATAAGCTTTGCATCTGAAAATATAAATGACATGTTAAACTTTGATGATCTTGTTCCACGATTTGAACTGCATTTGATTGCTTGGATAGCTAAATGTATTATATACATATAGAATCAATATAAAGACACTGGATAATTTACTTAATTTCTTGAGATGAATACTGTCTTAAATATTGTCTGTGGTCTCCGCGAGTAGTACACACTTAAATAAAACACTTTTAACGGTATAAAACTCGATAGTTATTAGTTATTTATTACCATACACTTCCCCCGTTACCAGGGTTATTGCGAAGCATCCGAGACATCTGGTCAAAACAAATCGTAAATAAGTTAACGTTTCGCGTTTTAAACCGTCAAACGTGTTTTTAAAAGGCTAATTTAATAAATTACCCAAAGCAGTCGACTCATATTGCACACCAGTCGCTGCAATTTTGTTAAATGTGCAATAATAGGTGCGTAGAGATTTTATAAACACAAATGTTATGTGCGAATACAGGTTTTGAACAAATATTGTTACGTGCGACTCTTTCATATTCATCCCCGACGTAACGGATGAAAGAAACTATTTAACAATTCACATAATAGTTATTGTATTATTAAATAATAATACAATTATTCTACAGCAGGTGGTAGAGTCACGTTGAACTTCGAACCGCCTAACAGTAGGTTCCTATTTTAAAAAACGCGGTCAATAAAAGTTTTATTATTATTTGGATGCAATACTAACCTCATTTGATAGTTTCGCCTCCCCACTTCCTACCCTACATCTTATTCACTAACATATGTACTTTATTTAATGGTATTAAATATTAATTGTCTGTAGTTTACGCGAGTACATTTAGTAAAATACTATTAAGAGTTTCCAATGGGAAATATATTAATTAACTTATTTTAAAGAAATTTTTAAATAAGTTACCTTACGTTTCGGACATTAGTGAGACCCTCCTACAAACTCCCCAGTTCAGTTTTAATCAGTTAAAAGTGTTTTATTTTAATTTATTATGAATCGTTTATATGTGAGGGATGTAACGGTTTTGTTTTTTTGTAAAAAACATCACCTTATTTCAAGGAAATAAAAATAACAAATCGTTCAGTTGTTCAGGTTTACAAACATTCAGCGATTCTTTTTAAACGTTTAAATATTATACAATATATATGATCACACGGTAATTTCTTAGTCAGGTAAATAAAAAAAAGTGTTGACTACCACGCAAGGTGGCCAGTACTTTATTGATGCTTAATGACTATCGTCGTGTCATAAATAAAAATATAAATATCTTACATTTAATTTTGTTAGAATCACAATATACGAGGGCACTATACAGCGAGTGACCAGGTTATGGTAAGAGGCATATCAGAAGTTCCCATCACTAGTGGTAGCTTAGTGGAGAGGAATACAGGTCGTAGTTCGAATTGTATGAACTGTATGGGTTGTATGGAATCGGTATAGGTATTCGTGGGCGAGGATAGTAAGCAGGTGCCAAAGGCAATGGTGCCGGTAAAGCGGGAGCGGAATAAACTGGCGCTCGGAGTATAGGAGCAATGGGAGCTGGAGCTGAATAAACTGGCGCTCGGAGTATAGGAGCAATGGGAGCTGGAGCTGAATAAACTGGCGCTGGGAGTATAGGAGCAATGGGAGCTGGAGCTGGTAGGATTGGGGCAACTGGGGCTATCTCCTTCACGACCGGTCTCGCAGGTTTATATATCGACGCAGACGAATAAGCACCGTTGCCATAATAAGGTTTACTGTAGTATGGAGCGCTTGCAAGACCACCCAAGCCCGCTACGGAACCAACAATAACTGGTGCAGCAGCATGTCCCAGACTTGGAATCGGCGCTTTGTAAATTGGCTGTGATACCGGGTGCAGATTCGGGCCGATGCGTTTGACGACCGCGTTAAAACCAGATTTGTCGTCAGCTCGGTATTCCACCACTCGTATGCTACCATCAGGCTCCACCAGGGAGTATGCACCTGTAACATCGCGTTATATAATTGAAAGTGAAGTAATGAAATTACAACGCAACTATTATTCGAACATACCGGTTACGACATCTCCGTCACGCTTCTCCCATTGTGCCTTGTTATCACCGGTGTGGGGGTCCCTTACTGCGTACTCGAAGGCATAGCTGGGGTAAGTCTGAAACATTACCCGTTATATTATATTATTTTGACAGAGAAAGTCCGAAAATGAGTTTCATCTGATGACTCATAAAACATCCCAGCTATTTTGAATATAATGAAAATTCGCTGTCTACCTCTTTTGGCATTCGGGAATCTACTGACTGAAACGCAGCATTTTACGCGTCTTCTATTAAGGGATGGTAGACAGTGCTTCGGGCGGAACTTTGAATTTGCAATCGTTCTTTTAATATCCAGATTAACAAATGATATATATAAATTATTTACAAATGATTGACTACCCCGTGACTACGGCTGCTGCAAAGCATTCGAAATACCGATATACGATATTGTAACTATATTGACTAATATATTTCCCGTCTTAAACCGTTAGAAGTGTTTTGAGAAACTTGATAGGTCCGATAGCAATCCAATGACTTGTACAAAGTTATTTATTTCGCACTGGTTAACTATAATCCATTCTTACATAGTAATCAGCGGACGCGTGCCCCGGTGCGTAAACAAGTCCATCCAATGATCCAGTCGCCCTTGTAGGTGCAGATAGAGCCAGCAGGCAAGATATCTGTAATGTCGTCAAACAGTTATAACTCGATAGAGATTTGCTTCGTTATCCAGCGAATAAATCACTGACCGCTATTAAAAACTTCATTGTATCGATGAGATGGTGGTGATGGCACCAAAAACGTACTAGTTCATTAATTCTAATATTGCCAATTTATAGGTTCGCTAGTCGATAATTTACGTCTAACGGATGTCGAGTGTTTCATGCATCGCAACAAACGCTAAGGGTTGCATCAGCCATCCTCATTTTCGTAGAACCTTCGGCTGGTGAAAACTACGCATAAATGATAAGGATCCCGGACGAAACGGGCGGTATTTAGGACGGCGAGGTTTTGGATGGCCGATGAAAATGATTGTGTTAATTGCAGACATTTTGCGAACCCCTTCAAGACACGCGCTTTATAAGATTTCTTGCATAGTCCCTGCAACTGGAGAGATTGTTCATCCCGTTCAATGCGTCCAAACCGAACCCAGAAAATATACATATTTAAAGTTTTCGATATAAAATCACAAACTACAAATCAAACTCAGTTACGTGCTGAGTCTCCCTTAGAAGTTTTATACGCTGCGGACCATTATAAAAATAGAGAAGAAATTAAAGAAAAATACATAATACCATTAATAGGTTTCAAAATGTTATTGGCTTCATCAGCTTTCTGGCAGCTTTAAAACTGATCTAAGTAACCCATATGTATACGAGTAAGCGAGTAAAAGGGGTTTTTGTCAAACCAAAATAAGTGATTATAAAAAAAAACTAATTATAATTACACTGCGTGTTTAGTGAAATGCGAGTAGTACGGTTTATTTTCCGTATACCGCAAGATATGATTTCTCGCTTAAGACGCCCTTTTGGTCGGATTTTTCTCCCTGAAAAATTATCTTAAGCGGGTTTTACTGTACCTAGTTATGATAACACCATTTTCCTTATTCACAAACGTATTATGCGAATGGATTGTGAAGCGTGTCCGTTTTGTTGCAATGTGTGCAAACTAATTTGACGACTCGCTCCAATTGCTATTATTTAGAATAGGTGTTTGTCAAGTCGTGTGCGCCGTAGACGTTGGTGTTGCGATTGAACTGAATGAAGCATGCGCACGCGACGGATGTTTCGTCGGTCAATAACACGATATTATATAATTCGTATAATATTGTACAATCTCCATTTCCCTTAATGCTGCATGGATTGTGATATATGCGTTAAAAAATCAATAATAAAGTATTTTTGTTTTTTGTTTGACGTATGTACAACACACTAGCTGACCAGACAGACTTTAGTTGCCATATATCGACCAAAATTTTATTGCCACAAAAATGGTTCTTGTGAGTTGTTTTTAAAGGATAGACATTTACCGTAAGGTTGAGTGTAAAGATTTTCCCCATTTCCCAGCGTTGATTCGATCTAATTTGCCGCAGCAAGATGTTTTTTAGGCTAAATTCTTCCGCGATGAATGCCCAACGAATACAAAAATATTTTTCAATTTGACCCAGTACTTTCGGAGTTCAAAAAAAACGATCAAAATTTTCCAGCTTTATAATATTATCATAGATATTGAGTATTAATTAAGGTATTTTTAGATAACTATGTAGGTCAACAAGAAGCCTGTACTTCTTTAACAAAATATATAAAACAAGAGGATAGTACACAGAGCAATTAACATCGCCAATCATGTATAAATAATACTAATTATAATTCAAAATTACAGAATAGCACGCATACTTTGTTCTTATTCAGAACGAATAGTTTAAGAAGCTTTGCTATTTCCGAAATGATTTGTTATTTTTTTTATCAATAAGTACATTATCATAAAATAAAATATACTTTATTGTAAAATGACGAGTGTTTCTGTAAGCCGTAGTTAAAATACTGTCTGTAATTTACGCGAGTAATACACTTTTAAATAAAACACTTTGATAGTTTAAAACGCGAAATATAATATTTAAATAAAACACTTTAACGGTTTAAAACGCGATATATTAGTTAAACTTATTTGAGAATTATTTTAACTACGGCTCGACGTTTCGTATGCTTTGCAGCTGCCGCCTCTCCGTGAGTACGGAAGATTCTCTTCCGAAATAAAATTCTAGTTTAAACCGTTAAAGTGATTTATTAAAATAAGCCGTAGATATACATGAATTTTACTTGTCACATAGCAGTGTCTATATCAATTTCTGTATAAAAAAAATATCGCGTCCATATCAAAAATTATACACGTGTATATACTTTGTTTATGTAAATAATATGAACTAACTTTATTAATTACTATATTTATCTATACTAATATATAAAGCTGAAGTGTTTGTTTGTTTGTTTGAACGCGCTAATCTCAGGAACTACTGGTTTAAATTGAAAAAAATCTTTGTGTTAGCTAGAACATTTATCGAGGGAAGCATCTCTGTTTTTCCGATGCGTACGTTGCGAAAACGGTTAAAAAAATATGTAGGAAATAATGATTCCTCTTTAAATGATCTAAAAAAACCGCGACGCTATAATATGTCTATCTTCTAAGATTAACTTGTAAGAACGACGGGAAGGGACGCGACCGACGTCCTGCGTAGCCAGTTTAAAAGAACGATGGATGTGTATTTTACAAAATTGAATACCTTTGTAATAATAATATAAAGAAATACGAAGCATTATAATACGTTTTTATAATGGAAAGGGGGCCTTCACGCTTACGGCGATTTCTTCCAGGCCACTCTTGTTTACAGTAGATAGAAACAAAGGAACAATTAAAGAGCAAACCTTTTTGGTTATCATTAATATTTAATTACAATACAATGTAACACATTTTGTTTCGTTGAAACTACATTATCCCCGTTTTACAAAATTACTAGAACTTATAAAAAAGGGGGCATAATTTAGGAACAATGTCAAAAGAGTGTCTAAGTCATATTTTTTCAAAGTTAAACCTTTTCATTACAGGCATACAGCTGTTTACCAGCGACTGTGCTTGCTTCGTGCGTGGAGAGTGTATGGTCTTCTGGTAACAGCTCCGGTACTCAGACGCAGCTGTCTCGGGCTCTGTGGCTGTGGTGTGGGTCTCTTGGAGCTCGGGTGTGGTTGCCACTGATGCCGCGAGAGGCCACTAGGCGGCAAGACCCGTCGCGACATACGTTTATGGCAAAGAGGATTATGCTACCCTTCCATTTGAATATATATCCACTGAGTAAGTTATAAACATAATAAGTCTTATTAGTAATATAATAAGTCGTATTAAAATTGATTAGAAAAATGTGACATTTTTCTAATCAATTTATAATTTTCCTGAAACATGTGGAACTTCGTCTGGAAATCTGGATAGTAAATGGGTGGTAGGAATATCGAAAACCGCCCACAGATGACAAAGCCGTGAAGTTTAATCACGGACGAAGTCGCGGACACAGCTAGTTCAAAATATATGCAAAATTAAAGCTTTAAAAATAGCTTTGTCTCCCAAACTTTAATGTGAATAACAAATTTGAAATATAAAAATTTCTGTTACAGCGATCCTGTTTGACGACGCCATTCTATTGGGAGCTGAAAATGATACAACTCTGTATACGTCTGACTCGAATTCGGTCTTCTCGCTGCCTTTTTGTGTCATTAATCGAACAGTGAGTTATTTTTAAAACTACTAGATATGCTTTGTACTATATAATTTATATTAAAAAGTTATTGACTCAATTTGTAAAATTGACATTGTTAAAATTTCTCCTCTTTAAATGGATTACTTTGGTGTAGTCTTTCGAAATTCTTCTTACATTTAATACAAAAACATAATAATAGTAAGCCAGTATGAAAATAATACTATATCTTATTCTAGACAATACTAATCTAATTGTCTACATTATTAAAATATAATTCGTGTCGTTGCTCCAAACCAATTGAGCCATCATGTTCTATAAAGTTGATACATAATATTTCAGAGCCAAGTCTACCTACACCAAATACTGAGGCAGCTCCTACGGCGTAACTTGGGGTACCACGCGTGGGAGATAGCCCGTTCTTGCTCCCAGTTGCCATATTTCCCACACTCGCTCGAATTGCTGCTTCATGAAGTAAGTAAATTATTAACTTATTGCGCTGAGATCGATTCGAACTCGTTCGTCAAGTGAGTAAAATCGCGACGTCCAAGTTTTGAAGTTCGGGTAAAATTATACGTTACCATTACATTGTCTGAAAACGAAAATGGGGTATTTCTTATGATGATGGCGGTGGACGGTCTGGCATGGCGTTTACTTCATGGTAAATACCCCAGTCGTATGACATCTAAACAAGATGCGAAGATTTAACCACTCTATCTTTACATTGTTTATTATCGTTATCAAAATACACCTTTGTCATAAAAAGTGGACTTTAATTACATATTGTAACTTATATTGATACAATTCTATGAAAATCAGTCAATCTGTTGGAGTGTACAAGAATCAATATATTCGCCCGATGTCACTTATGTGTATTAATTGGTATGTATGTACGTTTAAGGTATTGGAAGAAGAAGCAACGAGTAAAGAGCCAATTCCTGACGCGCAGCTGCCAAGCGTTATAGAGTTTGTACACGAATTTCCGGTTTATCTACAGGTAAGTCTTTATTATCCTAATTATCCATTATTATTAAAATACTATCTGTGTTACGACTTTGTCCGCGAATAATGGTTATTTTCGGCGTCGAAATTTGTTTTTGCAAACCGCCTCCGTATCTTGATAACCTAGCCCCATGATACCGGTCGCGTCCCGCTGTCTTGCAAGGTAATCTTAAAAGATATATACATAGATATATAGCGTCGCGGACATTGTTTTAGATCAGTTAAAGAGGATTCATTCTTGACTACATATTTTTTGAGTATCTTTAACCGTTTTTAGAGCGTACGCCTCGGAAACGCACAATGAATAATTTTTCCAATTTGTTTCACATTTCCCACTACCATCTATTTACAGCGCCTACCCCGATAAATGCTGTAACCAATACTATAAGATTTTGTTTAAATTCGTTCCAGTGGTTTTTGAGATAAGCGCGTTCAAACAAAAAATAAAACTGTTCAGCTTTATATATACATCAAATTTGATTTTTGTATTTTTTTATACAAAATTACTAATCCACGCGGACGAAGTCACGATCACAGCTAATTCATATATTTGCAAAATTAAAGTTTAAAAAAAAACTTTGAGGCGATAAAAATTTTGTTTGAATTTCCGCATAAAATATTCTGTGAAACGCTAGACATTAAATTCGTTTGCTTTGTCCCTTTCAGACAGTTGTGCAATGCGCAAGAAAGACTGAGATAGCACTATGGGCGTACCTGTTTTCCGCAGCGGGAAAGCCAAAGGAGCTATTTCAAGAATGCCTACAAAGAAAGATGCTGGACACCGCTGCTTCATATCTTATTATATTACAAGTACGTACTTGTACATACTGACAACCTTTTTAGCTTATAGATTAAGTGTTGTCTAGCCATTGTAGGCGTAAGAAGTCACGAGGGTTAAATAAGAGTTTCGGTCGAATAGGGCACAGAAAATCAGTGAAACGGGCACATAAATATGGCTGACCCGTGCTATCTGGTAGGGACTTTCTTTTTATTATTTTTAATTAAGAGAATCTATCTAAAAAAAATTGAGTTTCATTTTTCAAACTTAGTAGATTTTTAATTTATATAATCCCACCATGTCCAAGAACATGTTAATGTGAAAATATTAAAGTTGTATGTCTGAAGTTTACGAGAGTTGTGCACATATAAATAAAACACTTTTAGCGGTTTACAACGCGAAATACCTTAAGCGTTTTAAACCGTTAAGTGTTTTGTTTAAATATTAAAGATTTTAAGCATTTTATAAATGCCTCAAATAATATTCAATATTAATTTCAGCGCCATCGGGTACGTTTAATTGTCGCTAGTAGTCTAGAAGTGTTGTAGTCATTAGTACAGTTATTTATATAAAGCTAGATATAGTGTATAAAATATATTTTATCTATAGTTTTAGCGATTGTCACAGATTAACTGTTATTTATAATCTGTAGAATCTGGAGAGTTCAGCTGTCAGTAGACAGCTTGCGACGCAGCTGTTAGACACGGCCCTTCAAAACGAACGGTGGGACCTCGCGAGGGATTTAGTGCGATTTCTTAGAGCTATAGGTAAATTGACTTAGTTTTTAGATTTTATGATAAGACTTCTTTCTTACTAAGAATTATCTTTGAAAAGTCCTAAAAGTAAAAAATAAGATGAAAATAACACACGTTGTTATAAACTCTACTTGCTGATGACCTAGTGCTTAGTTATTTAGAAGTGTAAATACTGAAGCCGATATGTGAGTGACAACTTTTTTGACATATTATATTTGCATATCTGTGGCCAGAGGTGACTTGGACGCAGTTTTGATATTTCTACCACCCATAATCATAATCACGTCATAATTAAACTTACATGTTTGAGATGAATTAGATTTCGATTTTAGGAACATGACATCTGGTGGTAATCGTACCCACGACCTGCTAATTATTAGTCATATATACCATTGGACCAACTAGCTCTTCAAAAATTTTATGTCTATGTTTGATTGTTGATAAAAATTAACACGCTCTCATTCACCACATTTCTTACAGACCCTAATGACGTAGATTCGCCGAGGAATTCTGTCAACGTTCAGACAAAATACGGCCAAGTGGTCCAGTCGCAGACAGTTAGTCCCAATGCTGAGGATTTGTCTGTCATCCTGGGAACTATGCAGGTAAGCGTGTGAAATAAACTTACATATACAAGCAACGCTTTTTTAAAAGTTTAATTAAGTTTTTTTTATCATAGACGAGGACAGACAAGAATATGATTCAATTGATGGAAAGTGGCGCCTTGACATTTTAACAAGATTTGCTTTCGAGCTATTTTGCTTTGGATATTAAATTCTTTATTTGTAAGGGCAGATATAATGATTGGGATATTTCACCTTCCATCAAGTGAACTCCATCTTAGCGTGTCCTTCTCTATCATCAAATCCCGAGTCACTTGTTGTGATATATTAAAATGATCATGAAATAAATATTTTATATGTAGCTATCAGGTGCGCGTGGGCGCAGCTTCAGCACGACAGCGGCCCCACGTGAGCCCTCCCCACCCGGTCACACTCCTCCCCCGGCTCCGCCCCCAGCACGACGTACTGCGGCCGCAGCTGTCAAACGCAAGAAGTCCGTACCGGCGCGCGCTGATAGGTATAAAGACATGTTTTAAACATCTCTAATCTAGTTATCTAATATCTAGCTTTAAAACAAGATCATTTTTGTATTAATTGTTTTACATTATAACAGACCAACTGTAAGCAAACCTTAATAAGCTACTGATACGATTTTTAACTATTTATAGCTCGAATTATTTTCGTTAACTTGCTTTTAACGAAGATCAGACATTTCGTATATTTTGCAGCATCTGTAGTCTCAGAACACATCCGACACCTTGAGTCATACTTAAATATAAGTTAACAGATATATTTCTCGTTTGAAACCGTTATATTTTAATAGATATATATTAACAAAAAATCTGTAAATTTATCGCAGTTTATTATAAAACCAACCAATGTTTTATCTTATTAGGGAATCATATAACGGAACAGCGGAAGAGTTTTTCATCGACATGATGATCCAGCGGCACGCACGGCAGTTGCTTTCTTCAGCTCGTTTGGTGTCACTGGGCAAGTTGGCGGCGTCACTTGACTTGCATCTAGTAGCTTGGCTGGCGGGCGAGAGAGAGCGTGCGGCGCGGGTAGACAGCGCAGTGCTGTGCCTCAAGAGGCTCCACGAGGATTTCAAATGGCCTTACCCGACACCAAGCGAAGACCAGTACTCGCAGCGGAAGAGTAGCGTAGCTCCTAGTAAGTACAGTAGTATTATGTCATATTATTTAACTTCCATATATAGAAACCTATAGTGTATTTTTTCTAACTTGGCATTTTTAGTACAGACGCAAGTTACATGAAATCGAGATCTCCAAACGTAAAACGATTTTGCTTGCGTTAGCGACTCTGAAGGGGCCACAGAATATTCACTATTGGGACATTAGTCCCAACTTATCTGAATGGACCTCTTTTCACAGTCAACTGTTGTATTATATTTTATCTGTATTTAGTTATATTAATATTTGTTAATCTTATATTATGTTTTTATAATTAATTTATTATTGTAAATCTATTGTATTGAAAGACGTATTTTTTTTTATTCTATTGTTTATAAGCTTAATCTATGGTTTCAGGTACATATAGCCAGTCTGCGGACTGCGGTAGTCAGTGTGGCGACAGCGGATACATGAGCCTCTCATTGCGTGCCGCGTTACCGCTAGCTGGTCCGCCTCCTTGCCGCTCGCCGGGGCCTGTTAGGTAATAAGTTTATTCTAGAAGAAGTTTTTATTCTATAATCAGCTATAATACAGCATTTGAACTAAATGTAGTGGATAACAGCTACAATAGATTTTCAGGCATAAACCTCTATAAGATTTTTTCTTCGCTTCTACGGCTGGATTGACAACTACTAATAAACTACTAACTAACTGGTGTGACGTTCATAAGTGTACCGGGTAACCTACGTAACTAAATAGTTTTTGAATTTGATCTTTAATCCACCAATTATGTAAATGTAAGCGATACTCCAAAGATTTCGTGTTCAGAGTCCATCTTAATGAAAACGCACACAGAAGACAACTTAGTTTATTTTTGGACGAATCCCAGCATTAGACTGAATTGTATTTTTCAATAAATCGGATATTTACAGACAACGGTTATTACAATCAGAACTTCCTTTAAAACAAAATAAATGAAATGACTATATAAAATGTTAAAAATTAATTATGATTATTATTCAAACACTAAATTTAAATATTTCTATTATCATATCATTATTAAATATTGTTAGCTATACATATATATATATAGGGAAGTCGATCCGGTTTTCCATCGTGAGGCAAGGGACGAACACATATTATGTTACTTAATTACACACTTGTGTACTTTTCAATGAGGAGAGTCTTCGATCAAACTTGTGTGCCCTGGCTGTCCTTCTATTAGGAAGTTCCTTACCATTCTATGTATTATTATTATTTTCTATCGGGGACACCTTCGGCAGGACAGGCGATCAGTCCACGTTGTCCGCTGACCATTTCACCCATTTCCCCATACCATTCTATGTAAACTTCAGTTTCACGTTGTATTATCAGTAATAAAACCAAATTTGTTTTAGTCATAAGATCTAACGTGTTACAGTTCTGTGGGTGAAGGTAGTGTTGCGGAGGGTGGGGGTGTGGCGTGGGGGGTGGGCGAGGGCGATGGTGAAGAAAGGCGATACGCGGCGCTGATGGAGAGATTACATCATCATCAGGCTGAACGCGGAGATCACACTGCGCATGTGCAACTAAGGTTCTGAATTCAACATTTTAGAATTTTACTAAACATTTTAATAGCTTGACGGATTTTGAAAAAGCTTTGTTCAAATATAGGTCAAACAGTGTAATTACACAAAAATAATATTGTTACTAGCAAGTTGGATATGTAATAACTTACTTTTAAGTAGACAATTACTGTCTAAAGTACATTCTTAAAACGTTTTGGTCTACAAAATAAAACCTCTAAACTGACGTTTCTGTCCACAGATACTTTTTACAATTGATGACCGAGGCCAGCTGCGTAGAATGGGCGCTAGTTGTGGCAATAGCACTACGCGATGCGTTAGCTGTGCTGCGTTGCACGAACGCGGCGCGTGCGCAAGACGTCAGCCTTGCTGCTGCACGGCGGCTGCGCACAGCGTTGCAGGAATTACTCGCTTGGTGTGACGACGAATGGTAAACTATTGCTTTTGTATTCACAAATCGTTAAGTTTTCTTTATATAAATCGTTCTGTGATAATGATTGTTAAAAAAGTATGCACAAATTTTAAATCAGGCTGCTTAGTACAAACATAGAAATTGACTTTGAATATAATAAAAGTTATTACTAATAAAATTTATTACTTAGTATGTTTTTTGATTTAGGAGGGCAAGCATGACGTTTACTTGATGGTAGATAATATCCCAGCCATATAACTTCTAATCAATTTGTGCTGTCGACCTATTTTGGCTTTGGATTTTTGGAAATTTCAGGTGTATATAAGGTGTAAATATTTGCATTTTATTATTACTATGAAATTAAGTTTCAGTAATCAAATCGAGTAATAGAGAAGAAAATCTTAATTATTTTCTTTAAAAACATATTGATATTTTCAGTATCGGCTACAAGCCCTTTATGCTAGCGATCAGCAACCAGATACCGTTCCTAACTTCAATCATTAACGCCCGCGAAAGGCGAATGTCCATGGTGAAAACGCGAGTACGCACACCTAGCACAGGATCCCTTAATACGGAGATCAAACAAACTCAAGAGCCCAAGCTACCGCCACCACAAAAAGCTCAGGAGATGACCAAACAGTTGGTAAGGAAGGATTCGCCCACAACAATACTAGAACCAGCTCAAGAAACTGCGTCTATAAGGCCGCCATCTTTACAGGAAGAAAGTACGTCTAATTGTATTATCATGTAGACGAAGGATTCAAAATTTATAGCTATAGTTTTAATACAAATGAGAATTCGGTCTGATGTCATCACATACGAATAAAAGTACGAAGCGAATTAAGGACCTCCTTTTTTAAGTCTGTTAAAAAAAGCAATAAATCTACTTAATACTGTCTATATTTTACACGAGTAGTACACTTTTAAATAAAACACTTTAAAACGCAATATATATTAGTTAAATTTATTTGAACGACGGCCCGACGCTTCGGATACGGAAGGTTTATGACGTCAATGAAAAACTGCTACGCTAGCGCCATCTGTTGCGTCGAAGTTGGTATTTGGCGAAACTGCCTTGGTATTTAGTGTTTTTGCGTTTGCCGGTATGATGCAAAGCATCCGAAACGCCGGGCCGTAGTTAAATATTTTACAAATAAGTTTAACTAATATATATCGCGTTTTAAACCGTTAAAGTGGTTTATTTAATTAATTTATTGACTTAAAAAGTGTTTTGCATAAAAAGATTTTCTTTGTAAATTGTGAAGTTTTTCTGGTCCAATTCTTAACTAACTTGTTTTTTTATTATATCGACAACATATCTAGTCTATCGGACGTTCTTTCTTATATTGTTGAAGCTATTAATTTAATTCTAAAGGAATCTAATAATGACAAAAATGTAATAAGGTACTTAGATACTTTTAAATCGTAAATTGACATTTTTATGTATAGCAATGCAATATTTATTTTGTTTTGAGTATGTCTTCCATAGACATATCGCTACATAAATCCGTTTTGTATAAATACAATAATATAGTGACCCAAGTTTGATTGTTGTGTAAGCAAATTAATTTCACATTGAAAAAAAAAATTGAAATGTACATCCGAGCAAATTGCTTTATACATTACGAATAAAACTTTGATATTAACTGGTTTGGACAATTTTATCTTGAATAATTAGAAAAATAAGAATGTCAATTGGATAATTAGAAAATATAGGAGACTAGACAATTGGTATTCGGAATATACATTGATTTTTATTAGACCTTGTACTAATTTAATTTAGATTTATATTAAAACTTAATTAAGACTAATATTATTAGGGGCTTTTATTAGCGTAAAAAGTAATAGAAGTTTTATATCTATTAACTTATTGCTCATAGGATGCATCTGATATTATTTCATTTAGTTTATGCTCAACTAGAAATCTCATTATTGTTAAACGTCCCGCCATTTTGGTGCCAATAAGCCAGACACACTGAAAAAATGTGAAGTAGTACAAAATGTATGTATCCACCGTACATATAAGTAATTAATTAATTGATAATGACCTCCGTTTATTTATTACAATGTATTTTTGCAATTTAATTATCAATATGTTGGTTACGGAAATTGTATTTTAATATATCTTTATTAGGGGGTTAAAATATTGTAACTTGTTATATACTTACTACTTAGATAATAACTAAACTGTACATAATAGAGTGATACATTCCGAAAATGAGAAGTAATATTTAGGTTTAGCAAATAATTTTTTATATCTAAGGCTCGATTATGTACGTTTTAACTTGTAACCTTAGTCTCGAAAGTCTAAATTAAATTGTCTTGTCAATTAGAAAATCTGTAATTCTTAAACCGTCACTACGCTAGCAGGTGCTAATAATAATAGTAAGATTTGTTTATTGCCTAACGAATTAAATCATTTTTTTAATGTACGGATTCTTGAAGCCATTTATACTTAAAGCCAACATGTCCAATTTAATTGAGTTGTTACAATTGGCACCTAATTTTATCTGTATAATTTTATTAGTGTTAAATATATTTATTGACATATAATATGAATGATGTGTATGACTTAGTTATATTTTATAATTATCAAGTTGTATCTATTTAACAAAATTGTGGACAGATTAAATGAATTGTAATTAAATAAATTGTTTTATATTACATGGTAATACCGTGTAATGGTTACCCTAACAATTTAGCGACAGTTGAAGCAAGCAGCTGTCCCCAACATTGTTTTTAAAAGCGAAACTGGTTATTTTCTATTAGTCTTGTATCTTTATCTCAAAAGACAAATTAACGAGTTGAAAACAATCTCTCTAAAACTCTAAATTTCGACCACGGGTGATAATTTAATATAAAACGAAATATAATTTTTTGACGTGTTATTACATAAGAAGCTTTTATTATGGCTACGTATTTTTAATCCCTCGTTCAAAATCGATTCATCGAACTCGCTAGTATCATAATCGATACCTCTATCAAAGTCAAAAAAGTAATTTATAATCTGTGCCCAACATTATTGTCCATGCCCAACACTAAAGTGCAATTAATTGTGGTAAGTGAAGTGAGCTGTCAAGACGTTATACTTTTGTTAGGAGAATGTAGAAAGAAACATTGATTTTACACGTTTTATAGTTGTTTTTAAGAGATTATTTACTTTGTTTATGCATTTTTAACAACCGAACCGCCGTACTGTCGAGATGGCAGACACAGCTCAAAGCGGTATTTCTATCGCCGAGCTGAAGGCGGAGATAGAAAGATTGAGTCGCGAGCTCGACCAAGCTAGTAGCGAAAAGATCCAGTCGGCACAGCTGGGTCTGGTTCTCTTAGAGGAGAAGAGTGCGCTCCAGCAACGATGCGACGAGCTGGAGAGCGTTTACGAGAACACAAAACACGAGTTGGAGATCACACAGGAGGTTAGCTGGCCTACATACCGTTGTATTTTCACTTTTCATGCCTTATGAGTCCATTATCGTGTAAACGGTAACTTCATTAAATTTTGAGAATACACATCTACTAACTAAATATTCATATATTAGCTGTTATGATTAGACTTATCTGCATATATTCTTAGTGGTAAGTTGAATACAGTTTTTTTTTTCAATTTTTTTCTTATTTGTAGGCTTTAATGAAACTTGACACATCGCAAAAAGAGACTACACAAAGTGGTATAGAACAGGAAAATGCTCTCCTTAATGAGTCTGCGGCTATAGAAAGTTCACTTACACTACAAATAATTGAGCTGGAAGGAGAAACAAAACAGGTAAATAATTTATTTTACAGATTCTTACTATTTTATTAATGTTGTATAAGATGTGATAGTTTGAAATAACTCAAACCTATTACTATGCTTGTTATAAACCTTGAGACTTATAAAATTACATATCAGAGTTAATTTCTGGACAATGCATACAGGATTGTAAGTTGTAATGTACCTAAATAATATTCAAAAACATCTAACAAGGTTTTCATGGGAATAACAAGTATACGTTTTGGATTGGCGTTAGCAAAATTTTAAAAATCACGGTACACCTTTTGAACTTGCAACAGATTATAATTACATATATAAAAGATTTTAGTATGTTAAAAATTTTAACAGTTCTTTCCTACTTTATTTTAAAAATTTAAAGCCTTAAACTGACTTACATCTGAAGTATTCCGTTTACATATTGTTATAGTTTTGTCTCAGTCTCAAATGAATGTACTTACTTTTAAACCTCTTATTATTTTCGTATTTTTAAATTTTACGATGTAGGTGGACAGATGAGCAACATGGGTTTACTTAATGGTAGGTAAAATATCACATCATATAACATCTAAACAAAGTGCGCTGTCAACTTATTTTTGGCTTTGGATGATCAATTTGGAAGAATTTGATTATGCCTTTATTAAATAAATCTATTACTTTTAGCTTATAGCCCCTTAGCTTAAGCTAATATAATATAGGTATGTAAGTAGTACACCATCTTATTACATTCACATATTATCATTACTAACAGTTAATGTTAATATTATGCTGCATTGTGTAATGTGATGTTGTTTAAAATACAACTTTCTTTTGTATATTTATAACATTGTAAAACTTGTGCAATAGTCATAATTTACATGGTTTTAAATCCTAATTTTAAAATATGTGAATAAGAACATTTTAAGACACTTTCATAAAACGCGAAATATATTTAATTTTTAACTTTAACTGATGTCTCTGCTGCTGTGCAGCAGCCATGTTCACTGGAATCATTAATAAAAAAAAATATTGTTTTAGTAATCACAGTACTTATTTGCAAATATTAGAAGTTTAATTACTCTTAAGTGATTCAAATCAATATTTTTGTAATGCTGAGAAGTTTTATTTATTATTTCTAATATCAAAACAAGTCCATACAGTTAGAAAATAGGGTTGTCTAGTATAAGATTTTATACACTGTTTTGTTACTATCTGTAATCTGTATGTAAATTACAGTGATTTTTTTTATTTTTTTCTTTATATATTTTGTTGATACTTGACCAATATTCTGGCTTTTAAATAAAACCTTTAAACGGTTTAAAACGCGATATATTAGTTAAACTTATTTGAAAATTATATTTATCTTCAGCCCGACGTTTCGGATGCTTTTCAGCAGTCGTGGTCACGGGGAAACATCGGGCCAAAGTAAAAATTATTTTGAAATAAGTTTAACTAATATATCGCGTTTTAAACCGTTTAATTGTTTTATTTAAATGTGTACTACTCGCGTAAACTATAGAGAGTATTCAATTTTCTGGCTTCCAAATGTTTTTCTTAATTCAAAAACCGTCATAATGTGTTAAAGTAGTAAAGTATTCTTTGACGAATAGCGTCTGCGTACGATTAATGAATTGATAGCGTTTGACGTGAATCATCCAGAGACCCTGTAACAGTATGCGCGGGAGTCGACCGTGGAACGGACTGCGATACATTTTCTCCGAATTTAATGTTAATTTTGCGTCTTAATTGTGGTTAATCTTAATAAAGGACCTGCGGTGACGCAACGTGACGAATGGCGTAAGCGCAACGTTTTCTCCATAACACCGATCCAGAAATATATTTTTATTCACCCGGCCTTGATCCACAACATGTTCCCGCGTTACTCAATAGTGAAGTTTCAGATATTGGTGATGTGAAAGTGTCGTTACGTTTCTATATAAACTGTGACTGTATTTGTAAATATCCAGAAAATGTCTGAAGGTGTAGAGGTACATATCGCATGTAATACTCGACGTCCCGTCGCGAGAGCATGTCAAAACCTTGCTTACAATCACTTACAGTGTTGACATTCTTAATGGGACTCTGTTTGTATAGGTTATTCTGGATAACGGCCAAAACAATTATTTTCAATCTCCATTTTTAGCTTAAACATCGTCTTTATAAATGCGATTTATAAAAAGTATATTTCCCTTTCAATATTAATGTATTCAAATGAAACGCTAAACTTGGTGCCTTCATGTAAATTGGTTAATTAAGCACGTCCCATCCCGGGATAGGGGCAGTTTCGTTTACGATGCATGCAGATATTAGGAGTGAAAAACAAACTAGACTGCAATTACTATTAAAGAGGTCAAAACACCCTTTTTATACTTATTTACTAATATTATAAAGATGAAGAGTTTTTTAACTATCGAATCTTAGGAAATACTAGTTCGAATTTTTTTTGTATTTGTGTTATTTGAACTTTTTATTGAACACGGTTTCAGTTTATAAGACATCAGATTGCGACCATTAGAAGCGATGAAACAATGGGAAATGTGGAAAATATGGAAAAACGTTGTGGGTTTCCGTTGCGTGCTCTGCGAAACGTTTATAAGCTAAAAAAATGTTAACAACAGTCCATATTTTAATGTTAATTATAATAATGATAAAGATTGTTTATATTTAGTCGAAACAGTTTAAAAGGCCAAAAGAACGTTTTGTTAATAATATACTCCGAGGACGAAGTAAATTCTATCGATCAAGTAATATGATACAAAACATAAAAATTAGTACAAATCATGTATTATGTATGATACTCACTTTCTAACACTCGTGAAAAAACCTCGCACTTGAAGCTTCAAGCTATGTAGGAGAAGAATTGTTACTAATTAAGAGTATGGAATTGCACGAATCCTCTTGGCGGCACTGGCTATTCAGGTCAAATCTGTTATCATTAAGAGTGGTTTATTGCTGATTCACGCGCTGGCATTTTGCATAAATCACATAACACGTCTCCCGTCAACTGTAGACACATTGTATCCTTTAAATTATGAACGAGTGACGTTGACTTGAACACGGGAAGGGTTGTAACGCCGGGTAGTATTACTGTCTAACCCTCCTTCAGTTTAATTTAAACAGTTATATGAGGCCGCTAGAGGCAGAGCAGCCTTGCTGCAATTTAATGACTTGAGTTATTTATATTATCATAGTGTAAAAATGTTAATCTACAAGAGCACAGCGACCGAAAGTTGTTAATATGTAGTAAAGTTTTTACATAAATAATAGTACAAGTTCATTTTAGCCTAAGTTAATTGCGCATTTTTATTTTCCTTCTTAATGAAAAGTTTGTTATTAGGCCCCTCTGCCTCTAGCAGCCGTATCTTCGCGAATCTTCTGTTACTAGGTAATTTGTCGTAAAAGGCAGTCCTATATTTCCAACATTATTTTTTTCATAATTTTTTTTTGGGTTCTTGAACAGTTTTCGTAGACCATCTAACGGAAAACCCTCAAAGTTTTTAATTTCAACCAGGAGCTATTGAGATTAGCGCGTTCAAAAACAAACTCTTAATAAACAACAATTATTGGTATAAATTGAACAAAATGACGAGTAATAATACAATATGTCTTATTTTTTGTTTTATTATATTTAGTAATAATTATAGTACTGTCTATAGTTTACGCGAGTAGTACACATTTAAATAAAACACTTTAACGGTTTAAAACGAGATATATTAGTTAATTTAACGTCGTTAAAATAATATATCGCGTTTTAAACCGTTAAAGTGTTTTATTTAAATGTGTACTATTTAAATAAATATAGTGTTATATGTCGCAATCTCATTTTCGAAAATATCGTACTATGTGTACGATAGGAAAGAAGATATAAATACAAATAAACAAATCAACTTGCGAATCTCATATTGATCAGTTAAATACATGTTGTCGTGAACGTGGCTAGACTGCGAACAATTTTTCATATTACATAAGAAAATTAATTGTCATCGGTTTTTGGGAACTGAAAAATTTTTAACTCGTTTTTTATCTAACAAAAATCAGCAATAAAGCGTGACGTATTTACCAAACGTGATGCTGTTACGGTTATGTGTCCTTATCGATGCAAATGTGTAGTGAGTCAGCGAGATAACTGAGTTTGCTCGGATTTATTAGCTTGACTCAATTCCGTCGCTGCCGGCGTCGGTGTTCGTAAAATTCAATTTTAGTCCCCCGATTGCATTTTAAGAGGTTTGCCTATACTTATATATCCGCTGTTTACCATATTATATTTTGTGTTTTTTCGCGAATGGCACGTGTGAAATAAAACGCATTTAAACGAATTGAAACGCAACTTGTTCCTAAATAAATTTTGAACTAGTTCATATAATTAAACGTAAAGCTAAATAAATATAATTATTTTATGGGCTTTTTTGTTATAAATGCTGACGTTTCTGAAACATGTTGGACTTCTGGAAAACAGGAAATTAATTGGATTGTAGGAATATCGGAAATTCTGTCCGAGTTAAGTACCATCAATGAAATAGCCGTGAAGAATCGTGTTTCGGTTTCAGCCTGAATTTCCGAGTATACAAAACCAAAATAAGTCGACAGCGCACCCTGCCAAGATGTTATAGCTGGGGTATTTACCAAGTGAACCACATTCATCCATTTTGGGTTGGTGTTGCTCCTCGATTGCTGAGAGTGAGACCTCTTCTGCTCAATCGGCCGAACAGCCCGAAAGACATGACATGCTGAACGATGGCCGTGAAACCTTAAATAAGTCAAACCATGTTCGTCTATCCTACTCTATCATTAAAAAGTGTTCGTCGCAAATGGGACTGTGAGAGTGTTATACTGGATACTACTAAATTAGTAGTGATAACCGAGGCGGTAATTTCGAAGCGAGAATTGTATGAGCACGAGAGACTGCTATGAACTATATACATGTATACTGATATATAAAGCAGAAGAGTTTGTTAGAACGCGCTTATCTCAGGAACTACTGGTTCGCTATTATTTTTGTGTTGGTTTGGAGCATTTATTCAGAAAGGTTATAGGCTATAAAACATCGAGCTGTGACTAACCGGGGGCAAGAAACAGCGGGACATGTGGAAAAGATTGCGAAAATTATTCATATCAGTGGGATTCCCATGCGAACGCAGTGACAACGGTTAAAAATATCTAAAAAATGTCTATATCTTTTTAACTTGCTGGTCGCGATAAGAGGTTCGCAAAAATAAAGTTTGATGCCCAAAATAAGTATTCTACGCGGACGGAGTCGCTGACACAACTAGTTATACATATAGACTCAGCACCCGATTGATTAACACTACAAGCTGCAGCCATGCGTAAAAATATAACGATCTCATTATAAAGACCATTAAGATATCGCTCCTCCACCGCGAGAAATGTATTTCGCTGGAAATTTAATAACATTTTCATTTCGCGTTGTCGATGACTCTCAAAGAACTGCAGCGCCCCTCGGTTCGACGAGATTTTTTTAGGTCGAGCTCTGAATTATACATGATAGCTTCGAATAAAATGTTGGCTTCCCGTAAACCGCGTATTACGGCTATTCAGTGGGCTGCGAAATTATCGCATTCGTTTTGTTTTGTGAGTTCGAAATCTTTTCATGGTACATTTTTAAGCTGAAATTCTTTAGTCTACTAACTAGGTATTGACAGCTTCCGTGAGTCGATGTTTGTACAAATATGTATTTATTATGAGCAAGGTCCTGGGTTCCTAAGGACGAATTTGAATACGAGAGGTAATAAAAATCAGATCAACGACTTGTATGTAAATAAAGACTCCAAATGTGTTTGTTAGTGGAGCAGGACACTTGTACAATCTCATTGCCACAATGGCTGTTGTAAATATACTAAACGTCCGGTCGTAATTAAAAATATATTCAATGCTATATTTCGCCTTTAAAACCGTTAAAATTGTTTTATTTAATATATAAGTCGGGATTATAATAAAAGTGAAATCCCGTTTCCGCCGGTGGGGTATGGGGCGAACATGGGGATTTCTGTGTTCGTTTTAGTACAGGCAGACATCTGCGCCCTGCCCGACCGAAACAATCTATTGTTACCCCGGGCTTCTAACCCAGGACCTATTGCGCTTAACGCAATGCTAGGCAATATAGTGTAAAGAAAAGAAAAATTAAGATAAAAAACGGCACGAGTGGAAAAATGTATAAATTATCTCATACAAATAACACTCGAAAATAAAGTAAATAAAAATCACATTGGGATAAACGTGTTTATCAGTCATCCGTGAATAGCACGTGAATTCTCTTGACGACGGGCTCGGTAGTTGACTACTGTTTGACCAATCGCAAGGTGTTTATATTTTGGATTTCGGATTTTTAAAATAGGAACAAGAATAATCTAACATTACTGATTACGATAGTATGAATTTAATTTAGCCATCTTAATATGCGAGAAGAGGTTCTCGACGTTTCGCCATCACGTGTGGACGCACTTCAGGAGATGTTAACCCCTCGAGCAATCTCTCTCGTCGGACGAACAGCCCGACAGACAATCATATGCTTAAATTTAATTGTTTTTTTTTGTACACAAAATGCCGATGTTAGTTAGTAATCACGGTTTTTCCTATTTCTTTGAAAAATCTTAAAGAATGAATAGTTTGTCGGCTTATTCAGTATGACACATTGCTTAGAAAAAAAAATTAACGTAATTTTTTAAATGTTATAGTGTTTTATACAACTATAAATTCTTAGGTTAGGTATTTATTTATTTATTAACTTTATTGTTACAAACACCACGAATGGTTTACAACAAAAATTGACACAGGCGGCCTTATCGTAAGGTCTCTTCCAGGCAACCTGAAGTGAAGGGAAAAACAAAAAATAAAATAAAAGGACTATAGGTAGGTGGTGCTAGAAAGGATCAAGAAAAAGAAAGGCAATTAACAGTGGAAAATAAATTTGGTAACTGAGACTTTAAAAGTACGGAGAGATTGAGCTTTTCTGATTTCTAAGGAGAGTCAGGATTATGGCTTTAGGGGTTAAAGAAGGAGGTTTTGCGCAGGAATAAATATAAAAATATGAGCGAAGATTCAAATTATGTGAGCTTGGAAGAAAGTTTTCTTTTAAATAGGCCGGGGATTTAGGGTCGAAAAGGATACGATGGAGAACAAGGACATGAAGGTTCCGACGCGAGCGGACGGCCTTAAGTTTTCGGCGATATTCGGCGTGATCATATTTACGTACCCAGATAAACGGATACACGCATTCTGTAGTTCAGTTTATTCAGATGTCTTCTGTTACATCAATGTAAGAGAATCGGGTAGTCAGGATAGGGAGTAGAGAATGAGAGAGTAGGATTTTAGTGGGTTAGGGAGAAAATTTTGAAGACGTTTTAAGGAATGGAGGCCGCATAAATTTTCTTACTGAGCTCTTTGAGCTGGTGGCGCCGGATAGATTTTGATCAATAAGATCCCCAGACTCTTGACAGACTTACTGTAAGGGATTTGGTTGTATCTATTACAACAGGTGGAATGTCACGTAAATCAACCCGATTCTAGATGGTAACTACCAACAAGGATTGAGACTTAGCAGGATTGACTTTTAAGCCATAACTATACTCCACTACTTTGTAAATATGTTGGTGTCGAGATAGCCGTAGAGATTTCAAGGTAAGTGTGTGTAATCTGAAGGTCGTCTGCGTACATATGGTAAAGAGAAGAAAGTTTTTAGAGATGAATTAATAAAGAAGAAAACAGAAGAGGAAAGCAAGCCTGGGGAACACCAGCTGTAAGTAGCGCCAAGCAGATGTATGATATCAACATGAATCCTTGCCGACGTCCATATAAATAGCTTTGAAACCAGCCAATCACTGTTGGAGAAGTTAATGGCGCAAAAGGCTCAGCAGAATATCAAAATCGACAGTGCAAAAGGCGTTACTGAAGTCAAGAAGAGTCAAAATGGTGACTTGCTGACGGTCCATGCTGCGCCGACACTTCTGTGACTTTGACAAGAGCAGTAGTCGTACTATGACCAGGTCGGAAACCAGATTGGAAGGGATTAAGGAACGTAGACTTGTTAAGATAGACACATAGCTGATTATGAACTAAGCGTTCCAGGATTTTGGACAGGAAAGGCAAAATTGAAATTGGTCTAGTCAGAAAAGGATTAGGATGGGATTTTTGGATAGGAATGATATTTGCTTCCTTCCAGGTTTCAGGAAAGGTACAAGAATATGCAAAAATTGAAAATGTGACTAATTGGGACGAGGATATCAATAGGGAGAATCATATTACGACTAGGCATGCCGACAGCCTTCGACGTGTTGGAAATAATGCTCTTCTTAACGTCACAATCAGAGGAAGAAGTCGAACGGTGATGATGTAGGTTGGAACTGATGAAAGAATTAGAGTACTTGACTTAGCCGTACTATTAATTGGGGATCAGCGAAATGATCATTTAAAAGATTAAGATTTAAATATCCGAGACGGTTTGTTTTTGTGTCCCAATTCCTATTCGAGAAACTTCCAAATTTTAACTGTGTCGCCGTTCTCAAAGAGAAAAAATGGGGTTGTGCACTCTACACAATGTATGCAGTTTCTATTCACTTCACGTTAAAATCCGAGTCATTCCCTTGTTCGACACTTAGCACGATCCCGCATCTTGTCCTTTGCATGTAGCATGGAGCCGGGAAATGTTTAACCCTAAGGATTTACGGCTTTCGTAGAGTTGAGTTAAAAAGAATTAGGTAGTACATTTATAAACACTATTTCTTAAGAATGATTATAAAAACTTAATATTACTTGATTAAATTTTTATAACGATTAACAATCTTCCGATAGTGTGTGTCAGTTGTCTATTTAATTAAATTTTATTAGATGACGAATTCAAAGCCTTCAATTAAATTAAATTTAAAATGTAGTCCTCGGTAAGATGATGTACTGCGACCGCGCCCGACCACACCTAGAGATTATTAGACCGGCCTAATCAACTAAGTGTCTCGGCAGGTTACAGCGAAATGACCTAGCTTTAAAGCTTAGTATATGCCTGCCTGTATTGGACAAATTGAATTAGCCTCCACGTGTATTTAGCTATCATAATTTGATAATGTGTTAGGTCAAGTTGAAAGGTTTAAATAACCAACAATGTTGGAGCTATTTTTCACCTCATAACGTTGATAATTAACTCTTTTTTATTGCTTGTCTGTCCTCCAGAGAAGCTTGGGATACAATCGATGGAAGGCGAAATACCCATGTCATATATCACCTAAACAAATGTGTTGTTAACCTATTTTGACTTTGGATATATACGGAATAATTATATATGTGATTTGTACTCACAAAACATTACTATCAACACTATTTACTTAATACATTACACGCATTTCTAACATATAAATAAACTATTGATAGGATAAGTGATGTCTGAATAAAAATTCTCAGCTTTATTATTTGTAGCCGTTGGTCCCTGTCTCTGTCGAAATTTCGATATTTCGTACAACGTATATAATATCAAAGTCCGGCATTTTTCAGAAAAATTATAAATTGATTATTTGACATTTCTTCCATTAAATCAACAATCCCGTCTAAAGTCCCCCCCTTTTAGGGTGCCGTCGTACAATGTTAAAATTTGGCCAAATTACATTATTTAATGGTGTCGCTGATTGTCACCAGAAGTAATGATTACGTGATAATAGGTTTCACGTATGTGTAGGATTAAATAAATAATTAACGAATCTACGATAGAGGCTTTATAGTGTCTCTTATACTATTATACAAAATAGTTGAAGAGCTTCACGCTATAGTCCGAAACACATTGTTCGATAGGTTTATAATACTCTTCTACGAATTTATTAATATGTAAAACAATATTACAAAAGAAAAATATTTAAATAAAACACCCTTATTGTTAAAACGCGATAGATATTAGTTAAATTTATTTGAAAATGTTTTTAACTACGAGTCGACGTTTCGCTGATGTTATTATGATCCAAATATGTTTAATGTATTGGTTTGTAAGTATACCTATCATTTACAGTTACGTCACGAATTGGAGCGTGTTATCAGCGAAAGAGACAGACTATTAGCAGAAAGTTCAGAGCTTGGGGCTGACAAGGCGACAAGGGAGTCGGAGCGAGCCGCCCTCAGGGCGGAACTGCGAGAGGCCAGACAAAGGGAGCAAAGACTACTTCTGGACATCGGCGATTTGGAAGATGAGAACATCTCGCTGCAGAAACAAGTCTCCGCCTTGCGATCTTCACAGGTATATTACAATTAATTTAGCTGGGGCTTTATCTTTGGGTGTCAAATATTATTGATAGTAAGTGTACAATAATTAAATAGTGTGGTAACTCATTATTTCATATTATGCAGTCATTTCGTCAGATAAAATTAAAATGAAAAATAATTTATTCTTGTACCTTTCCGAACGTCCAAACAGTTAAAAGTATAAAGCTCTAGATCAGTGGTTCCAAAACTCTATATCATAGACCACTTTCAAAATTTTTCTGGATTCCGTAGATGGTCAGTTTTCGTTATCTTGAAAAAAAAAGGGAAGATTGGATCTATTTATATAAGAAAATAATAAAAAATAAAATGAATCTATGTAAGGTCTCCCGTGGACCCCTAATGGTCGTCCTGGACCTCTTTGGGAATAACTGCTCTAAATTTACATTTACTGTATACACAAAATATATATAAAGTATCATAAAGGAACCCATATACATGTTAAACTTTTTCCCTTTTGCGTTGACTAAATCAAAGTTTCATGTTTGTTATTCATTACATTATTTATTATGTAAAAGAAGTTAATTATTCCTTCCTTGTTTATTCTTCAATTTACAATAGTACTGATTATTACAGGTGGAATTTGAAGGTCTGAAACATGAAGTACGGCAATTACGCGAAGAAGCGGAGAATGCTCGTGCAGCGGCTGAAGAGATGGCTGCGTTGCGGCGTATTGCTGAACGACAACTTGCGGAGGCGCTGGAAGCCCTGCAAGCGGAAAGAGAAGCGAAATTTGCCGCCAAAAAGGAGCTCGATGCCCATCTCAGCAGGGAAGCCGCCTACAACATTACCAACTTGGCATACAGTATACGAGGTAGGAAATGTTAATAATTTAGCAATGTGTTCTTAATATTATTTAAAATTAAAATCCAAGAGCTTTAAATTTACAAATAAGTCGCTTCGTAGAGTTTTCTCCAAACTATTTGGCTGGGCTGAAATTAGCGCGAATGGTTGCGCAGAACGCAAAAAGCCGGTACCAGTTGCGACGATGGTGGTGCGCGGGTGCGGGGCGAATCGTCTTTTTACTTAAAATTGACAGTACCGTGCGCAAGATGGCGGCCGCGCTAACTTCAGCTCGGCAAAAAAGTTTATGTCTTGTAAGACTAGGACAACACAGAATTGTCAACTACTTGCATGTACCGCGTGTTTCATGTTCCAACATATTAACATACTTTAGGATTAGTTATTTCTGTAGATAATATAAGCGCCTCGATTGCTCGAAGAGTTAGCTCTTCTCGCTCACTTCGGCCGAATAGAAAAAGAATTATGTGCTGTCTCCTTGTTTGTTTATGTAACAAATTATTGCTATAACAAAATAACCTCCAAACATGAACATTTTTATAGGTATGCCGGAGGATGGCGGCGACGAAGAGGGAGAAGCAGGTGGTTCCGAGGGTGCAGACCTCGGCGCCGACCACCACGCCGATCTGTTCTCCGAAGTCCATCTACACGAGATATCCCGCCTTGAGAAACAACTTGAACAGGCGCATAACGAAAATGTAAGTGTTAACGCTGTCTGTAGTTGACGCGAGTAGTACACATTTAAATAAAATACTTTAACGGTTTAAAACGTGATTTATATTAGTTAAACTGTGGAAATTTTATAATTAGGGCACGACTCCCCGTGGCCAAGGTTGCCTACAAAGCACCTGAAACGTCGGTTACATTTTACAAATAAGTTTAACATTCGCGTTTTAAACAGTTAAAGTGTTTTATTGAAATGCTTTTACGTAACTTATTATTTGTATATTATCTTTGTTATAATCTCTAGTCAAATGTCTACTAATTCTCGTTTACAGAGTCAGCTCTCGACATCTCTACGCACAGCACAGACTACAGCAGAGAACGAAAGTGCCGCGGCCACAGCGCTAAGGAACGGTTTGGTCAGATTGGCTTCTCGTCTGTCCGCGTTACGACACTTGCATTCGGATTGCGGACCGCTGGTCAGTATTGGTACTTTTGAATCTATACCTATAACACTACAAAGAACAATGGTCAAATTTGTATAGGTCCAGGACCTGACTAAAATTTTACTAGACCAGTTACAGATCTTAAAGGATTTGAATATAATAAAACTGTGAAGGTTTTATATAACAACATTACTCTTGAATCACTTTATCTATTAAGATTTTTTTTTTACGCAACGGAGTTTCAGATTTTTAGCGTATATAAAAAAAAGCTATTTTTTTATACTAGTTGTAAAGCCGACATAATTTTATATCGTCAAAAAATACTTTTGAGTCTATAGTTTACGTGTGTGGTACACATTTAAATAAAACACTTTAATGGTTTAAAACGCGACATATTAGTTAAACAGTGGTCATGGGGAGACTGACCACGGCTGCGGCAAAGCATCCGAAACGTCGGGTCGAAGTTAAAAATCAGTTTCAAATAAGTTTAACTAATATATCGCGTTTTAAACTATTAAAGTGTTTTATTTAAATTATTTGTATTTTGTCGTTACTTTTTTAGAAATTTTTGACGATTACTATTAAATTTGTCGCAATAACAAAATTACAAGAAAAATGTATTGCTATTATTTGTTTGCCACTTGTCTATTTCATAATTTTTGTGCATTATGTGTACAAAATACAAAATCTTGAAAATGTAAAAATCTAGTCATTGATTTATAATTTTCCTGTAATATAGGAGGAGGAAAAGATAGAGGGCGGCGTAAGCGCTCGCGCAGCGAAATGGTTGACCTGGTGGCGCGTGTCTGGCGGTGAGGTCAGTGCGCTGGCGGACACGCTCGCCGAGCTGCTCGCCGCGCAACCAGCGCCGCCTGGATCACCGGCTGCTCTGCAGAGGCAGGCCCTCGCACAATTGTCCGACCGCGTGGCTGAAGCGGAATTACGTTGCACCGCTCTGCAAGTTGACGCCGATCTTCTCAGAACTATTGCTGGAGGTAAAAATATGCGCTTTACGTTACGTTTGAATCGGTTTTAACTTATTTACACTTCGTTGCCTCGTGACCGGAGCTTTAATGCATCCGATATATCGGGCGGTAGTTAATATGGGATGTGAAAGCCCGTTTCCCCCTCGTGGGGCATGGGGCGAACACATTTCTGTGTCCGTTTCACTAATCTGTTCTTTTAACGGGCAAGTAGTTGATCAGACTTCTGTGCCGTGCCCGACCGAAAATTTTAGGTTTCCCTGGCTTTCAAACCCAGGACCTATCACGCTTAACGCAATACTCGGCAATACGTTTAACCATTTGGCTAGAGAGGAGGTCGTTAATATAAATAAATTAAATTATACGTGTCGCGTTTTAAACTGTTAAAAGTATTTTTTTTTTGTGTTCTTTGTTCTAAAACATATTCTTAATGTATGTTTTTTTTTACTTCAAGCAGACTGTCTTATACGTGAGGAGTTAGTCCTTACATTTTTACCTTTTTGATACACACGTCACAATTTATATATTTTCCGACCATTCAAAGGTCAGCCAAAAGTACCATACATTGAAGCAGATACAGGTTTTTTTTCTTAAATGTGTCACACCTTATAAAAGCGCTCTTGGATAATAAAGAACATGGAGCAGACAAAATTCTGTGCCCGTTTAACGGATTTATTTATATGTACGAGTTGGTATATATTATTTTATTTCTAAATACAGGTGCTGGTCGTGCCCTTGCATCAGCGGCGCCGGCTTTAACGTCAGCGGCAGAGACTCTCGCGCAGCTGTACCACCACGTTTGTGCCGTCAACGGTACTCAACCCGAGCGATTGTTGCTCGAGCATGCTCACCAGACCGATGGTAAGTACTCACACTTACTACCGTTTTTATCTTAAATCATTTCAAATTAAAGTATCCCAATAATTTAAATAGGTTAGGTAATAATACATGTATTTAGGCATATTAAATACTATGTAAAACAATTAATGATCCAATATTAATTTAGGAATTTACGACACAATTATTTATTTGTTACGGTACATCAAGAAATCACTTTATCTTCTCAACTTACATATACATTTTACCAAACATTATAATAAATTAAAATATTAAACAATTAACTAATGTATACATAATTGTCAAATTAATTTAGTATTTAAAAATGTAGGGGATTTTGCGAGCACTAAAATGAAATAGTAAAATATAGATAAATCTTTTAATTTCCTCTTACGTCTGAATACGCTCTTTCGTATCTTTGATCTCACTCTCTCCGTCCCTTTTACACATATCCTCTCGCTCACTCTTACATATCATTTCAATCCAGACATTGTACAAAAATATGTAAGATACTAGAAATCGAACCTGATAATAAAGTGTCTGTAGTCACAATATTTTACTTTTTAAATGTTAAATATAATTATGTTACTGATATAAAAATCGTCTATGTAGTTTAGTTACCTGGCATTTAACGCTAGAGGTTCTGGGTTCGAATTTAAATTAAGTTTTTTAGGGTTACTATGCATGATGTAAGACGGGTAATAGTGCTGCCCTCTGTAATATGTTTTTTTATTTCTAGGTGTCGGTGCAGAAGGGCGGGGTGTTGACGAAGAGGCCTTGGCTTTGGCTGCCGGAGAGTTAGAAGGTCTGAGAGCGGCTGGCAGTGTAGCCAGATATGCTGATACACTGCTAGACCAACTTACACATCTTCGTGCTGCCCTCGACACAGCGCTAGACTCGAGACATAGACACCAGCCAGGTTTGTACTATTGCACGTGCTTAGTCTTATTACTAAAACTCAAGTTTAGGTGAACATATAAAATATATAACTGCATTGATTAAAAACAAAGACTAAACTTTGACAAGATGTTATGTGTTGTAACTAGTACATTTGAGTACAATAACTAATAACCGCTAAACGATAGACTACTAACCTGAATGTGATACTAAATCAAGAGTTGCTGTTTATTATTTATGTATATTTATTTCTGAATCTAGTCGATTAATTTTTAATTTTATTTTGTAATAGTCAGACTAAACGCTTCCTATTCTATGAATTCTATTTTACTCAACTGTCCCCTAACAGACCCCAGAACTTGCAAAATTGTGAAAGCCAGAAGCCCCGAACCAATTATACGCTACACCGAAAAATCTAAATTTAAAATTACAGACACAAGGCAGAAAGTTAATGATTTAGTAACTAAGCTGAATTTGCTTGAATACAAACAGTGTCATAACAGAAATATCTGTGAGGGGAAAACTGTTAAAGAAATCGCAAATTTTTTTGAGACTCATTACAAGTCCGAAAGAGACAATGGTTCGCTTTCTAAAACAAAAGATGGCGTTACAAAGGCGCATGTATATCAAAAAACACCTTATGCTTTCACTGGAAAAGGTGAAGTGAGATGCGATACAGATCTCCACGCGGTGTGGAGGCGTTCAGTTTGTCACGACAAGAGTTACTTCAAACGAATTTTACCGAAAAAGAGTCATAGAAACACGTTTAGCTTGCGAGAGTCCCTTCGGTCCAGTTTTGTCGCTTGTGTCCTTTTATTGCAATACGTTATGTGAAGCTCAGTGTAAGACTTTCACCTGCAAATTTATTTATAATGTAGTTATAGACATTCATGGTATTTATTTAGATATTTAATTGTAATATAGTTTTAAAAAATACTGTTTAGTTGATCTCTAAACTATTTTACAGCTTAAAATGTAATAGTAGGGTATTGTTAAAGTTTATTAGTTGTTTTGCTTTGCCAAAATTGGTCAAAAGCGCTCTTGGGCTCTATTGGTTGGTATATAGCAATGTACGTATAATAATCAACGGATTGCGAGTTGAATCCTCATCAGTTCCAATATTTTTCTAATCGATTAATCCTTTTCTGAGTATTCGTGTGGATATTAAATAGGAATATCGAAATTCCGTCCTGGTCACGAACTACCGACAACAGATGAAAAAGCCGTGAAGCTTAACGCCTTTCGGTTTCAGTCTGTAGATTTCGGAATATCCAAATCCAAAATAGGGTGACAATCTTGTTTAGATGTTATATCGCTGGGATATTTGTTATTTGTCGTTCTATAGCGTTAAAAAAGGTCAACAGCGCATCTTATATGGCCGGAGTACACATTCTATCAAGAGTATCCCATGTTTGTCTAATTGAGAATATGGTTTTACATTGCAGTTATGGAAACTGAGGAGCGCGGAGCGGAACTGGCGGATCTGCAAGAGCAAGTCATCAAGCTCAAATCTCTGTTGTCGACGAAGCGCGAACAAATCGCAACGCTGCGCACGGTCCTCAAGTCGAACAAGAACACCGCGGAGGTGGCTCTGGCGAACCTCAAGTCCAAGTACGAGACCGAGAAGACGATCGTCACGGAGACCATGCTGAAGCTGAGGAACGAGCTGCGGCTGCTCAAGGAGGACGCCGCCACATTCTCCAGTAAGCAGTTTTTAAATTAAAAATCGATTATTAATTGAAAAGATTTAGAACACGGCCAGGACTTCAACCGGCATCCACAGCGTTACGTGCTGTTGCTCTAACCAATTGAGGTACCGAGTCTTTCACGTCATCTTGGATTTTTTCAACTTATTTACACCTCTCTAATGCACCTCTCGCGCAATGCAATTTCAATCTTAACATTAACGTATTAAGGTCCAATATCTTATGCTTTGCAGCTTAAAAAATAATTGAAATTGCAAAGATTAACGTTTGAAAACATACATTTTCAATTTATATAGTGCCATCATATACATGTGAAAAATATTAAACTTTTAAAAAGATTAGTTGATCATGACTCAAAGTCTAATCAACTATTTTCCAGATACAGGAATATATCTGACCCATGTTAACACGGAGGCATCGACTAAAATTATATCTATAGCCAAGTCATAGTCTCCTTTTTGTAGGACCACCTTTACCCTCAATTTCTTCCAGTTTTGCAGCCTTTTAAGGAAAGTGTGGAGAAATAAATCTTATATGATTATCACAGGTTTACGGGCTATGTTCGCGGCTAGATGCGAGGAATATGTGACTCAAGTTGACGAGTTACAACAAGCGCTCGCTAGTGCCGAAGAGGAGAAGAAGACCCTGAACCAGCTATTGCGTCTCGCAGTGCAACAGAAGCTGTCCCTAACGCAAAGACTCGAAGAGTTGGAGGTACATTGCGACTAAGTCTTCCTTACATTATTTTAACCCATGATCGCGTAATCAGTTATTTGGCCAATGGTACGGGCCCCCTTATTTCGTATGCTGCGTACGCAACGAAGACTCACAAACATGATTAATTTTCCCAGTTATCTCTACATTTCCTGCTTTCTTCGCTCTAGTCGCAGTGCGATGTTTCAAATGTATATATATAAAACATCTTCCATCCGCCTATAACCTTTCTCGATACCAACACAAAAAATCTTTCGATTCTCACCAGTGGTTCCTGAGATTAGGGCGTTCAAACATACAAACAAACTCTTCAGCTATATAAGTATACATTCATCATAAAAATTTGTTTTATTTGTACAATAAATAATCTAGTGCAGTAACTTATAACCAGCTTAATTCATATTAGCAAGATATATGCATAAATCTTTATTTAATACAGTTTCAAAACATGTTTATTTCTTTCAGGTTGACCGTGAAATGCGCACGCGCCGCGTCCCCAAGGCGGGTGGTACTGCGCGCGCGCGCCCTAGAGATTTCTAGCGCATCCTTCGCGCTTTAAAGGCGGCTGCTGTAGCGCTCCGACATCTGTTACAGCACCGTCCCGCGCATTAAACACAAAAAAGACAAACAGACACTCCGACGAACTACCCACTATAAGTTATAGTCTGTACGGAGTTATCTGCGCCTATGATATGACATTCGAGTGACGTGGTGGTTTTTTACCGCTCAATGATAGTGAACTATTTGAATGAATTTTGCGGGTAGTTTGCAATGTGCGTTATTTATCAGTCTCGTATGTGCAATAACATGTTTTCCCAACGCGAGTTGTGAATTGAATCTGTGTGCTTAGCCAAGTTAACGGCTTTTCGGGGTAGGACTCCTTGATATCACAATAAAATGTTTCTTATAGTTATTGAGTGTTACAGATCTAGCTTAAACTAGACCTTATGTATTATCAACTTGAATAAGTATTACATATAGTCTACGCGAGTGAATAAAACAAATTTAAACAGGTCCAAACGTGGACTATATTTTAGTCAATTATTTTACTTACGATCCAATGTTTAGGCTTTCGAAAGAAACAGTTAAAAAACAATGGGTGGTAATTAAAATTATTTAACTTATATAATAAGCCTTTGAACTTGTTTAAAATTGTATTTTAAGTATTATGTTATATAAGTATTATATAGGTGGCGTCGTCAGTTGTATGTCTCGGATCAGTTTTGTATTACATATGACTCAATAAAAATTATTCGTTATCGCAGTCCTCGACTCGCGTTGGGTTACAATTGCGACCGGTCGCTTGACCGGTGCGCTACGAATTTATAGTAAACATTTTCTACTATCGTTCTAGGAGCTAAATTATTTGTACGTTTTATAAAATCAATTTAATCGTAGTCGTAAGTGGGGAGGGCGCATTCAGTGTGACGTCGCGTCCAAAAATTCGCTGAACCGTCAAACTGTGCAGACGCGACGTCACGGGAAAGTGAGACTTGTGGACGCGCCCTCTAGCGGTTGGTGTTATGTATGTTAGTCCGCGACAGAAGACGTGTTTTAGCGCTCGTCAGTGGCCCGAAATACAGTTAATTATCTAGTAAATATATAAAAATTGACCCGTCTAAGCCTCGATTGACCTTGAAATAACTGACGCTCGCTAAAATGCCTGTTCGGGGAAGTACCGCGTTCGTTGTTGTCCCGGCGGAAGCGGAATCGCTTCTACCGGATATTAGCTTATTGCTCACGCGCCCTTAATCCTTGCCCAATATTTTCATATCGAATTTCCCTAAATATATTTTGCTCCGCAAATTCTATGCTCGACGACTATTTTTGTATCGCGATCGGTGTATTTTATTACTCGAATGTATTGATTCGTTATCCCGCGACCGCGGTCGGTCCGCGAACTCGATGAATTTCTCTATTTACCGCGACTTCGGCGTCTGCGGCTCGCAGGCCGCCAAGTTATTTTTTATTATTATACATATTTATAAGAGACGTATATGTACATATAGTACCTCTAAACGTTTACGAGTATTTAGAACGTCCATGATGATAAATCTAAAGCAAACAAATTGATCGGTGTCCATCCATTGTGCGCAAAGAGACTATGTAATCTGTTCTAGTTGATACGTTCGTTGTTGTGTTGTGGCCCTCTGCCGTCTACTTTCGTCCATCTTGTTCTAGTTATATTTGTAGTCCGTGGTTTTGTTGGTACGCTGTCGCCGCCGCGCGCGGGCGCCGTCGGGTCGAGCCCGCGGCGGCGGTCAGCGCAGTTTCTGCCGTCCCGTGGCCGAGGCCACTCGCGTCCAATCTTGTCCAAAGCCGGTTGACCTTCAAACACAGTATCCCCTATGCGTTCTCCCGTTCCACCTCTTCGCGTTTCGAGTCACAATATTCGGTGTCGCTCAAAATTTTGCTCACGGAGGTCGACCAGCGTTCTATTGATAAGACAAAATTTACAAAATATTTATTGAAAAGTTACAAGTTTATCGTTTACGTTATTGGATGTGGTCGATAGTGCAGCTTTCCGTGTTTCCCGTAGCGTAAGAGTCGGTGGCGTAATGTTTATCCGTAGATAGTTGAACCGTTCCAAGTAGTGGGCGCTCGCCCGTAGTTATATCGCTGGTTTAGGCTTAGAGCTAGTTGTTACATTAACCTTCGAGTATAATTCGTAGTTTGACGTTTCCGGAATGTAGAGAATGTTTTGCAATATTTACTAATCTAGCATAATTTATTTGCGTAGCTCAAGTGTTGGAGAGCCGTCGTCTGCGACGCGAGGACCATAACCTTGCATTTATTGTTTATAGAATATATTATAACTCACTAGCTTATATAACTAACGTAGATCGTTCCCTTCTTGTACTTAACGATGACCTTAACAATATTAGATATAGTATTTTTTTTCTAGTATTATGTTGTAGCTTAGCAGCAGACATCATGAATGTATTGTGTGTCTAGTCAGTGCAGTGCGAGGCGCGCGGTTCATCGTTTTGAATGCGCGCGCGCAGCCTTACGTTTACGTAATAAATCAATTGCATAGGTTGTTATTATCAATTCACGTCCACTTTTCTTTCTATCGTATTGTTAGTATTATATTAATTTTGACGCGGTAACATTTATATATTGTTGAACTAGTTAAGAATGAGTTGACTGCGTGTCGGTGCGACGCGCTCGAAAGTATAATCAGCTCGGTGTCTGCTGTCCCTAGCCGGTGGTGGTGTTAGGAGCGATTAACCAAAAATATTATTTTCTTTATACAATTTATATCTTTAGATCACTTATTTTTGCCTAGGCGTAAATATTTATACTATAGAGAAAGATTTACTTTACTATTTGAAGTATATGAATTTCCGCTAACTATCGTCGTTACATGGTTTTCGTTGTCGACAACTCGCATGTCTGTTCCCGCCGCCGTCGTCTCTTGTTGTCAATTATTTTTTGGAATGCACAGTTTGATGGTTCACTGTAAGGTTTTTTTTTTGTCGCCTTAAAGATGGCGGCTTCGTGTGTCGAATTAAATGTTTCAGAAATATTGGACCAAGTACCCGCTTTAATGTTGGGTCTTCTTGAAGGATATAAACAATTCGTGGTTATTAAAAGACGAGGTTCGGGAACATGTCATGTCAGCGTATTTATTTTGAATAACGCACGCCTTGTTGTCGCTATGACTGATGTGGAATCATGTATGAAATAAATTATTATATTTAATCTTTTGTCTTATTTTAAATCCTGCCGCTCCAAGTAGGGTGACGATTTTCCGCTCCAATTTTTAAGAGTCGAAACCATATTCCTTGAATGATTAAACCCGTCGAATTCGCATCCTTCTAATAAGATACTTTTGTCTGGGAAGCTACTTTGATGCCAGCCATTTTAAGATGGTTTATAAAAAGGATTTTATTTTTACTGTGACGTTTCCCTGCGTACAGTTTAATGAATAAGCCAGTTTTAAAGCCTATATAACATATATAGCGTCACGCTAAACTCAATAATTCTTATATGGTTGTCTTTCGGGCTGTACGGCCGATGTGAGCGAGAAGAGGTTCTCGACGTTTCGCCATCACGTGTGAACGGCATCATCAGATGTTAACTCCTCGATTGCTCGAAGATTTAGCTCACAACGGCCGAACAGCCCGAAAGACAGTGATATGCTGAACGATGGGCGTGAAACCTTACACGATTTATCACTAATAGTTGTGGCGTGTTCTTTAAAATCCTTTCTTTTTCTTGCCATCATTTTAGGTAACTGATATAACTATACAGACAAACCATTCCTATCGCTTTATTACATAATAGATCTGAAAATAGGAAAATGGAGTCGAAGTAAATAAAAAACAAGTTACTTATATATAATTTCACGCATATATTGGCGTATCACACGCGCTTACGTATATTAATTATCGTAATGCAAACAATTTGTTTATATTACAAGATAAAACTAAAAATTCTCAATTCTGGGACAATAAAAATAAATAATTATGAGAGTCCGACCGAATTTCGACGTTACCTACAAAAACCACTAAGAGCCGAAAATATAAACAAAAAAAAAACACTTGTTGAGCATTAATGCTGTAAACGATCCAAAACGTCGGCTGGTAGTAATAATAAATATTCATAAAATAACCTAACTAATATAATTCGCGTTTGAAACCGTTAACCCTATGTAACATTAGATTTCTATAGGTTAAAACCTATCGAAAAATCGAGCTTCAGTCGGACTCTAATGACAACAAAACATACCACGAAAACTAAAACTAACTTTCTCTTGACTATACCTTCCTATCACAGTTTGTAACGAATTGTGAATTGAACCAAGCCTCAGCGCAGCTATCACGAGGGTTAAGAAATATTACGAAGTGGCACAAATGTGGATACAACCGATTTGCAATAATTGAGCAGGTTTACATAATAATTAATAACTAGAAGTCTTATTACTGTATATGTAAGAAAAATCCTACTTTTTCAATGACCACTAGCCGTACTCGCCACTTCGCGTGGAGTATTAGCGCAACGGAAGCCTTCAGAGGTGTATAATCTTCCCCGTGTTTTACCAATTTCCTTACTGTTTGGTCGCAGACTGATGGTCCAAGCAGCATAATAAGATTTTTTTTAATTCGAACCAGTAGTTACTGAGATTAGCATTCAAACAAACAAACAAACTCTTCAGCTTTATAATATTAGTATAGATGATAAACTGGACTCTTTCACTACTGTGTGATTGTAATAAAATTCTACTAAAGCATTAAATGCGTAATACACCAATATCCTAACCCCAGAACAGCCTCGCATTAAAAATATAATAGGAACAAAATGTGATGTAAATGATTAGATTTAAAGTTTGTGAGTTTGAAGGAATTCTTCAAGAAGTTAGTCGAGACTTATTTGTGCTCAGTCGACATTTCTACCTGTACAAATCAACATATATAATAACTTTTATAACCAGCATTATTAATTTATATTTCACTTGTATCACTTCTTCTCTTCTCTTTTTTCTGAAAAAAAAAAACATATTTATTTCAATAAATAGGTATATTACAGTTTTTTAAACAGACAAAAGGTAAATTAAATATACAAAAAATAGTGTAAATTCTTCGTAATTTAGATCTTAAGTGGTGTTAATAAGATTCACTATTGACTGATTCGTTGGTGTAACAACATTGCTACAATGTATGACTAATAATCAACGGACCCAGTGGGAATGGAACCCATGGCTGGGCTCGATCCCAACATGGGTCCAATATATTTTAAGCAATTTATAATTTTTCAGAAACATTTTGGACTTCGTCTGGAATCATGGATATTAAATGGGTGGTAGGAATATCGAAATTCTATCTAGGTTACGAACCGCTGCCCAGAGATAAAAAGCCGTCATGTTTAATGGCATATCGGTTTCAGTCTGATTTTCGTCCATAAAATAAATCATATTCCACTTCTGAGGATTCCCGAGATATTTACACGAACAATTTGTCTTGCATATGTGAAATTATAGATCAAGATTTGACCTCGGTTGGTCGGTCATCTTCAGGGTCCAATATGAACTATTGGCGAAAAACTAACCCTTTATAGAGTGACAAGGTCCATAATGTCCGCAGCTGGTGGCACCGTACTGGGCCTAAAGTACCGCGCGAGCCTCTCATACAAACGTATACGAGACGCACGGGTGTCCCACGAGTTGTCCCTGGGTGAGTCTTCGTCGTCCCGCCCTACGTCCCACGTATCAACATCTGGAAGAGTCGCTTCTTCGAACGGCTGCGTGGCTTCAGGTATCGTGTCTTCTGCGCCTAGCACCTGTAAACATTTACAGGAAAAAAGTTAATTTATTTTACCCACGTTATTCACAGCTAAATGTAGAGTCATAGTTACAATGAATAAACTAATATATTTCACATTTTAAACGGTTTAAAGTGTTCTCTTGGACGCGTTAATTACAAACACTCTTAAAAACTTTACCGAACTTAAAAGTTAATAATGTTAGCACCGTTGTGTACTTGTGTATGTAATCTGTACTAATATATAATGCTAAAGAGTTTGTTCTAATATATCAGAAACTACCAGTCCGAATTGAAAAATTATCGAGGATGGCTTTAGGCTATAAAACACGCCGCTGCGACCGATGGGCGCAAAGAAACAGCGGAAAACATAAAAAAAATGGGACAAATTATTTAACATTGTGAGTTTCCGATGCTACAAAAACGTGTCAACATACCCAAAAAATATGTGGGATAAAAGGATTCCTCTTTAAATGAACTAAAAAAAAGGCCGCGATATGTCTATCTTTTAAGATTAACTCGAAAGAACGAAGGGACGGGACGCGACCAACGTCGTGGACTGCAGCAGCTTAAGTTTAAAAGATGAAGGGGGTTTGCAAAAATATAAAATATTGATGCCCAAAATAACTATTTTACGCGGCCGAAGTCGCTGGCATAGCTAGTAATAATTGTGTCATAAGCTTCATCCTTATATAATTTTAATAGCTTTATTCATATAATAAAGTATGTACCGCGGCAAGAGCTCGAGCCAAGTCAGCCGGTGCGGGGAGGGCAGCCCGACGGCGGGCCAAGTCACGAACGCGCCGCGGGGACAGGGGTGCTGGACCGCTATCTTCGTGAGTAGCACCAGCGAATAAAGCTGTTGCTAATCGCTGAAAATGAGCTACCTGGAAATCAAATTCATCATTAAAATTCAAAAATAACAGAAAAAGTATGAGAACTGCACTGCCAGATATACCAGTGTCAAAATCTATTAGAATAAGTACTTAAGAAGCAAGGAAAATTTATTTGAGTATAACAAGATAATATGCGTGTATTTATTTATTCTTAATCCACAAACAAATAATACAGATAAAACCTATACGGGCGGCCTAATCTCTAAGTAGCGATCTGTTCAAGGCAATTTAAAATTTTGGGAAAAGAATGACATGTGGAAGGTATGCGAAAAAAAATATAATAATAGCGAAACAAAATATTTTTCACATGTTATTGCAATGAAGGCACTATATAATTTAAAAATCGAAAATAAATTGAAAAAGAGCAACAGCACGGAAAGTGACGATGCCGGTTCAGTCCTGCCCGAGTCGAAAATTTTTTCAATTTATTTTCGATTTTTAAATAATAAATAAAAAATATACAAAATTTAAAAATAAAAACAAAGATCTAAAAAAAGTTACGTGTTTACTAATTAAACGTTTCTAATAAAGCCAAATACTTATATGACGATTGTATGTTTACATATTTAGAACTGTTTTTTGAGAATTTATTTTTGTACTGTAGTTATGCCGTCTTGTGTTTTCTTTTTTTTTCAATTGTCCCTTAAACACTTAAATTGGTATAATAAAAGAATGATGAATAATATGTACAATAATAATAAAAAAAAACAGATGACAATGAAACCAATTCCAACATTTTGTGTTGGCCTCAAATATGCCGGACGCCGAAAAGCGATGACAGGACAAATGAGCATTCGTTTTACTTAATGAGAAATGAAAAACCCCAGCCATCTTAACAAGATGCACTATAGCCCTATTTTTGCTTCGAATATTTAAGTCGTTTTCGATTGTCTATCATGATCATACCTGTTCAGGGTCATTGTGGTCTGTAACGTCACTGAGTTCGTGTCGTAAATAATCCAAGGCCTTAGCAGCGTGTGCCGGGTCCTCAGCAAGCTCTCTGTAGCACGCCTCACGAATGGCGGCGCGTGCGATTCGAACTACGCGCTCCAGGGCCGGTCTGATCAGTCGCAACGACCATAAGTCATCCAAACGCAAGCGTGGACTGCTGGTGGTGCCCGGATTGCCGCCGAATAAATAATGAATCTATTGATCAACATATATTTAATATGTAAATATAGTTACTTGATGGGCTTGTTGGTGTTGTGGTAGCAAAGTACAGATAATAACGGGGCGCGGGTTCGATCCCCACCAGATTTAACATGTGTTTATCGTTTAAATAAAACACTTTAACGGTTTAAAATGCTATCGCAGCAGCCGTGATGACGGGGCGACATCTTTGCTGTTGCAAAGCATACGAAACGCCAGGCAGTAGTAAAAATATTTTTTGATAAGTTTAACTGATATATTTCGCGTTTTAAACCGTCCAAGACTTATTTCTGAAACACGTTGGACTTCAGAAAACTTTAATATTTTTCACGTGTTATTGCACATGACGGCACTATGTCAATTAAAAATCGATTATGAATTTAAAAAATTTACGACACGGGCAGCACACAGCAAACGGCATCCACAGCGTTCCGTGTTGTTGCTCTAACCAATTAAGCTGCCGTGTCCTACACGTCATCGTTAATATTAAATTATATTAAAGTTTTCGAGACGAGGACTGTTCTGAATTAAAAATGTTTAAAGTACGTTTTTATTTTTGTTGTGTAGTGGTTATTTTTCTTATGTTATTTATAAAAATACCTTTCTGACAGGATCGTAGACGAGTTGGTGGGCGAATCGGGGTCGTGGATCCTGAGGGGACACAGTCTCGTTCCTGTATACGCAACTCCAAGTGAGCCGACGCAGCGAAAGAACCCACAGAGTGTTGTAAACTCGGCGATCCTTTTCTTTACTCATGCCCTTAAACAAAAGCAGATTGACTGTATTGTAATAAAAATACAGTTAACAGTTTAATGCGTGGTAGGAAACGTTTCGTGTTGTCAAAATTCGGTTCGAGTCATGAACCACCACAGATGAAAATATATGGACTATCTATCTAGGACTAGGTATCTATGGACTTCTGGATATCTAAAACTAGAATAGGCAAACGGCGCATATTTTTAAGATATATAGTGAGGGTATTCCATCTAGTTTCAAGTGAGCCCGTTGGATATTTTGAGCAGTCGAGACCAGTATTACCTAAATATCAATTAATAAAAAAAAACGTTAAATAGATTAAAGACATAAGGACAGACATACTCTCATTGCGACTAAATAATTACAAAAAGTATCTTCTAGCACCAGTTATACATAGTACTTCATTTAATGATAATAAATCTCTTTATTTTTATTTAATATATTACAAGTAGTATAGATATGATTATTTTTGTATTCATAGAATAAATCCTGGGGTGTTTATAACTAATAAAGTTAAATTAATAAATAAATAAAATAAAAAACGCACTTAAGCTTTCATATAAACTTACAGAAAGCACGAAGATTTCGTCTGTATCAGGATCGATAGTGGCTCTCTGAGTGAAGCCTGCAGCCGGCGGTGCGCAGGCGCCGACGCAGAGCGCGCCACATCGCCCCGAACCGGCCTCGTACCACCATACATCTAGCAATTGCTCTTTATTCCGCTGTCCCGCGAATATGTACAAGCGACGCTGGATCTAATGAGCAATATGACGCAAGTAAACTAAACATTTATTTGCTATAGACTACATATTCTATGCTAGATTGTATATTGACAATACATAACATACTATTTAAAATAACAGAAATCCCTTTTTCCCTTGTGGAGCACGGGTCGAAAACATTCTGTGTCTATTTTCACTTTTTGATTTTATTTATTTACAAATAGTTGATCAGATTTCTTGACAGGCCGAAAAATATTTTTTAAATATCGAACTCCCGAGCACACAAGCTCAACGCGATGCTAATCAAAACGCTAGATCATTGACCTACGGAGATAGTATGTCAAAAATATAATCTTTTAAATAAACACTATTGTAATTTTGTTGACCATTAGGAAATTTTATATTTCTTTATATCTTTACATTACACAAACAAGATTATATTTAGCCTCCTTTTTAATAATGATTAATTTATTTTTCTTCACCAAGTATTTTGTAATATATCAATTTGGTCCTTCGTACCGGATAAATGTTTTTTATCTTCTTATGTACTTACTGGATGGAAAAGCATAGAATGTGATACACGGGGCTGCGGCGCGGGCAAGTCGTGGTTGTCCGGAAGTAGTTGTTGCCACGTATTTGTCTGTATGTAGTAAGCGTATAGACCAGAATATTGAGGACTCGCTGATTCCTCCCTGTACAATGATATTTATATAGCCATTCAACATTTAAAAAAAAGTAAAGCTTCTTTGGGGTGTGCAGACATCTAAGTATTGTTGACTGACTTACGTGTTAGCTGGGAGTACCCGACCACCAAACACGTAGATGGTACTGGTGTCTGGGTCAATGCACATCTGGTGGTCAAAAACAAGACACGGCCCGCCTGCTGCCGCTGTATCGCTCATAACTAATGACCACTCCGCCATCCTAACAGAATAGACGTACAAGTCACTCTGGAATATAAAGATAAATCTATACTAATATTATAAATGCGAAAGTAACAGTCTGTCCGGCTTTAACTCCGAAATTACTGAACAAAAGGGATGAAAGTTTGTATGGAAATTCGTGGTTTTTGAAGCTAGAACAATGAAACTTTCTTCTTTGGCTTTTTGGGAATAGGAGTAGGAGTGGGAGTGGGAGTGAGTGTAGGAATGAGAGTGGGAGTTGGAGTAGGAGTGATGTGAGGTGAGAGTGTTGCGGCAAACTATACTATACTATATACTATAGTTTTTCGCTCAATTGTTTTTTGAACAAACCTACTTGCACCCTGATAGTGAAGAACTTACATTTAAATTACTTGGTGTCCTCTGCGCATTGTCCAGATATCTGCCAAGCGTATACAGTTTCTCGTTTATAGGATCAAAAACCATTTTGTGGCAGGAGCGCGGCGATGGGCCACCGAGCATTCCGCTATGTCGACAGAGCAAGGTCCACCGTTCCATACAAGTATCGAAGCTCCATAAATCGTCTAAATCTTCTGTCCCATTCCAGCCACCGAAAAGGTATAATGTACCTGAATATAACAAATACAAACTTAAGATTAGGTCTTTATTAATATAGAATATTTGCTGAAGTTTGTTAGTTTGAACGCTATAATCTCAGGAAATGCTAGTTTGATTTAAAAAAATATCTTTGTGTTGGTTGGACTGCAACCTACCAAGATTCCCAAAGCCAAAATAAATCGAAAATATTCAGATCTTATATGGCTGCTATTTATTCTTCCATCTAGTGAACTTGCTTGTGTCATTTGTTAAAATGTATTATTTTTACGCATAAGAATTTGTCAAACTCCGTATAGTATAGTCAAAAGATCTCAAAATAAGATTCAGATATATATTTTTGGGATACAATTAAGATAGTGGAGAAATATTTACAAAACATTGTCGACGTCTATAACTCACCTGTGTTTGAGTCGACAACGAGCTGATGTCCACCACGCGGTCCAGGTCGGTTAGCGCAGGCAGCGCCACAAGATATGAAGCAGCTTTCCACCACCTCGTTGCCATTCAAAGCGACATCCTTTGAAACAATATTCTAAATGATTTAGGGAAAACAATCAAATAAAAACTAGATTCGTTTTATATCTTCGCATTTCGCAGGTGCGATTTTTTTAACGTTCATTTGTAACTAATTACTTAAAGCAAGGGAAGATGCGTGTCTAACACATCTTCCCTCTTATAGGAGATACAAACAATATTCTAGATCAACTAAATAACTAAATAGTCTTGAAGTTAGATGTTGTCCGTTGTTTACGCGAATGGTTAGTATTTAAATAAAAATAAATAAACCATTTAAGTGTAATTTAAATATACTAAATTATTTTAACTTGAAATTAAAATAAAAGCTTATGATTACTCACAGCTCCTTCTAACCGCGGGTCTCGGTCGGCGCATGAAAGATCCTGCGCGCGCGCATGTACCTCCGGGGCCGCTTCACCGCAACACAGTCTCTCTTCTACTTGCGCTGAACAGCCGCATAGTTTCCGCCATTCTGGGCTGTATGGCTGCCATGACATATACCAATCCAGTTCACCATCTTAAGGAAATAAAAAGCCTTTTTTTTACATGACAGGATAAACATAGGGTTTACTTGATGGGAGGTGAAATACCATACCATATAACATCTACACAAAATGCCTGGCCGACCTATTTTTGGCTTTGGGAATATCCAAATCCATAGACTGACTGTGAAGCAGCTGAAGCATAGCTTTTTCACTTGTAGGTGGTGGCTCGTGACCAGGGCGGAATTTCGATATGCCTACCACCCATTTAATATCCAGATTTTCAGAAGAGTCCATCTTGTTTTGGAAAAATTAGAAACATGTTGCACTTGGTACCCACCAAACCCAGGACCCGTTGACTGTTAGCCATAAATTAGTACCTTTAGATCAACGAGACCGTCACTCTAAGTCAAATATTAATAGGATATTTATAGTGATAAATAATACCTCTAGCACATTCCTCAAAGGTTCTTTCAGCAAGTTTATAATCTCCGTTCTCAACTAGGGCATTCCATAACCTAGCCTGCATATGACCTTCTAGCTGAACACCACTTTCACGAGACAATGCTTCGAATGCATCTTTATATCTCCGTCGACGTAGATGTTTCAGCAGTATTCTTACTGCTTCTTCTTCTTTTCGCTGTAATATTTTATAATAAATTAATTACTGACAAAGTTGATCACGTTATTGAACACCACTCTTTTTCAAACATGAATAGGAAGTAGCTAAAGGTTTTTTTGTAATGATAGAACTTGATGAAAAGTGAAATATTCCAGCCATAAAGCATCTAAAGAGTGTGATCTGTCAACCTATATTGACTTTGAATATTCGGAAATCGAAACGTAATTAAACTTCACACTTTTTTTCACCTGTGCCGAATTTTTGATATTCCTACCACCCACTTAATATCGATAAGAATGATTTTTGGGCTGTATGGTGATTGAACCCACAACGAGTTGAATATAAGCCATACATTGTTAACATTAGAGCAATGAACCCAACCAAATTATCAGTTGTAAATATATCTCCATATTCCATAATAATAACATTAGGGTTAATGACTTGTTTGGATAACTTAATTTGTACTATATACGTTATATATTCTCATGGCAACAGAATTTTTGATAACCATAATTAATTTCTTTTATTATAACTTATTCAAACTTTTGAAAACAATTTTTCCAAGAGCTAAAATTTAAAATCGAAAATAAATTAAAAAATTTCGACTGGGCAGGTGACTCGGTAGCTCAATTGGTAGAGCAACAGCACGGAAAGTGACAATGTCGGTTCAAGTCCTGCCCAATCGAAAATTTTCAATTTATTTTTTAACTTATATGTTCATTTATTAACCTTGTTATCTTTCTTGTAGTAAATTTCATATGTTTGTTAATACTTTGATAACTATGTAATTTTTTAATTTAACACACCACAGTTTCTAACATGCCAGTGCTTAATAAAGAAATTAGATATATTATCGAAATTATATCTTCATACCATATTAATGGTCTCCATAATATTACTTATTAGTTCTTCCTGATTTTTTCCCTCCAGTTCAACATACCAGATGGTATAATTAGATGCAGGGCCCCATGACTGTAGCGGCACTATTTTTATGTATTTTACAGGAAGGAATAAACCTTCGGTTGTTCTATGCCGTAATCGAAATATCTCCGCAAGATTATCTTTTCGCAGCCCACTAAAACATAAGTAAAGGGTTGTTAATACTAGAATTGTAGCCCATTGGTTAATAGCAGACACTGAATTCATAACCAGTCAAAGTATAATATGAACATTGTTTCAACTAGGGAATAGAACAAGTTGACAAGAGTCTAACTGACTTCTAGTCTTTAAATAAAATAATAAGTAAAACAATACATATAAAATATATAGAACAAGTATGTATGAACAAAAATTCGCATTAATGCAAATAAATATCTTACGCTGTTAATAACAAAGATAAGTTGTTCTCATCCGTGCCACCATAGACTTGGAATTTCTTTAAATCACTAACATGTGGTTTAATATATTTTCCAAATTTAATGGTCTCGACTATTGCTGATGAGTGTAGCTTCAAAATAATAAACTGAGAGGCAGTCGAACTGTCCGTGAACCATCTTGAGAGCTGATCAGCAGGATTGTTTACTAAAATATTCCTAAAAGTAAAACATCATACTGTAAAGTAGTAAGAACTGATAAAGACAACATGATGAATAAGTTGTCTTTCCATATAGTTTTCATTTATCATACAACTAAATAATTTATGAACGTTTTGTAAAATAATACTTACTCGGGAACATAGTGGGCGGAAAAACTAGAATACTTGTGTACTTTGTATTTCAGTTTAAGCGTTTCAAACTTTTCTTCCATTTTATTGCTCGCAGATCTTCTTTCTTATACAATATGATTAAACTTCGAAAGCTACAAAACACTACAATCGGGAATTCAAAACAAATTTCTTATAATTCTTATTAATTTATCAATTCGCCGCCTTCATTACCATAATATAATATTCGATCATGAATGACTTTGACATTAATGATACTACATTGACATTTAGATATATGTATTATCTGTTCCAAAGGTTTATTTAGTCTATCCAAAACTGACATTGGAATAAGATCTGTCCAACCCAAATGTTTAACATTTTAAAATTGTCAAGAACGGGCAACGCAATTTGCATTTCGCAAACATTCCGCGATATACATCGAAATATTTTTGCTGTTTTGTCTAAATTTTGCACGTTGCGATTGTATTGTTCACTATCACTATAATTTCATGTAGATTAGAAGATAACATGGAGGACGAAATAAACGAGTGCGTCCGGAAAAAAGTACAATGGAATCAATTACCAGGGAATATTAAAAAAGTAAATTATTAATATTATATCAACCCTTCTTTATTTAATAATTATCTAGTAAATTTTAAATTCTATATTTGTAACTTACATTTTATCATTTTCAGTTGTTAAATGATTCCCCCAAAGGATACGAGAGAATCATATTAGATTTTAGTATCAAGAACCAATTGAGGTTTAGAGGCAGTTTGGGTAAGTTTTTTCGTCAACAAAATCATTCATTTAATTCTAACTACACTAAGTAAATGCTCTAGTTTTAATTTTTTTAACAGCTCACTTCTCATAAAAATCTTATTAGATTTTATTTTCATGCAAAGTAATAACTTTAGTCAACTTGTCTAAATCAGAGTGATTAACTTTTAATAAAATAATTAGAATCCATACAATGGCTGAATAAGCTTTCTTAATGTCAATATTTTTGGTAAGGTCAAGAATATGAAACCAGTTTATTTTTAGAATCTTTTAGAATTTTTGGGGTTAAAGACCTTAGAACTTGTTTTAAAAATGTCCCTATTAGCTAAAGCAAATTGATGTTGTTTATTTTTATTTAAATTTCAGTCAGAACTGTGCGTAAAGATGAAAGGAAGTACTATGAATTGCTTGTTCAAAGTAGTATACAAAGACTCATGCTTTACCCTTACCATTTAGCTGATATGATAGTCAAAGGTAAGTGTAGACTTAAATGAAAATATAATAAAAATTTTGGTTCAATAAATTTTTGCAGGTTATAAAGTTTAAAAAGTATATTAAGAAAGATTAACAAAATATTTGAAACAGGTGAAACTTGGACCAAATAGATGATTTAGATTTTAGGAGTGCCTATATCATTCTCAACTTTAGAATCTAAAGAGATGCACAGACTGGCCAGCCTGTAGAATACTGGTAGCCCACTGAAGGCAAAATAATACTGAAATGAATAAATTCAATTTGAAAAAAAAAAAAAAAAAAAAATTTTTTTTTTTTGGGGGGGGCGCCCCTTTTTTTGGGGGGGGGGGGGGGTTTTTTTTTTTTTTTTTTTGAAAAGAGGAAAGGGAAAAAGAAAAAAAAAAAAAAAAAAAAAATTTTTTTTTCCTTTGGTGGGGGGCCACCAGTTTTCTTTTGGTGGCCTACGGAAGGCAAAAAAATACTGAAATGAATAAATTCAATTTTCATTGTAATATATTATTATCAATTTTTTATTGTCTATAATTGTCTATACTTCTGGTGGCTGCCATCAGTTTATGTTTTGCCCACGTGGCCCCCAGTCTTAATAAATCTGTACATCACTGGTATAAAGGTTGCTTTTCTAATTTATACATATTTTAGTTTTCCTAGAATATAATGCAATAATGTGTACTTTTCAATTACAGGACTAAGAATCACACCTTTTATATATTACACAGAAGTAGTCGCTATACTTATAGAATCAGAAAAAAGCTATGACACAATGCCTAACTTTACTGCTGCAGACTGTAAGTATATCGAAATACAATCAAAACATTAACGGTTTAGTCTGCATTTTGATTCTAGAATCTGTTTAGTCATTAGTGGATAAATTAAAATGTTATTTCAATATAGAATCTTAATAATCGTATTTATATCTTTGAGACAAAAGCAATAGATAAGTTCCGAAACATTACGTATGTAACATTACAAACCAATTAAGTTTAGGTTAATAATAATTTTGTTTGAATTATAAAGTCTATATTTTTTATGATAGAGGAGGATAGACATGGCCCAAAAGTTGGAACGCAGGAGTGGAGTTCACTTAATGGTTGGTGAAATATGCCAGCCTATAGCCATTTCCAGACATACATGAAATGCGTAATATGTTCCGGACCCGGGGGGGGAGGCTTTAACCCAGGACCCGGTTTTTATACCACTAGACCAATGCGCCCTTCAGACCGACAATTTTGAACTGATGAGGTTTTGTTCAACTGTTTTCTCAAATGTATTCAATTCCTTCTAGGTCTTCGCTTATTAGGTATAGGACGCAATGAGTATTTAGAACTTGTTGCTAAAGCTAGGTCACTCGGCCGAAGGGGAAGGTCAAAAGCGATACGCGGGCTCTTACCTCGAGTACCACTAAACATACCCATGCAGTCGTGGTGGAGAGTGGAACTGGGGTATGTTTTGGAAGAAGATGTAAAAGTAAGTTTTTTATAAAAATGAGATTTAAAAATAACTTTTTAACGGTTTTAAACGCAATATATATTAGATAAAATTATTTTAACTACGGCCCAACGACGAAGTAATGTTAAACTGATAATTATCGAGTTTTAAACCGTTAGCATTGTAATTAAATGTGTATAACTCGCGTAAACTACAAACAGTATGTAACAATTAGATTGTTACACAGTGCATTGATATTTGAATGGTGAAATGTCTAGTAAATAACGTTTTTCAAAGTTTGAACAAAAGAAGATAAGCACATACAAAGTAAACACTGTCTGTAGTTTACGCGAGTAGTACACATTTAAATAAAACACTTTAACGGCTTTAAACGCGATATATTTTAGTTAAACTTGTTTGCCGTGGTCCCCATGACCATGGCTGTTGGAAAGCAAGCAAACTTCAGGCCGTATTTAAAATACTCCTTAAACAAGTTCAACTAAAATATATCGCGTTTTAAACTGTTAAGGGTTTTTTTTTAAACATACAAAGTAATAAAATACTTCACAGCATGTTCATTTTGATGACATATGTTAAACTCAAAGTCATTGCCTTCCAAAAGAATGCGAGTGATATACAAATCCTGTGCGTGCTTTATTTTACTAACTGAAAGTTGTGTTCCCACCAGCCTCTGTCGGACGCAGAGAAATCCCTCATTGATCTCTTAATTGACCGAGGCTCGCAAACAGCTGGCACACTTGACTACAACCTGGTCAAAAGTCTTTACAGGTATAACTTACATAGTAAATTTATGGTAAATATTATATATATATAGCTGACCCGGCAAACGTTGTTTTGCCATATAAATAATTTATAACTAATTAAATGACGATTGATCAGTTTTCAACCGGAGAGGAAAAATTTTGAAATTACTAAAATGGCTATTTAAAAAAAAAGGGTTAATTGTAGAAGGGTGAAAATTGAGGATTGTATGTATTTTTGTATGTTGTATCATAAAAAAATAGAAGTTTATAAATTTTGACTAAAAATAAAAAATAAAATTAGGGATGAAAAGTAGATGTTGGCCGATTCTCATAGATACCGGATATATTATTATAGATATTATTATTATTATTTTTATGTACACATTTAGTTATAAGTTATAAGTTTGTAAATATATTTTATGGCAATAAACGATTTGTATTTGAAAAAAATAATAAGCACAAAAAATTTCATCAAAATCGGTCAAGCGTTTGGAGGTGTATGGCAACGAAAACTGTGACACGAGAATTTTATATATAGTTTAAGAAAGGTGTGGACACGGGCGGGACTCGAACTGCACTGTTCACTGATCCGTTCTTTTACCGGGCAAGTAGTTGATCAGACTTCTATGCTCTGCCCGACCGAAACATTTTTTTTTGTTTCCCTGGGATTCGAACCCAGGGAAACAAAAAAAAATACGTTCTGTATCTGTTCTGTAGCTGAATGGTTATTCAGCGGTCAAAGATCATCGATACATTCTTACAAACTTTTCCTTAATTCATTTTTATAACTTTTATTCTTTAAGTAAAACACTTTAACGGTTTAAAACGTGGTATATATTTTTATAAACTTATTTGGAAATTATTGTAGTTACTGCCGGACGTTTCGGATGCCTTACAGCCGTTTACGTCTTAAGCCGTTAAAGTGTTTTATTTAAATGTGTTCTACTTGTGTAAACTACAGATTAACTTAACTTCTGTTTGTTTTAGACGAGGTCTTATCTACTTGGATGTACCAATCACGGGCGCTGATAAAGTCTCCGTTCCGCCCTTGAAAGGATTTGTGATGAATCGTATAGCGGGGGACTACTTCGAGACGCTGCTTTACAAAGTGTTTGTATCTATTGATGAGCACACAAGTGTTGCAGAGTTGGCTACAGTCCTACAAGTTAGTACTTTAAATAATTACTAGGTGACCTGATACTAGAGATTACAAAAAAAGTATTACTTATGGCTATGAAAAATAGTTAGTAACCGTTTCTTAGACCTACTGAATAGGCAGATATAATTTCATAGAAGTCGGTTTAGCCGTTTCGATTCGGAGGAGTATAGTTCCACTGACATGAGAATATATATTAGGTACTGATTAAAAGACTAGTTCTATAAACCAATGTCAGTACCCACTTTTATGTGTTTCAGTACAAAAGATGTCACCTAAATACGTTTATATTTTATTAACGAAAAAGTTTATATATTTTATGAAGTTTAATTATTATTTTTTTATCTTCTACTATCAGGTAGACGCGTCTCTTGTGAAGCAAGCCGTATCACTGTACTGCCGATTGGGATTCGCAGAACACCTTCAGCCCCCTCCTGTTACACCTCAGCATCCCTCGTGGAGCCAGGCTCTCACCACGCACAACCATAGACCGTTAGTTTGAATCAAATTTCCTCGTATGTTTCACTCTACATTTAAGGTACTTTTAGGGTGCTTGTACAGTTGTAAAGTCACTTTTTATTGATGTATATATATTTTTTTTATTGTTGGTATCTGTTCCTGCTATAACTACAAATTCTTACAAACCTTTTTATAAACTTGTCTTGGTTTTGTGCAGGTATAGACAAATAACTCCTTTGACAATCGACTCTAGATTGGAAGAAGACGCGTTACAGATGGAACCAGTGCTCATCAAGGATATGCCATCCACCTCGAAACAGGTTATATTGCTTTAATACTTTCATATTAAAATAGATACAAATATCGTATGTATAAAGTAAAATCTGAATACTGTCTGTAGTTCATGCGAATAGTACACTTTTAAATAAATAATTTTCAACGGTTTAAAACGCGAAATATATTAGTTTATTTATTTCAAGTACTGCTCGAAGTTTTGGATACTTCGCACCTGCACCCCCCGTGACCACAGCTGCTAATATATTACGCGTTTTGAACCGTTAAAAGTGGTTTATTTAAAAGTAAATTATCGGATTTTGATTTTTGTTTTTTTTTACCAGCTACCTCAGACGTCTCTAGAGACTCCAAGCAATGGCAGTGGTCAAAGAGTGGCCGTTCTCTTTGATTCAACCTTAGCTGCGTACCTCATGATGGGAAACTTATCACCTGTAAGTTAACATGTATGCTTACTAAAAATAATACATATGTTAGTCCTTTATTCTTTACATTGTTTGAATTTGTTTCTTATGTTTTCAGGATCTGAAAAGTCATGCAGTAACGCTGTTCGAAGTTGGGAAGCTGTGTGATGAGAGTTTGGACAGTCTACTCATGGAATTAGATAAGGTATAATCTGATTTGATACCTGTAACGTGTGAAATTAGTGGAAAACTCAACCATATTTAGCATTTTTCTTGTATAATTTAAACTGTTAGTTTTTGATAATCTGTATCTCACAATACCAAGTTAGTAAAGATTTTTGTTATAGTGCGTACAAAAATACTCAAATGTGTTCACGCTTTCTTATGTGTTATAAATTTTAATTAATTAATTGTATTTGTAGCTTTTAGAGAGGAACTGTACGACACGTATATTCGTACGTATCGTATTTCGTATTTTAAACCCATAATTTGTTTTTAACTAAATTTACGAGAGTTGCATGTATAGTGTCGTAATATCTTTAAATGTATTTAAATAAAACACTTTAACGGTTTAAAACGCGATATATTAGTTAAACTTATGATTTTTAACTTCGGGCCGACGTTTCGGGAGGCTAAAGATGGATGATGTCTCTGACGTCAAAGTAAAAAATTGCTACGCTAGCGCCATCTGTTCCGTCGAAGTTGGTATTTGGCGAAACTGGCCGGGTCCTTACAGGACTGTAAGGACCCGACCAGTTTCTGAAATTTGTACTTCTCGCGTAAACTATAGAGAATATCTTTAAATGTATTTTTTATATTTGTAGGTAGCTGCTGACCCCGAGATTGAGGGAGAAGCCCGTCGGTACCTTGCAGCGGCTGCCTGTTTGCGGATTGCGCTGAGAACGTTGCGACCTAAATTACGTCCATTAGACTTATTGCGTTGTGAAGCGCTGCACGCGCTTGATGCACCGGCTCGGGCTCGCTTACTCGCTACTAAATATAGGTATAATATTTATTTTTTACAGCTTTATTATTCATAATCCATAACACAAGACACAACAACAAGATATCAAATGTTAAGGATTATCCTGAAACACAGGATAAAAAAGAAATCAAAAAAAGATATAGGATGATAGAGAAAACGCATAGAAGAATATAGTCTATTGTACACTTTGACGGTTTAAAACGTAAAATATATTTGTTAAAACTTGTTAACAAATTATTTTTTACTACGGCTCGACGTTTCAGATTTAGTGTTTAACTTAATATGTATCGCGTTTTGAACCGTTAAAGTGCTTTATTAAAAAAGCTGTTTTGCTGCCCTTTTCAGACTGGCGATATCAACGGCGCCGTTAAGTAGAGAAGCGCGAGCGGGTACGGCGGCGTGCTCGCTCGCACACGTAGGCCCCGCCCCTCCGGAAGCGTCGTCCCCGTGGATGCGCCTCTACCTGTACCACGTAGCTGGTTACGGACCGCCTACGCTATTGCTAACTAAAGGTAAAATGACTATGCTACTAATATATTTGAATTTGAAAGTTTTTGAAGATGTTATTAAAAATTTTGATATTAATATATAAAACTATTTTATTTACAAAAATTATAATTAATATATTTTGTAGACTTCGAAAATATATAAGGCCTTCGCTGCCAATTAGAAAAAAAAAGGGTTTTCGAGCTGTTCGGCTATAGTTATTTAAAAATGGCTCACCATATTTCGTCATTACAAGTGGATGACATCAGTTGCGTGTTATTCGACCGGGTCAGTCTTCGCTTTGCTAAAGTAAAATTAATTATTCCCGGACTTTAAAGACTCAAACACAAACTACAAAATATGGCGATTTAGTCTTCGTTGTACTATTTATATACTATTTACTACAGGTACGGTTCTCCGCGGAGTGCCACGTTGTCTCTTAGGGTTTTCAAGACTAGCCGTATCCTGGTGGACGGCGGAGTCCGAAGCTAGCGCATTGCCGGCTGCTGCTGCATTAGCTGCTGCCAATTCGGCACTTCGGCGGGGTCCAGTGTTATTGCAGGCTGCTGGCGTGAGATCACCACCTCACGTTGCGCACTTGGCCTTTCCACCAGCCTCATTGGATGATATAGAAGGTGTCTGTTTTAATGTTATATCAAAAACAGTTTTTGCTTATATTCGTGCATGATTTTACTTTTTTGTTATAATTTATTAAATTAAGGGCGCTCTTCTTTATCTCCTTTAAATATTTCTAATATGTATTTAGTTGTTGAAACAGATACTGCAGATAATGTACGCGAATAGTACACATTTAAATTAAACACTTTAACGGTTCAGATAAGTTTATTTAATATATTACGCGTTTTAAACCGTTAAAGTATTTTATTTAAATTCTTATGTTTTTTATTTATTTTATAGATCCTCAATGTCTTTGGCGTAAGCATGGAGGTCTTCGGCGTCTCATGCGAAGGTTAAGACTTACTCGCACTGCAGGATATGTGACTCTAGCCGATATCGGTGTGCCGGACCTTGGATGCGCTCGTCCCCCCTCTACTGTGCAACTTGGTAAGTTAAAAAAGATACCTAATATAATGACTAAGGACAGTAGCCGAGTGTAGAATGGAATGAAATGTAAGAACGAGCGAGAGGATGTGTCTGAAAGGGACGGAGAGAGAAAAATAAAATGAAAGATATATCAATATTTTATTATTTTATATCGGTCCTCACAAAAATCTCTAATTACACATAACTGGCCAATCTTCCCAAGGGTTAGTTATTTAAATTATATTATTTAAATGCAGATTTTATACTTTTTTTATAGTAGCTGCAAAAACCTTATAACTTAATATATTATGATTTAAAAGCTAATATAGTAGTTTTAACTCAGGGGCAGTAATGATTGTGTGTAAAATAGAGTAACTGATTCAATGCAGTTTTTTTTTTATGTGTGTGTGAAAACTTTTTAAGAATTTAAAATAAATTAGGTCAGAACATTAATAGAAGTATATCTCTGTATTTTCTAACACTTTTACCGGTATAAAACTTATTAATTAGTCAACCTAATTTTAACGGCGACCCAACGTTTTAAATGTTCCTAGTGTCCTAGTTAGAAATAAATTTAGTAATTTAATTTCGTAAGTTTTACTTAACCACTCACAAAATAATACTTCAAGATTTAATTCCAGTTCAAACGAGAAAGAAAAAAGACATTTGCGGTATAGCGAAACCGGTCAGCGAAATCTCTGTTTCCTCCAGCGAATCCACAGACAAAACCGCAGATTTCAAAGACATTAGTCGATTACAGTCTCCCATAGAGTCGCATTTCGCCGTCACCCCAACGACAGATAGTAAGACCAGTTCTCCATCAAACGGCTTTACAACTGTCGAAGGAGGGAAGTTATTGTGTGAGGAATTGGATAACTTGAACTTAGACCCTCATAGAAGCAAGGAATCTATAGCTTGCAGTGATGATTTCGTCCCTATACATTCCACATCAATTAGCATCGAAGATTTGAAGCATTCCAAACTGTCCATGAGTAAAGAGTCAATCACGGAAGACATAGTTCCAATACATTCGACGACGCCCAGCGTCGAAAATCTAAAGTTTGATAAAGACGAGAAGTTGATCAACCAGATGAACGATCTGTTGAGCCCGGCGGAGGAGTCTGTGTCGATGTTTACCCAGTTGAGCAACAAGTTGACGGAGATTAGCGGCGAGGGCGACAGTGGTGTTGACACGGCACACAACTTCTCCGATGAAGAGACGTGTAAGCCAGAGGTAAATACATTTTATATTAAGAGTGAAACACCTTTAAGTTTATATGTCTGATTTACAAAGAAAAAAATTCGGTCTCTACTATAATGTTAATCCTATACAGTTTATAGCTACTGCTATCTGTGTAACTTAATTTTTATCTCTATTAAATATATCTTCAAATATATCGTAAAGGAACAAATAAAACATTACATTGTTATCGTATTTTCAGAGGTGGACAATTTTGGACCTTCAATTTGGTATACCACTATTCGATGAAGCGCTGTGCGAAAAAGTCTGCCAAAGTATTGTCGATAGGATAGCAAAGCCCGAACTGTAAGTTACTGTTATGGTTAAAGAGAAGGATAGAACCCAGCCAACGGGTCTCAACTTGATGACGTGGGTCGACCTATTTACTCAGCCAACATCGAAACTCTTAAATAAAACTTGACGGCTTTTCCAACTGTGGACGATGGATTTTTCATGTGACCCGAACGAAATTTCGATATTCACAACCACTCATTTAATATGCATTTCCAGACCAAGTACAGTAGAAAAGTTTTGGATCCAGTGGGGATCGCACCCACGACTAACAAAGCTACATTGATAACAGCCATACGTTGCTACCATTAGACGATTACTTGTTACATATCCAACACTTAAGGAAACCTGGCTGTACAATAATTTATAATTTTATATTTCAGACTAGATAAGATAAAAGAAGATAACGAATTCGTCAGAAGTGATTTGCTGAAGTTTGTGTCACAGTGTCAGGTAAGAATGTTAATGAAACTATAAGTCCTTTTCAAAAGTATAATATGAAAAATGTTGAGACTGATTTATAAGTGTCAACTCTCAAATGATTTAGTCTTAAACACTGTATTTAGTTTACAGGAGTAGTACACATTTAAATAAAACACTTTAACCGTTTAAAACGCGATCTACTCGTATATTAGATAAGCTTATTTTAACTACAGCCTGACGTTTCGGATGCTTTATAAGGACCCGACCAGTTTCGTCACATACCGACTACGACGGGACAGATGGCGCTAGCGTAGCAGTTTTTACTTTGACATCAGAGACACCCTCCATCTTTAGTCTCCCCGTGACCACGGCTGCTGCAAAGCATCCGCCGCACCGTTGTTAAAATAATTTTCCAATAATGAGATTAACTAATATACGTCGCGTTTTAAACCGTTAAAGTGCTTTTTTTTAAATGCTACAGTCTTTTTGCTCATCAAAAAGTAGATTGTATTTCTGCAAACACTATTGTTTAAAAATTTTCTACAGTACTATCCCGGTGAGGACATGGGAATAGTGAAACGTGGTACTCTGGTTCCATTACCGAGAAAAAACTTAGTCTTTGAGAACGGCAGGATCAGCGAGTGGATCGGAAAGTGACACAGTCGTAGTAACCGTGATAATATTATCTATATAAAGATTTTTATTTATTTTTAATCTGTAGGAAATAGAAGCATATATTTCATACTAACACAATACTTATAAAAAAAATTACAGGTTTAATTTTATATATTTTCAGTATTGTTTTAAACACATTTTTTCCTTTTCATGGAAAGTGGTAAGTTGGTTGTTGCGCCTGTTACTTCAGTTTTGTTGCCTTATAGAAAAAAAAAAACACTTTTCTATGTAACTGCAATTTAAAAGTATTGTGTTTATAGTGGATACAGCTTGTAGACTAAAAATAATGTTCCGTCTAATTACACTATTCAAATATAGTATTTATTTAGATATTTTACAAAACTTTGCCATTTCATCGTGTCATTGTCAAATAGCTGTCTAAAAATTTCTAAAGAAATTTTTAGTCTGTATACTTTGTTCCAAATAAATTTGTAGACAAGATTAACGAAAATCAAACCTATCACCTTTAAATAAGAAAGACCTCGAACTTAAAAAAAAACATAATTCGACATAAATGTTATTTTAAAAGTGGTGTTAATTTGGTTTTTATCTCTGGGTAAATATATTGTATACTGTCTGTAGTTTACGCCAATAGTACACATTTAAATAAAACACTTTAACGGTGTAAAACGCGATATATTAGTTAAACTTATTTGAATATTTTTTTTTTACTTCGGCCCGAAATTCGGCTGCTTTGCAGCAGCCGTAGTCACGGGGAGACCAAAGGTGGAGGATGTCTCTGACGTCAAAGTAAAAATTGCTACGCTAGCGCCATCTGTTCCGTCGAAGTTGGACTAATATATCGCGTTTTAAACCGTTAAAGTGTTTTATTTAAAAATATATTGTAATTCAATAATTTAATACAAAACACTCTTTTCATTAAAACAAATTAGGGAATTATTATAAATAAAGCGGTTTTTAAACGTCTAAAACTAGTAAAAAGTGCAAATTTTTTGATTGCCATCAAACAATGCCCTTGATAATCGTGCATCAGTTATATATACGGTTAATGTATGTTAGTTTTTTCACAAATTCATTTGGAACTTTGGATTTTGAATTCAAAGGGTATAGTAATATTTTAGCGCGTCCTATTTTTATATAGTTTCAGAGTACTTAATATAAAACAATGATTATTCTTTGCAATATTAATGTCTAAGTAATAAGTATAGAGAAACAGGATTATGTGAATTTATGTTAGTAGTTAAATTTAGTGTAGGTTACTGTAATTAAACGCAATAAATTGTTATTTAAATGGCAGACATTAAACAACGCTATTATTTTATATTAATAATAGCATAAACAAGGACACGGATCTTGGCATGTGAAGATTTTTTCTCAAGGCAAGTACTAAGTTGCTAAATAATGACATCAAAAGTTATGAGAGATTGTGACGTCAGGATCCATTTTCCCTGTAATTTAATTCTAATCAAGAGATGCTTCCATAGATAGTAAATTGTTTTAATTTAGTATAGACACCGTGTTAACTCGACCATGTTAAACCTTTTTAAAAATTCCTAGCTTATTTTTATTGTAAGTGTAGTTACCGTCCGCATAGACCAAATGGTCATTATACAATCTTGATGGCATTGAAATTTCCAAAATAACAGTATTATTAATTTGGCATTCCTTAACTCTTAATATAGTAAACCAATCTATATAATATATATAATGAGATTGCTTTATTTGTTAATAATTTTGTTACATTGTGTAAATAAACTATGTTTTCATACAACGTTGTTTAATTTAGTTATAATATTAATAAAAACACCTTTATATCATTTACAAATTAACCATCACGTACGGTACTGTCCGAATGGTTTTTTATAGCATGGCAATTCATTCATACTATTTTTTATTGTTATATTATAATAATTATAATAGACATATTCATCTGGCAACACTAGACAATTCTTTCAGTAGTGACATTGACAGGAATTTTCTATAACGACAAGTCGAATCGAGAACTTAAGTTATTATTGTAGATCAAAATTTGCCGATATAAGTTTTTGAAGTCCTCAATTCACAATAGCATATAATAGTGTTGAAAATATGGAAGTGGATTTATATGCTACCGATTGGACGCATCCTGAGAACAGCAGGTTGCCTCTTATAGACGAGACCTCAGCTTTGGGAACACAGTTACCGAAAGACAGGTAATCATTGTTTTTCTTTACTTTCTACGAGCTGTTATTGAATATTCCAGTATTTTCTCAATACACGTCTCATAGACGTAAGTTTTTCTTTCCAACCGATTCATATGGTCCATACTAGGCATGAAACTAAAGCCATTAACTATCGCCCACACATCCGAAATTTGAAGAAAAAAATATTTATTATTTTTAGTCGATCATGGCCTATATCTGTGAATCATATTTTATGGAATCGAATAGACTTAACAATTTTGTGATACGTAGTAATTAAACTTATAGCTTTAATAAAAAGTGTTTATTAACAAAATGCAAATCAATATGTATATGATTTGGTTATATATATCTGTATTTGTTCAGAGAGTTGTTTGAGCACCATATGAAAAGTTCATGAATGTGTCTTATTGGGAATAGATTTTAAATAACAACAGTGTATGCTTTAACTCTTGCTTAAACAACATCTTTTCTTTTCTCTTGTTTTTTTTATTATTATGTCAGTATCTTTAATTCTATATTTTATTATTTATAGATTGATATCAGTATTGGACCAAGTAGAACTTCGTGTAGAGCGGCTGAGAAGAGACACAGTAAGAATAGAAGAGGAAAAGGATTCCCTTCTATCGACATTGGATAGCGTCAAGCACTCTGAATTACTTTCGGACATATCTGACTGTAAGTTTATTTTTAATAACTATGCCTAACATATTGCTTAGTTATTGAAGTTTCAAATACAACCTTCAATAAAACTATATTTTAGATACTTATTTTTTTATCTTTATTTAGCGGTATTTAACCTTATCACTAGGTTATGTCTTAATATAAACTAAAATTTATTAATATTTACTATTATCGACATATTAAAATTATAATATAAAAATTCATGTTTTTAAGTTATAGAGTTTCTTATATATGTTGTAGATACATTCATCAAATGATCAAATAAGAAATATGTTTGCGAGTAAATAAAGAAGACAAGAGTTTAATAATTATATTTTTCCTTTATTTAAGGTGACAAGGATGACATCATGAGATATGCGGACCGTATTCTCGCCCGTGCCCTAACTGTGGATGTTGCCGTCCGTACTGACCGTGACCCACAGCAGGAAGAAGCTTTACACCAAGTAAGTGAAATTTTTTATTGATCAAATTGAGACCTGTCAAAATTTTTGCATCTGTCATATCTGCACCTTTCTAGATCATAGAAAGTTATATTTGTTTTTATCAACTATCAGTTACAATATAAAGATATGAGAAGTTATTGATATTGTTGTTGTAATTTCTGTTTCGCTTCATAACTATAAGGTCATGTTAAAATGAAAATTTAAATACTAACCAAATTTTATGAAATAACTAACCACAATATAATATGATACATGATGTGGTTAAAAGCTACGGATAAGGGACTGACCTTGTCTAATATACTATAGACAGAAAAAGACTCTATTTGTATTCATAAAACATACTATAGTGTGCAGTCAATATTGCACATCGACCTTAGTGAAAAGGCCTTTGGACTAGTGGCTATTTTATATAATCTGTGACACACCCTAACATAAACTATTAAAAATAAAAATGTTGTTAATATTCTTGGCAGTATTTCCTGTATTTTTCCTTTTATTGTTTAACAATTAACACGCAAGCCAATACCATTATTAGCGTACTAGTTACACATAAAGAAGCATTTATAACGCGAAATATATTAGTCAACTTATTTAATTTTTTTTCATAATACTAACTTATAATAATCTGTCACCAAATAAACAAGTAGTATATCGACCACAATGTAATTTTCCTAATGGGTGTTATTTTGCAATCGGCACCGGTCATTGATCTCCGACGGTTATTTGGCATGACACGATATTGCGATAGATAACACGTATCTGTATGCACATAATATCGTACTGCGTATGCTCGAATTATGTCTACACTGTTTACCCTTAATTATACGTTCTATTGTATTTTTTATATGAAAATTTGCGTAACTATGTAGCGGCGTTCTATACTTTTTTCTACTGCGTAAAAAACTCTTCAGAACACTATATTATTTATTTATTTATATATTCTTTATTGCACAAAAAAATAAAAATATTACAAATTAAACCTATATACTAGAATGGAGAGCAATGGGCGGCCTTATCGCTAACAAGCGATCTCTTACAGGCAACCTAAAGTTATGAAATGTTAAGAAAATGAGATGTGCAAGGTAGGCGAAACAAATAAATACAAACAATAAATAATCATAAACAAAAAAAAGCACAGAACTTAAAATAAAAACATACAGATCTAAAAAGGTTACATGTTTACTAACTTAAACGAAGGGACTAAATATATTTAAAATAAATAGATAGTGACTTTACTCAGATGACAGGAAATGTTTATAAAGTAGCCGTTTAAATGATGGGAGAGAAGGAGCCATGCGTATGGAAACGGGTAAGGCGTTCCATAGTCTGATCGCAGTAATTTGAAAGGATTTACCTTGGAAATTGGAGCTGTGTAAACTATAACTACCATAGGGACCCAAATATTTAAAATTAGATTTAAGATAAGGGGGAGAATTAGGGGCGAAGAGAATAGAGTATAGGAGCTGAAGAACATGTGAGTCTCGCCGAAGGCGAATGGACAGCCACCCTAACTTTTTACGAAACGCAGAAATATGGTCAAATTTTCGTAGTCCAAATATAAATCGGATACAGAAATTTTGCAGACGTTCCAGCTTATCTAATAGTTCTTCATTCATATCCGTAGAGCATACATCAGCATAGTCAAGCAGTGGTAAAAGAAGGGTTTGTGCTAGAGTAGTTTTAGTCCGAATGGGAAGGAAATTGCTGAGTCGTCTTAACATACTCGAAGCGGCATATATTTTACGACTGATTTGCTCAACATGCGACGCCCAGGAGAAGGTTTGGTCAAAGTACACACCAAGATTTTTTACTGATTTACTAAAGTTGAGAGCTACATATTCTCGAAGATTTGTTAGACGAAGGAAGACTGAAGTATGAAACATTCAATATTACATAAGTTGTTTGTTTGCCATTTGAAAATATCAAAAATGGACAATATTGATTTAATACTCAAGTTTTGTACAGCTCATTGTTTATTTTTCTTAATTTGTATTCTTCGTTTTGGGTTATCCCAAAGAGATCGCTTTTAAGGTCGTATACTAGTTGTGTCCGTGACATCGTCCACGTGGAATTGTTGTTTAGAGTATCATAATATTTATTTTTGCAAACAACCTCCTCAGCTACCTCAGCGGAAACTGTTAAATGCACCATCCAGATTATAGAAAGTTATATACTGTATGTAGTTGACGCGTCTGTGTGGACACATAAAAAAACACTATCTGCGCCATTGCCAAATACCAACTACGACGAAACAGATGGCGCTAGAGTAGCACTTTAGTGTCCGCGTGACCACTGCTGCTGCAAAACATCCGAAACGACGTACGTAGTTAATATTATCTCCAAATCAGTTTAACCGATATATTCGCGTTTAACCGTTCGTGTTTTCTTTATTTGTTTTTGTTCCAGGTGAATATGTACATCGACCAGCTAGTAATGTCCGTCCACGACGATTCTGTGGTTGCCCACACCCGCTGTCAGACCTACATGAACGCTTGCACGTCCCAGCCCGACCCCACCACGGGTACGGACAAGAATTTTGAGACCGCTATACTCGGATGTACCTTGGATGACCAGAAGAGGGTGAAGAAACGGCTACAAGGCCTCCTCGAGTATTTTGCAAAGCTCAATGTGACGTCATTCTCGTGAGTGTGTCAATACTGATTGAGATACTTACTGCCAACTTTTGAAGTGATGAATGCGTCTTTCGTAATGTTGTCGTTGAATTAGTTCATTCTTTTACACATTTAAACCAGTTTATTTAAAAAAAAAACATTGACAGAGGCGGGATTAACCCAAGACTAATAGCGTACAGTGTCACACGGTCCCTACGTGATCGTGGATTTTTTATTAATGCCTCTGTGTTCAAAATTGTGTTCTTACACTCAAATTTCATTTTGTTTTATTGTAATAACTGCAAACATTTCTGTTTCATTCATTAATTTAATATACATCTTTGCCTAATGGATATTAAATTTATAGACAGGATAACTTTAATATTTCCGCACGATGGCATTATATGAATTAAAAATCGATTTTAGATTGAATAAAAAAAAACGGGTGAGATTTGAATCGGCATCCACAGCGTTCCGTGCTGTTGCTCTAGCCGATTGAGCTACCGTGTCAGGTATTAGTTAGAGCAACAGCACGGACGCTGTCGATGCCGATTCAAGTCCCGCCGGTGTCTTGCTTTTTTTTCTGTCTAAAGCCGAGTTTTTATTTATACTTGACATATTCATCATTCAAACTTCAAGCACAACTACACTGAGAGTACCTTGGGTTTTGAGCTACTCGGTCATCGTAATTGAGAAATGTTAAGCGAAGATTTAATCTTGTGGCATTGAAGCTACACGAGTAGGCGCAGCGTTTTCCATTTTTTAATTACGCCATCTGAACAGCTTGAAAATTCTAGTAGCTTTGCAAAATGGCCGCGAAAGCCTTATACAATTTATAATTCATATCGATCAATTGAGAATTATAGCTCAATTTAGGCGTCAGTAGCTTATTAATTGATAAAAGAACTATATAAAAGAACTTTTAAAAATATTATTGTAAACAACATTTAATTATCTTAGATTATATTTGTTACGTTTATCAAAATTATATTTGAGATTTATTTTAGATTGAAAAAATCTGTGTCCCTTAAATTTATGTAAACTATTTACTATAACCTCCCCATCGGTGGCCCGAGTTAAATTAAATAAGTTAACTAATATTTTTCATACCGTTAAAAATGTTTTGTTTAACACAGTTTTCAGGTTTAGCTCAGTTAGTAGTGCGAAACCACGCTCCGGTAACGGTCATTGATTTAGTTAATAATGTTTCAGTCTAAAACAAGTCTATATAGGTTCTCATATGTGAAAATTATATTCTATTGTTTTTCAATGATCAACATTGATCGCAATAGTACAACTTATTCTACCAAGTCGAACGCTTAAGCAATTCCGTGTGTATAGATTCAATAATATTGCTTAATCTGTATAGAATTTATTTTAAATTAATATATTCTTCTCAATACCAAAAGTTTTTGTGATTGTTATATTCGCAGCTTTATTTTGGTTCTAATATTAAGCTTCGTATTATATAAGACGCCCTCTCACCCTTAAGCCTTACGTAGATAGTAACACGATTCCCATATAATGGGGATTATTATTGTGGTGTTTATAAATTAGTTCGTTTTTGGAACTTATTAATATGTCGTGGGAGGTTAGGAGTTACCTTGGTCACATACTGTCAGTGGACATGCGGTGTAGACTCTTTATAACGAATTGAAGTTTTAGATACCGAACAATTTCATTGCTTTACAAAGTTATCTTTACAGCTAAGAAAAACCGACATAACCTAGGTACACTTGTGAATGGTAAAAATTAAAGACTAAATTTACATTTACTACCAGTTCTCAAAACAAGGGCGTCAAAAGAACGCGAAGAACGGGCAAGAAACTAGCCGCCACTCCTTTTATCGCCAAGTTCCATATAACTGTCTTCGCATACTTAAGTGCCACTATACGCTTGTTAGACGTAGAGCAGGACTACACAATTTTTGTCATTTAACTATTGATTAACGTCATAATAACACCTTCGAAGCAGTTGTTTTACAAACGATTTAGACTTATTTTTGACAGTGCTTGCATTTCAATATTCACGATTTTATTAAAATTTCGTATGAAGATTACTTTTTTGGTTGGTACACTTATAATGTACTTATTACGTGTTTTATACTGTTAAAAATTGCATATTAACTATACTAATAATAATACAAAGCATATAGTCAGTTTCCCTGACAACTTTAGCTTTGGTAGTACTGGTTCAGTTCTGACGATCCTTTCATCTCTTGAGATATGATTTAGGTTTTAAGGAAACCTATCAGTAGTGATCTTTGCTGGGTTATAGAGAGTTTAATTTGTTATAAGGAGTTTACATCTGATGCACCGACTAAATTGCTTTGGCCGGGTATTTCAGAATTGAATACTAAAGATGGTTATGTGATGTCCACCCGGGTTGGTCCCAATAATAAAACGTAGTTCACGAAATGAGAAATGTATGACATGTTTTCAATTTGTGCTGCTCATTTATTGATGTTTCCAGCTATCGCACAGTATTTTATTTCAATGTATACGCAGTAAAAACAATGAACCATAAATCATTAGTTATAAATAAAAATGTAACCATATCTATATTATCTAAGAATGTGTTTGTTTTCGCTTGAAAATTATTAAAATATGTTGCTTATATACTCAAAGCTACTTTCCATTGGACAGAATATTTATCGGCATTTTATAAAAATGTATTGTTCGAAATTCGTTGTTTAATTTGATTAACTAAATTGAAGAAAGTATCGCTCTATATAATCCTCCTGAACTTATATATTTTTTGTACATTGAATGGGTGGTAGATATATTGGAATTTCGGTTTCAGTCTGTGGATTTTCGAATGTCCGAAACCAAAATAGGTCGACAGCGCAACAGTCGACAGTGTGGCTATTTCACCTTCCATCAAGTGAACCCTATTCGTTCTCTGCTTTAAAAAATATATAATGAATATCAATTTTCTGCGATATAAGCGTTAAAGTATATTTAAAAGAGCGGGTACATAATTATCAAAATACTTTGCATTGACTGAGATTGTATGTACTTTACTTAGCAACTAAAGTTTTGTGAAAAGCACATATTCTGTTTATGCCTCCAATAAACTGTCTGAAAATAATCTTTATTTTATTTCGTTATATTAATATATTTAACTGTAGTACTTTTGGAATGGCTTCGCATGGCGTGGGGCGAACACAGCTGCGTCGTAACAATCTATTGCTTACCCGGAATAAACCCAGGACCTCTCGCGCTTAACTCAATGGTAAGCAACATGTTTAACCATTTAGTTACAAAGGATAAAAGAAGAGAATGTAAAAATTTCATAATAATTTATTGTCACTAAAAATATTTACAATTATAGAGATTAGATGAGCATAAAACTTACAGACTCATTTACACCAAGGAAAGCTTACATCTGATAATGGGTTATAAATTACCAATGGTAGCAAAATAACAAATTGCACATTTACATGGCTACTTATATACGAGTCGTATATACAAATTGAGGCACCATGTTTATAAAGGCCGTCGCTGTGAGCTTTTATTTGTTCAGGTCTTCTATTAACGCCATGAAATTTCATGGCGTTAATAGAAGATTTTTCATGGCTTAGTAGCCATCACGCAAGCTGTTTTTTATTGGTTATATCTTATCTTCGGCCGTGCCGTCAATACTAACCGAACGTTTTCGAAATGTCGCTGATGAATAGTAAGAGCTTGGTGAGAGCACGCAGCCCTGAGGGAGTCCGGAGTAAATGGGACCGAACAAGCTTCTAGTAGATCGCGGTTATAATAGACCATATCTAGTCAGTAAAGACTAATAAGTATACTTTTAAACAAAAGACCAATCTCTTGAATAAAAGCTCGCAACGACTTACTTTACCAATTAACAATCACTTAGTTCTAGCATGATATTAATAAAAAGCTACACGGTATATACAATTAACACAAATGAAACAACTTTTCATAGTACGCTATAATGGCATACAAATATAAACAAAGCAAATCACACGTAACTGTTTAAACTGCATAATTTATTTCGAGTTAGTCCTCTGGGACCAGGGTTGCTGTAAAGCGAACTTTAGGTTGCAGTTGAACTAATTTTAAACAAATTGCTCTTTTTAAGCCGTTAATTTGATGTTGACAATAATTTACAAAAAAAAAATACACAATAATATTGCGTAACAGAAATTATTGACGTGCAAACTATGCAAAATATAGCGTAGTCTGAAAAGAACCTAACTTAACACAGAACATTTCTTCAGTTCTTATCACAAACTTCAGGAACACATTCACAAAATACGACAGGCGTTTTTCAATACGTTTTTCTTTTTACCCCCAGGTCTATGTTTCACTGGACGAAGCAAGATTGTCCCGTTGCTGTTGTGGTTCGTAAATGTACCTGAAAGAGATAGTATAATTATTTTGGCTTTTCTTTAGGAGCTTATGGCTTCATTTGGTCATGGACGAGGAAATACTCCAGACACATATCATCTATATAAGATGTACTGTCAACCTATTTTAGCTTTGGATATTCGGAAATCTACAGACTGAAACCGCGAACTTGACGGCTTCATCTGTGGTTCCTGATCCGGAATTTGAAACCTACTACCATCTATATATTATCCAGATTTCCAGAAAATTGATTAGAAACATGTCGGACACGGTGGGAATCGAACCCACGATCCGTTAATTGCTGCAATTACACTCGTCACCCGTCAGCAGAACCCGAAGCTTATGAAATACCTATAACAGGTGCTATAGTAGGAGTCGTCATGTCTGCTGCATTTTCGCGTCTCATGTCAGCAAGGCAGCGAGCCGCTAGCGCTCGAAAAACTGCTCCAACATTGACGTCCTCCTTTACTGACGCCCTCATTAATCTACAGCCCAGAGCTCGTGCAACTAATTCTGCTTCATCTCTGAAAATTGGAAATGATTTAAATAAAATACTTTTAACGGTTTAAAAGGCGAAGTATACCGACTAGTTAACTTACTTTTTTTTTGTTTAACGTGTACATTATAGAATTAAGCTAAACTAACTTACGTAACCAAATAATTAGAAAAAATGTCGTTTAATTAAAATCCTTTGTTTGCCATAAACATGAGGTTGAGAAAAGTTTTGTTTCATATTTAGACTTTTTCAGTCTTCTTTTTTCATTTTCCGTAGAAACCATCCTTGTAATTCAAATAATATTCTTAAAAAATCGGTCCAGCAAGTTCTTAAAATTTGCGCCTAGCACGAGATTTAGCAATTGAATTGAAAATGTTTTAATACTTTTAAAACAATGTGTAAGAATCTAGATGTACCGTATACGAACTCATATGTGTAAAATTAAGCGTATTTATTGTCCGAATTACTCAAAAAAACATTTATTCTTGCCCTCTTCTCTAAAAATTAATTATAATTAACACTGATTTAAGCACACAGCCAGACTTGCAGCCAGCATATTTAAGTTATAGGCGCACAAAGATAGAAAGGAAACATTTCTATAGGAGAAGAAATACTTACGGTCCCACAACACACTGGTCCATCAGGTCGATTTTATTTTGAACGATAATAGTCGGTATTTCACCGCATTCGTTTTCCACCTGAATAAAGATAACAAACTATAAATAATACATTTTTAACGGTTAAAAATGCGAAATATTACACGTATTATTTTTCTATCATCAAACGTTACTGATGCATTATAATATGAATTATGTAGTAAGGACTTTGGATTAAACACCAATTTTAACTTGCTAACAAGTAGTAAAAATAAATTAGCCGCCCCCGCAGGTATATAGATAAGCACAATGCGGTAAGCGCGAAACGTCCTAGATTCGAATAACAGGGATAAATAGGAGTCTCGGTACACCAGACCTCTCTAATCTATTTACCTGATCAAAAAATCGATCAGTGAATCATATTATTGCTTAAAATGTGCCTTATATATCTATAGGTTTTTGTTATTACAATCATAGTTAAAAATCTTTCTTGCTGACGTATCTTTAGATTTCTAATTTGGTTGATCGGTAATTTGTTTCAAAATAAAATAAATATCTACAGGTTAAGCCTGACCACTGCACGATGCATCATTAATTTAAGATTAAGATAAAGGCAAGATAGATCGAAAGATATTAAAATATTGAATGTAATTTATCTTGTACACGTTAACTAACAAAATAAAAAGTTTCTCCTTGGAAGTAAAAAAGCAGATTATGACGTTTATTCCTCTTTATGTAAGTAAGTCGGAGATGCTGTAGATCTGAATAAAGAATCCTTCAACTGTGACGGGCTGTGTGGTCTAATGGTAGCAATGTATAGCTAATAATCAACGGGTCGTGGGTTCTTTCCCCACCAGGCCCAACATGTTTCTAATCAATTTATGTTTTTTTAAACATGTTGGACTTCATCTGACAATCTGGACATTACATGTGGGATAGGAATATCCAAATTCCAGCCAGGTCAAGAAAACGGTCCACAGATGAAAAAAGCCGTGAAGTTGTATCGCGTTTCGATTTTAGACTGTGGATACAAAGCCACATTTACATACAGGTTGACAACGCAATGTAATGTGTCTGCGGTATTTCACCTTCGATCAAGTAGACCACATGCTTTTCTCTACACCTTTTTTGGTAAAGCTGTTCTGGAGATATATATTATTAACGCCATTTTCTTTTCTGTGTATAAATAATTACTACAATAAAGATGGTATAACTTCATATGATTTAGTATGATTCTTAATGTATGTTTAAAATCGTTATGCGTTAAACATTTTAACCGGCATTCACAGCCTACCGTGTTGTTCTAGCCATTTGAGCTACCAGGTCTTACACTACATCGTTGTTTTTGCATTTATTTGGATTAGAAATACCACTATCAATAAAATGATTTAGTTAGATTACAACACTTTATTTAACATATTCATAACACTATGGTTAAAGCTTGCAATCTGGGCTTCCCTTCCGTCCAATCATGATATCAATATCATCAACCACCGCTTGGAGATCAGCTCCGCTGGGCAACTTCCTCGCTAGGAGCACTCCTCTACCACCGACAGAACAATTGATTCCCAGCACGTAACCATCGTCCACGTCAATAAATAAATACTTAGAGATTCTGTTGCATGATCTTATCTGATTCTTAACTTCATCTTCACCATAGTATAGTAGGTTTATTCGCTTCCCTGCGTTGTTCTTGTAGCTGGACTCTATAAGCATTTGATTGGGGGGGGACAGGGCATTCTGGATCTGCCAGCGTCGTCTTTTTGAATGTGACTTGTTCGCAGTTCCGCTGGCGCTGCAACGGCGGCCAAAAATATACCGCGTACCAGTCACCCACTAATGAGTTTAAATCGAAATTGTCACCAGTCTTATAATAATCGATGCACTGTTCTTCACTAGAATTAATAATGGATTCGGCACATTTTAATGTTATAAATAGAACTGTGATTGTGAGTCTTTTCATTGTTAGTTGTTGTGGAGTACTGCAGCCGGTACTTTCGAGATAGTGTTGTGAATTATGATTACATTGGAGTATGCGTGTCGGGTCGTGACCACTGATATTGTGGTATCAGTACTAATGCGCTGTTTTAGTTATGTGGTTCGAAAACCATTTGAATAATTAGTACTGTCTGTAGTTTACGCGAGTTAATTGAGACTATTTTACTATTATATAAATTTTTAACAGTATAAAATGGTAAATATACTACTCATTTACAATTTATTTTAACTATGTACCGATGTGAATATAATTCACGTTTAAATAAAACACTTTAACGGTTTAAAACGCGATATCCTTATTAGTTAAACTTATTTGAAAATGATTGTTCACTTCGGCCCGACGTTTCGGATGCTTTGCAGCAGCCGTGGTCACGGGGAGACTATAATAACACTATATAATTCGCGTTTTAAAAACGTTAAAGTGTGTTCTTTGAATGTGTCTCCTGTGTACATGGACAATAGTAATGACATCAATTAAACAACAACCGCAATTGACGATGGTGTTGCTTTGTTCCATAAAATGGCCGAGACTGTGGATAAAGAAGGTGGAACTAATTAAGCTATATAGTTACCTTAAGTTTCCACGAATGTAATGCAAGGAATGAGTCTCGGTCTGTAGTAGAAAAAGCCAAGACACATGCGTGAGCGCCTCTATAGTAGGCCTTTGTGATTGCATCAAACTCTTCTTGGCCGGCAGTGTCCCAAAGCATCAAGCGGACTTCTTCGCCGTCGATTCTGAAAATATAGAGATAAAAATCGATTTTAGATTCTTTTTGTTTTTAATTTCGCTTTGAGAGGAACAGCACGGTACGCTGTGGATGCCGGTTCAAGTCCTGCTCTTGACGAACATTTTTTCGATCTAAAATCGATTTTTCTTTATACAGTGCCATGTTAAAAATATTAAAGCTTTCCAAGATATAGAGAGAGATAGCCGCGAATGTCCTAATTAAAAATCATTAAGATAATTCGTTCCGTTGTCCGCAATTTGGCGAAATCACTCTAAACTGCACGGCATGACGTAAATTTAGTGTTTATCAAAAGAATAGGTAAAGATTTCAATAGATATACAAATAATTTTCAAATAAAATTAACTGATATATATTGCGTTTTAAACCGTTAAAATGTTTTATTATGATGTGTACCACTCGCTTATACGTCAGACAATATTTGATATAATAATCATTCATATTTTACGAGATATCGTCGAAAACAAACGTTTGATATTTAAGGAAGTATTTTATAGATTCATATTGTGTGAATATTTTCTTTCCTTGTGTATTAAATTAAGTCTGAACTAAAACCTGGCGAATAAAGAATAAAATTTAACATTGCAAAAGTGCTTAGAAAAATTATTTACACAAAAATATGCAAACATTACAGATTTATTTAACATGCGCTATCAGACGATAATGGCATTTTATTCATATCATAACATCGTAATTTGTATGGATTATTTAATAATAATAAATCTCTTTATTTAGCATTAATTTAGTACAATTTTAGAAAGAAATAAATTTTATAACAATAAAACAATATAATTTAATTTAAAGAAAAGTGATGCCGATAGGGTCTTGCGTCAACATAAGTTGCAGCCCAGTCAAGCTACACTGATTTTTAGCAAAACCCTACTGTTTGTCTGTTAAAACAGCGTTCACAGAGCCATTTGATATTTTAAAAGCTAATAGATAAGTAGGAGCATCTAAAAGAAGCTATGAGAAAGCGTTATGCCTAAAACCAATAAGTATTTAGGTCAAGTACGGCTGAGAATCTCGGGTGTTAAAAATGTAAAAATTTGTCGATGACATTAACGGATTATAGTTTCACTGCTGTCAACTTTCACGTTAACACTTATTAATGTCATCGGTGTAAGTCCTATACCAAAGATTCCCATGTATAATTCAACATAATTTATATTCACAATACTACAATAGTTTACGCTAGTAGGTGACGTACACATTTAAATAAAACACTATATACTGCTGTTGTTTTATTTTGGCTTCGGATATTCGAAAATCCACAGACTGAAACGGAAATAATATCACTCGACGTTTTAACGTTTGTGGACCGTTAAAGTGTTCTGTTTAAACGTGTCTTACAGGTCATCATTGAATTTTCCAAGCCATAGAAACCGTCTACTCCACACCACCATACTTACTCTATCTGTCGCTCAAGGAAGTCGACGCCGATGGTTTTTTTGTAGTCTCTGGTGAATGTTCCGCGGCAGTATCTTTGGATCATGCTGGACTTGCCGACGCCGCCGTCTCCAACTATCACAACCTTGAGGGCCACCTCCAGCTCCTCCTCGCGCATCCTCTTAACCCCACACCGCACATTAGTGCACTCTTTACACCCTGAAAAAGAGATTGGTAATACAAGATGGCGGACATTTTTTTTATACCTTACATAAGTCTTAGACACGCGATCTATCTTAGCGAATGTTTACATTGTTATCGTTAAAATAAATTCGTAATTGAGGTGCTATGATGGAACGTACATACAAAAGACGAAAATACTTAATAGGTAGATAAATATGAAAAGAAAAATGGTTCATAAATGACAAATCTAAACGCGAAAAAACAAAAAACTGTTGTTTTGACAAAATCCTGTTTGGAAATCGGCTATAAAGTTTGCGTTTATATTAATAAGCGTTGTTTTATGTGACATATTTCTTGAATTAATTAGATTGCATTGTAATATGCACGTAATGTTATGCACGTAAAACTTAATATGTTACTATTAAACGTACGATTAAAACAAAACAGATATAGAATGCGAAAATCATAACCCGCCTTTTTGCCGACGGATAGTAAAATAAGAACGTGGGCTTGGTGGGCTAGTCTGTTATTTATCATGTAAACAGCAAACCAGTTTTTAGGCGCACCTGTTTAAGAACATTTAACCTGGTTCAAGCGATTGCGTTACCCGGATTGAGATAAAATTATTTTCCGCGATAATTTTGTAATACATAACTTGTTTATGGTTATAATTCTAATTCCTATAGCCAAGGAATGCTATATTGAGTAACAGATGTTTTGAAAATCACCAAACCTAGAAAAATCCCGTTTTCTCTCTACGATATAGACACTTTTCTGTGTCTGTCTGCCTTATTGATCTATTTTTTTTTAATTTAAGTAAAACCCCGTTGCCCACTGTGGGGCCTCGGGCGAAAACATTACTGTGCCCGTTACACTGATCGCTTTTACAAGGAAATTGGTACCCTTTTTCACTACATACATATGCAATACAACTTACAGGCTCGCCTAGCGTGAAACATAGAGCGTAATTATTACTTATATACTTATTATATACCAATAGTCTTGCCACAAACTAAGTATGAAGTATATTCTCGTTATTATTAAAAACTTTAATCGTAACGAATATTTTATTGTTCGTGCACTTGGTGGCGTTATATAAATTTAAAATTTATTTAGATTCCAATTCCTGTTTCCAAAAGTTGACAAAAGTCAACAACAGTCGTGTACACGGTAGCTCAATTGGTTAGAGCAGCAGCACGGAACGCTGTGGGTGACGGTTCAGGTTCCGCCCGCGTCGTGATATTATTTTCAAAATAGATAGTGTAATCTATAGTAATATATATAAAAGCTGAAGAGCTTATTTCTTTGTTTGTTTGAACGCTCTAACCTCTCACTCATAGGGAATTGAAAAATTATTTTTGCATTGGTTAGTGCATTTTTCGAAGAATACTATGTACTGTAAACATCTGCTACGCTACGACTGATAGGAACGAAGAATTAGCAAGAAATGTATAAAAAACGGGAAAAAAAAATCATCTTTGTGGTTTAACGCGTACGTTTCAAAAACTAAATACCCGAAAAATATGTGCAAAAGAATGATTCCTCTTTAAAAGATCTAAAAAATGTCCGCGTCTTATTTTTAAACTTGCAAGGACGACGGACGCGACGTCGTGGGCAAAGCTTACATCTATACAGATGAAAAGGAGGTTTAGAGAAAGAAATATCGATGCCCAAAATTATACGCAGACGAAGTCGCTGAAACAACTAGTTTATATATATAAATACACAATCGCTACTGTCATCAATACTGTATAGAGAGCTGTGTATGCTCTTAAAACAGTACATCAATATAACATGGAGGTTTTACTTTCGATGCAGAGTTTCACCTCGAATTCCGCATCGTCATGCAATATTGTTGGAATTATGTCGATTGTGCCAAGATTTTGAGAAGCGCTTCGATAATAATTTAATTCGGTTTGGCTCTCACTTTTTATTGACGTTACAATATTTAAAACCGTGATGACCTAGCTTAGTTTACGTTCGTTGGGTGTTCTACTCTCGTAAGTATGAAAGTAGTGATATTGTGTTGTTTACACTAGAATAATATGTTCTCCGATGACGGACAACATCGTGACGAAACCGGTGTGGTTTGGTACAAAAGAATCGACGATTAGCATAGCCCTACCAGTATGTATGATGCTGAATATTTGAGCAAAACAGATATTAATTAAAAATCAATTTGGGATTGAAAAAAATGTACGACACGAAGAGGGCTTGAATCAGCATTCACTGCGTACCGTGCTATTGCTCTAACCAATTTAAGCAATTAAAATTTTCAAAGAAACTCATATTACATTTAGATACTACGTAATATAACTGCTTTTTAAAATTAAATGAACAAGATACGCATCAGTTCAAGATTTGTTACTAGTTTTAACATTTTTTTTTTTAATCAAGGCAGCTATGGTTTCTACGTTTTCTAAAAATTTTAACTGAGGTTAAGTACCATTTTGTACTTTTAATCGTAATTTTAAACGTAGTTTATTACTTACTGTTGCTTAAAAGGCAAAAACATCCACCAACCTCTAAGTCTCCAATTTTGACTTTTCAACCATTTTACCATGATTTTGTTCGTTAGATTAATATATTTTTGTTAAATATTTGTCTTTAATACTACTAATTTATTGATTGACTGAAATCTACAAACATTTTACTTTAGTTTTAAAAGTGGTACAAACTATAGTTTCTTATTGGCGCCTTGACTCCGAAACAAATGAAGTGTGACCAATTACTATGAATTATTACATATGGTATTGGGTTACCCAATATAAATTACACGATATAAATAGTGAGGGAAGACAGGTGAGGCGGTTCAATGGATGGTAGATCTGGAGGGGAGATGAAAACAAAAGAATATCGTCTGAAGGACGCGTACGAACCAGTTGTTGTTTTGACATTCAACTAATATACCTTGAAATATTATTTCTTTACTAGCTCTTCTCTAACTGAAACTCAAGTGGTTAAACGTTGCTTGGTATTGCGTTAAGCTTTAGTTCATCAATTCTCATTCAAATAAATCACCTAAAGGTTTAACGGTCTCCCCACGCTCTGCAAAGCTTCCGAAACTGGCCGTAGCTAAAGTGTAAATAAGTTAGCAATACATTGAGCGTTATAAACCGTTAAAAACGTTTTATTCAAATCTTTATCAGACCTATTAGACTTATTCAGACCTGGTCATCCATCAAATGAACCCCTAATATTATCTGTAGTTGAGACAGATGTTAAAGCGCGCGAAAGTTAAGAATAATTGTAAAATCGAGTCTGTGGTTAAGACAGCGCACAGCTGAATTAGAGAAACAGTTACTATCTAACCAGGACGCTGGATGCAGACCGAAGCGAGGAAGCTATATGCATATTTTTTGTCCCAAGATATTCAAATGTTGGCACACATGGTCACACAGAGTAGAGATGGAATAACGGAAATTTTCGCAACTGAATGTTACCTGTATCGTAAAACAGTAATTTATAAGCGTTTGTATACGCAAACTGTCGACGTTATGAAAGCTAAGAAAAGTCTATTTTATACTCGTAGTTACTAGTATAAAAGCCATTTTTAAGTAATTTCTTAGTAGAATACTAATAACGTCTTGTATTAATAATACTGGATCTTTCCCCAACACTTTTAACGTTGAATTAATGTTGACGTCTTAGACATTGATATAATAATGTCTAAGACGAAACTGCTGTAATCCGAATCCGTCGGGTCATAGTTTAAAATTGAACAACTAATATATTTAATGTTTTATGCATAGTATATTGAAACTAATTGTCTGTTAGTGTATTGTTAGTAATGTTTGTATTTAGACTAAAGCAAAAGAGTATCTCTAACCAATTATATTTGTGAATTCGTACCGACTCGAACTAACACATAGGAAACATTATTGTATTAAGCGTTTAAGCAGTAAGTCGTTAATTTAAATATATAGCAATTAATTATAGTAAAGATCTCTTACGTAAACAAGCCTTTTTAACTACAAAAAAGATAATTATTATTTATATTTTTTGCATGTCCAATATGCATAAAGGCATTATAAAGAGAGAACATACGGGGTTTCACACCCACGATCGTTTCTCGCACATTATTTGAGGTAAAGCAGGCGCTATTCGTCGTATGCTACAAAGTGAAGTAGGTAAGTCAGTTAAAAATAATTCTCAAATAAGTTTAACTGAAATAAATCGCGTTTTAAGCCGTTAAAGTGTTTTATTTAAATAAGTCGTAAGTACCTATGTCATATTTTTAATTTGTTCTTATTTAAAAAATCTAAATGTATACTGTCTGTGGTTTTCGCTTGTAGTACACATAAAAATAAAATAGTAGCGGTTTTAACGCCGTGGTCACGGGGAGACGTATCCCCGTGACCACGACCATGGCCGCAGAAAAGCATTCGAAACGACGAGCCGTAGTTAAAATAATTTTCAATAAAATTTAAATAACACATTTCGCGTTTTAAACCGTTAATGTGTAGTAATTAAATCTAAATTCAAATAAAAAAGGATTAATATGTTATTTTACATTAAAAAAATCCTTCAAACTTTAGAACTTGAGACTGGATCTCTCTAAGATAATGTAATGTTAGTCTAGATTGAAGTTCGACTTCCTTATAGTCTAATAATGGAGCAATCTAATAGAACTGTTAACAGGTTCAATGCATCGGAGGGATTTTATCATTAATCACGATTGATTGCTTCCTCTATTTACAAATTTTTATTTAAGAATTAGGCACTTCGTATATAAAAATGTTACTTTAAAATTCACACAAAACAGTCGACATAAGATTTGACGAACATTTTCAATTAATTTTAATTTGAAGATAACTTTTGGGACTCATTGGTTGAAGTCGAATGTTCTCGCTTTGTAAAACGCGTTGAAATTGCCGGGTTTGAATCTTGGTGAGACTGATGAATACAATCAGTCTGTGCCATTTTATATAAAACATAGCATAGGTAACATTTTTTTGTCCTCAACATTGTTACATTGAACATACGCGACGTCTCAAATCCCACTTTGTATTATTCGCGGAAGCCTCACATTTGATATCATTGGATTTCGAGACAATGATACAATCGACCTCCACCGACGAAAACTTCCGTCGTAGTGTATTGTAGGTGGTATTTTTATATTGATTGTTTTGTACCAAGAAAATAGCTTAAAGTTACATTATTACTTAATAATAAAAATAGTGTAATTCCGCTCCTCCTTTAGCATGAGGCGAACGCATTTGTAAAAAGTCATAAATAGTTTGACTAAAACACATTCAATAACTTAAAACAAGAAATATGCCCCTCCCGTGACCACGGCTGCTGCGACTCATCGGAAAACGTCGGCCGTTAATAAATAAAAAATAAACAACTAATATATTTTACGTTTTAAACCTTTAAAAATGTTTTATTTAAATGTGTACAATACACCACATATCACTACTCATGTTTACAGCGAGTTGTTGATCAAACTTCTGTGTCCTGCTCTAATGTAACAATATATAATTTTGCTCGGGACTAGAACCCACGATCTCTCGCACGTTACCTCTAGCGGCTCGGGAAAGGAATTCTTAAAAAACATAGAAAAATAGTCGAAAGAACTAAACATGGTAATACTACACGCTCCGATTTCATATTTTACTTTCAATTTAGTAATTCAATTCAATTATGTTTTTACGTGCGTTTTTCGTTTAGTTGAAAATTGGCGGATCCAATCCAATCGATTTTTTATCTGTCAACTTTATATTTTGAATACAGGGCAACTAAAGTTACTAACTAAAATATGTTTAAATTCACTAAATATAGCAAATTATCTATCATTTATTTTGTTTATTAATATTTTTAAATGATATATATACCTACTAGCTGTACCAGTGACTTTGAGTAACTATTTTAACTACGAAATGACTTTTGGGCGTCTCAATTTGTGTTTACAAAGCTTCCCCTCATCTTTAGAAATTATAACTGTAATCCTGTCTGTCGGAGCCCGTCGTTCTTGCAAATTAATCTTAAAAGATAATACCAGGAACATTTTTGTAGGCTACTCTTTAGGAATCATTGTTCGATCAATATTTTTTTGAGTATCTTGAACCGTTTACGGAGTGTACGCAACAGAAACTCTCAATTTTCCCTGTCCTTCCACATTTCCCACTCTTACTGCGCTCCTATTGGTCGCAACGTGATGCTTTATAGCCAAAAGCCTTCCTCGATAAATGCTCTGACAAACACAATAATAATATTTTAATTCGATCTAGTAGTTCTTGGGTTTAGAATGTTCAAACAAACAAACTCTGCAGCTTTATGATATTAGAATAGATTAGCCCAGAGACACAATACGCGAGATCGATGGCGTATTGATAAAAAAATACGTTTTTTAGTATCAATAATAATATTTTAATTCGATCTAGTAGTGCTTGAGTTTATAATGTTCAAACAAACAAACTCTGTAGCTTTATAATATTAGTAGAGTTTAGCTCAGAGACACAATACGCGAGATCGATGGCGTATTGATAAAAAGGTACGTTTTTTAGTAGGTATGTGCTCATTCAACTCGAACAAGAATGCAATCTCAAAGCGATTGTTCGTCAACAATCGTAATATTATTCGTAATTGTCACATTTATAATAATAATAATAATAATTTATTTGTCAGACCATAGATCCATACATTATTTTAAAATAATACATAATTAATTAATTCTAAAGTGCGTTAGTTGGGTTAGTAACAATTTTTAACTTAAAATGTATATTAGAATGTGTTAGTGTTTATATTTAGCTGTAAACCATGGACGTCCCAGTGGATCAATGATTACGGCTATCGCCTTATGTTCAGCACGAAAAATCTGGTGTTCGAGTGCCTGTTGCCTCTACTTTTAACATAGATTAATAATATATCTGTGTCTGTTTAACTGTTCGTATCTTAGGGACCACGTACTTGATCGAGCTTCTATGCCCTGCTATAAAAAAACCTTTTTTTTATTTTATTATACTGTAACCTACAGAGGAATTCTATGTTCAACACAGTTTGATAGTTAACAATTGTACAACGGTGTGCTGTTAAAACAGCTTGAATACGGTTGAAATATCTCTATTTTTTATTGGCAAATATATGCAAACCAGCTGTGTCGGCGACTTACCGTGGATAAGTTATTCTGGACATCATATTGAATCGGTTTCGCAGCCCTATAAGTAATGAGTAATTTTCCCCACTTTTCAATAAGTTAATTTGCTCCTATTAACTGCAACCTGATGTACCCTAAAGTCCTTCTCGATAAAAGATCCTACTAACTAACTAAAATAAATTTTCGAACCAGTAGTTTCTGAGATAAGCACGTTCAAATAAACTCTTCAGCTTTATAATATTAAAATAATGCAACAATAGCTTAATAGCACACTCAATTTAGTTTATTTCAAGCTTGCTCTTACGAATGCAGCATCTAAACATTTTATGAATGAGAGCTCGCGTCCTTGCCAACGCTGGGAACGAGGAAAGTTCATCGCCCCCAAAAGCTCCGTCAACTTCGCAAGTATAACACTATTTCCATGTTTGACGTCTAGGTACTACCTCGCAGTTTTATAAATACTT